GTCCACGGTTGTGGCCCACAACGCTGCTGCCGCACAGATTAACCTCCTGACGACCCGACTGACTTCAGCTGAATTGGCAATTGAAGATCTCGGAAATAGATCGCTGTGAAACAATATTCGCCTCCGAGGCCTGCCGGAACAGGAGGGGGAAGGGTCTCTTATCGATGTCGTCTCGGGCATCCTTAGGCCGCTTCTCCCCGACATACCGGATCATCTAAGCAGACAGATGATAGGCGACCGAGAGATGTAATTATAAAATTCCTTTCCTTTCAAACGAAGGAAGCCCTGATGAAACGGGGCAGGAATATCCCGATCACCTATAAGGGGGCTGAGCTGGCTCTGTATCAGGATCTAACCCTGGCCACAATGCAAAAAAGGCGCGAGTGGCGCCCCATAACCGAGGTATTGCAGCACCACTCGATCAAATATGCCTGGGGTCACCCTTTCCGTCTGATGGCCTTTAAAGATGGCCGCACTAGGATTTTGTATCCAGACGGCGACCCGGCGATGTACCTGCGGGAGTTGGGGATCCAGATTCCTGAAGGACTGGCGGTTCTGATGGCATCGGCGGAGGTCCTGGGGTCCCTTCCACGCAACTGGTCCGAGGCAGGTGTGTGAGGAGATTGGCCCCTGCTCCGGGTTTGCGGGTCGGATCCCCGCGGTTCCGTTCTCCAGGTGGGCTTCTGTTGTTTGGGCGGGTGGAGATGGGATCTCTCATCCTCCCTTTTTCTTTTTTGGCCTCTCTCCTCATTTTCTCCTCCCTTTTTTTTATTGTCCCTCACCGGGGCTTTAAGTGGGAGTGCCCCGGCTTAGTTGTCAACTCCGCGGGTTGGGATGCCAATTGATTGGGACGGGTTAGGGTTTTATAGCCTCTGTTTCCAGTGCCTCCAAACCGTGCGCTTTCCGGCCCTCTCCCCTCTTTTCAACCGCCTACTAAGGTTACAAGCGCCTAGGGATTGTAACTCTACACTGGTATCACCCACCCTGCCATCGGAAGGCTCCCATTGATGCTCAATGTGCCCCCAATGGCCTGAGACAGTGTTTGGGGGATGTTATTCTAGTGTATGCTTAGACCTGTTTTTTACTGTTCTTTCCCTCCTCTGTCTCGTTTTTGGGTGGTGGAGGGCGACGGGTGGCGTTTTTTAGGGCGGGTGGTCAATATCGCATTTTCACTTGTCTCATACACCCCATTGTACTTGTACTTGTTATTATGCACGGGGAGGGGGTTCGGCGGCAGCTTGCAGGCCCGGCAGTTTGGGACGGATCAAGGGGGGGGGCGGGGCTCTGTGTTTTATTTGCCCCCCTCAGCTGTTCGGGTGGGGGGTGGAGGGCCACGCCTATGTTTTTTTTTTTAATATTCTGTATGCTGTATTTTTTTTTATCTCCCGGGCACCTTTTATTTATTTTATTTTAGCATTTCGCACCTGCTACTCTCCCCCTGCCGTCCATGTGAGGGCCTTGGTGAGGTCCCTGGGGGGCGCGGTGAATCCCCCCCTCTTTTTGGGGGTACGCCCCGCTCCCCGTGGTCGCGGGGGGGAGACGGGGGAGTTGTGTTTGGATTTATGCCTTGGGGAGGGGGTGGGGGGGATCTTCCTGGGAATATCTCTGTAAGTAATGTAGATATTTGCCAAATTATTGTATATCACTGTATCTCATAAATGGTTTAAGTTGGCACCCTATGGGTGCATTCCTCTGTTGGTGTATGTTCCCGCTTCTCTGGAGCCTCTTTGATGTTCCGGAGGGGCTGGAACATGTGCCCCACATAATCCTGGCTATAGGTAAGACCAGGTGCAAGTTACACAGGTTCTGTGTTTTCTTCTTTATTTTAACCTTACTTTTCTTTCCTGCTTCTTATTTCTCTTTAAGTTCTAACCCTTTATTATTTCCCTTGGGAGGGGGAACAGGTGAGGGCAGATGTGCCACCGAGCACTGTCCGGATTGTCGGGGGCCGGGCCTCCAGAGTATCGAGATGGGACACGTTGTGAGACCTCCTTGCCAGCCCCTTAGTGGGCTAATGGGAAGCATAGGCTTGACCTTCCGTCGGACACAATGCCTTTAAAAGTGATGTCATTGAACGCTAAGGGCTTGAACGCTCCGAGTAAACGTCGCCTTATGTTCAGGGAACTTAAACGCATTAACCCAGATATTGCCTTCCTGCAGAAGACACACATCTCTGCGTCGGCTAAATTCGCCCTGAGGGATCACACATTTAGGACAGTCCATGAGGCTAGGGCCTTAAACAAAAGGAATGGAGTTGCTGTGGTTATACACCACAGATGCCCGCTTAGGGTGGCAAAAGTGGTAGCGGACCCGGGTGGCTGTTTCATTCTGGTATCAGGGAGCTTATACTCAGTGCACCTCCTCAACATCTATGCACCAAACAACCACTCTGTTGATTTTTGGGATGGAATAGCACAAATAGTGAACACACTGCCACATGGCATGACGGTAGTGGGGGGAAACCTGAACGCCACCCTATGTCCTGCGGTGGATAGAGGTCCTAGCGACAGGCTGCCGCGGTCCCACAGAAGAGGTGGTCAGGATAAAATACTACGCACTTTTATGCATCGTACAGGACTGGTCGACATCTGGAGAGCACATCACCCAGACGACCGTGACTACACTTTTTATTCGGCACCCCACGATACTTATTCAAGGATAGACTTATTTTTGGTGAACCCCACGCGGTCCCCAAGGTGTCGAATACTGCGGTAGGTTCGATTACTTGGTCGGACCACGATGAGATTACGATGACTTTGGATAAACTGTGTATGGCATCTCCGTGGACCTGGAAACTAAATACCTCTCTGCTTCAAGACCCAGCCGTAGTGGAGACCACGCGCAAGGAATTGAATGAGTACTTCACAAGGAATGCGGAGTCGGGTCCCCGGCCTGCTACAGTGTGGGCCGCCCATAAGACGGTTTTTTGGGGTATACTGACTGGCGAAGCCACACTAAAAAAAAACGTAAAACGCAATTATTAGCATCTCTCCTGGAAGCTCTGGGGAAAGCGGAAGAAAAACATAAAGCGGCCTCGTCGCCTACCACATTGAAGGAAGTACAGAAATTGCGGGCTTCAGTCCGCGAAACGCTCCTAGACAAGACTGCCAGAGCTATAGTATGGTCCAAGAGGACTTACTATGAAAAATCAAACAAAATGGATACCTTGTTGGCCAGATCTCTTCGCCAGAGACAGATTCACTCCCATATTACAAGAATCAAGGACGCTTCGGGTAAGTATTGCACAGATCCTACCGATATAGCTAAGGTTTTTACGGATTACTATGCCAAATTGTATAATCATTCCAGCGGGGCCGAGAGCAATCGGGGGAGCGACATGGACTGTACGCGGTCCTTTATATCACAATTGAAGCTACCTACGTTGCGGGTAGAGGACTCGGCTGCCCTCGGAGAGAGGATTACAGCCGAAGAGATTGATGCTGCAATATCCGCTTTAAAAAGTAACAAAGCTCCGGGCCCGGACGGCTTCGATGGCAGCTATTATAAGATATTTCGCGAGGAACTCATACCCCATTAGGAAAAGTGGTTTAATGATCTTATGGAGGGAGGAACGCCAGATAGGGACATGTCATTAGCGGACATTGTGCTGTTACCGAAACCCAGCAAGGACGACTCGATGCCGGAAAACTTTCGCCCGATCTCTTTAACAAACCATGATTCCAAAATTCTGGCTAAAAACCTAGCACGCAGACTGAACCCCTTGTTAACACGACTGATACACCCTGACCAAGTAGGCTTCGTGCCAGGTAGGCAATTGTTTGAGAATACTAGACGCAACATCGACCTTATATGGTGTCAAGCAACTAGGGTGATACCGACTTTGATATTGTCACTCGACGCAGAGAAAGCCTTTGATAGGGTAAAGTGGCCTTATGTATTCGAGACCCTCCGACATTTTGGTATCCAGGACCCCTTTATAACTACGATAAAAGCAATGTACACGGACCTTAGGGCTCGGGTCCGGATTTCAGGAGCTAAGATGGAGCCTTTCAGTTTGGGGAATGGGACCAGGCAGGGCTGCCCACTGTCGCCTCTGTTGTTCGCCCTCTCTTTGGAGCCCCTTTTACAAACCATTAGAAATAGCCCAGAAATAAAAGGGATCGCGATCCGGGATCAGCGATGTGTGGTTTTGCTGATGACATTTTGATGACCCTGACAGATCCGATAAAATCTATGGAGGCACTGGCGACAGTGTTGGAGGCCTAAAGCGAACTGGCCAGATATAAGGTGAACCTAACTAAATCGAGCGCACTTCCCATAAGCATGATTGACACAGACATAGCCCACATAGGTGACACCTATAGGATTATTTCAGCAAAATTATGTTCCCATGATCCGAACCTTGATAGGAGACATGGAGAAATGGATAGATAAACCGATCTCTTGGATAGGTAGGATCCACTCGGTGAAAATGAACATTCTCCCCAGGATTTTGTTTCTATTCTAGGCTCTCCGGGTCAGACTGACCAAGTCTGATCTGGGGGCACTCCAGCAGGCCATTGGAAAATGTATCTGGCAAAACAGGAAACAGAGTTTCGCGTAACGTTCTTTACAGGGCAAAGACGAGGAGCGGCTTGGGTCTAACAAACCTTTATTTCTACTGTTTAGCGTCCCAGCTAACTCAAATAGCACTTTGGCATTCTCCTCCAGAAGAGAGGTGGTGGGTCGACCTGGAGGCTACCCTCATGGGACCTGACGTCCCTCAATTCTTTATGTGGGTCCCACAGACCATCTATACGCATCGAATGCCCAGCCATTGCAAATTCCTTGAAAATCTGGGATGCAACATCAACCAAATATGGTTTATCTCCCCACCTGTCCCCGTTGGCCCCTTACTTGAGCAACAGAGCCTTCACCCCGGGATTGGAAGCTAGACACTTTAGGGGCATAGAGAGCACGGGGGTACAACGACTATATCACCTATATGAGGGTAGCTCACTTATATCTTTCGAGGAATTGAAGTCCAGAGCTACTCTAAGCCCCTCTGATTTTTTCATTACATCCAGCTAAGGGACTTTGCCCAAAACCCGCAGATTAAAACAAGCGCCTTAACCCCACTTACGTTTTTTGAAAGAATGTGCATCCAAGAACAATTCCCGAAAGGCCTCATCACAAATCTATACGCACACCTAAGTACGACCACATCGGAATGGGGGGAACTTCACCACACGACCCAATGGGAAATGGACCTGAATGAGGAACTGGAAGGCGTTGAATGGCAGGAGATCTGGGAGGCCGCTGCGACCTCCTCTATTTGTGTCACATTTCAGGAACAAGCCTACAAGACTATGTTCAGGTGGTACGCTACCCCGGCAAAGCTGTAGGAGGAATAAAATGTCTACGGATTTATGCTGGAGAGGATGCGGCCAGAAAGGGACGTATATACACATAGTTACATAGCTAAAAAGAGACTTGCGTCCATCAAGTTCAGCCTTCCTCACAAATGTTGTTGCTGTTGATCCAAAAGAAGGCAAAAAACCTGGTCTGAAGCGCTTCCAATTTTGCCACAAACTAGGAAAAAAATTCCTTCTTGACCCCAAAATAGCAGTCAGATGTCTCCTTGGATCAAGCAGCTATTACCCCACTAATTAGAAATTATATCCCTGTATGTTATGTTTTTGTAAGTATTTATCCAATTTCAGTTTAAACATCTGTATGGACTCTGACAAAACCACCTCTTCAGGCAGAGAATTCCATATCCTTATTGTTCTTACTGTAAAAAAACCTTTTCTTTGCCTTAGATGAAATCTACTTTCTTCCAGCCTAAATGTGTGACCTCGTGTCTTATGTATAGCCCTGTTTATGAATAGATTTCCAGATAAAGGTTTGTACTGGCCCCGAATATATTTGTATAAAGTTATCATATCCCCTCTCAGGCACCGTTTTTCCAAACTAAACAGATTAAATTTTTTTAATCTTTCTTCATAACTAAAATGCTCCATTCCTTTTATCAATTTTGTAGCTCGTCTCTGGACCCTCTCCAGTGCCATGATATCCACATGTGGTGGGTCTGTCCAGAGGCACAAAAATTCTGGAAACGGGTCGCGGAATTACTGGGGAATATCTTCGGTAGGGTGGTCAAGCCAGACCCCTGGGTGTTCCTTCTGGCCAGGTCTATGGAGAACCGGTCCAGACCAGAACAAAATTTACTACATAAGGTGACCCTGGCTGCCATGAGGGCCCTGGCCCAAGTGTGGCTACGGGGAGAGACTCCCCCTCTTGAGGTTGTGATACAAAAGATTAAGGACACATACATCATGGATGCGTTATCTGCTCGGGTTCAGGGCACTATGAAGAAAATGGAAAAGATTTGGGGCCCGTGGATAGATAGCGAGGTGGGCGATTAGGGGAGGGGGGATGGGCTCGTCCCCCACGTACCCTGACGCACCTCTACAGACACCGAGATTGATAGCAAACTCTCATCTTCCTTCTATAGCGGGACCCTTGGGATCCCACCGAGAAGTCCACGGGCTATAGTTTTCCCCACGGGCACGGCGGTCCTCGCTTAAACTTACCGGTTCGTGGCTACCCGGCTGCCTGGTCGGGCCGACATCTTCACCATTTTCGGAATATCACTATAATACCCCCTCCCACTCTCTTCTTTTCTTTTACTCTCATAGTACTTACCTTCCGGTTAAACTATACTTTTTCTACCTTATTTAATCTCTTTTTTTAAATCTGACTGCTGTTCAGTGACCATCTAGCCAACTGGATCCTTACTGGTTGGGGCGGGTTGAGGGGCGACTATAGGTGGATCGATAGTAAAATGGTATTACACAAATGGCAACCTTGTACACTAGGTTTTAGTTCGCTGACTTAGCATAGCTAAAATTTTAATGCATTCTAGTGGTCACTGTCGATAGGTAACGCGAAATACTACCATGCGTTTCATAGTCAGTCAGGAGTTTTTGTATTACTTAATTTAAAATAGGTGGGATGCCGCAGTAACCAGACTCTCATAGACAACAAGCATATGTTAGCTACGATGTATTTGATTGTTTGTAAGGTCACGTAAAAATGATTGCTCTTAACTAATGCTGACTTTTGACTGTGATATTGTTCATTTTTGCATCATGTTGCATATTTTACTGTGGTGTCTGATCTTGTTATAAATAAAGAATTTAAAAAAAATAAAAAAATAAGTGCTTTACATTTCTGATTGACCAAAAATGGCCTTTCACGTGCAGGCAGACGTCATCATTAATGTGGGCGAACTTTGGGGTATAATTTGATGTGGATCTGCAGCGGCAGCGGCCGGCGTCCATTAACATATTGCAAGAGTCAGTCACACAGACGCACGGCCGCTGGGTGCAAATAACCAAGGTGAGGAGGAATACATTATAGATACTCAGCTGTGGTACAGGGAGCTCCGTCACTAGGAATGTGCTTGGGAAAAATATTTGGTTCGGCAATTCCGAAATCCAGGACTTTGGCAATACTAGGGTTAGGGTAGGAGGAAGGTTGGTGTTAGGGTAGATTCCTGTCATCATTCCCTTAATTTTCCCTCCGTCTCCTGTTTTGCCACTTTTCAGATATCCGATGCACTTTGGCAATTTGGTTCGTTTCTTCCAAAATTCGGCACTTCGGACATTTGGAAGCATCTGAATTGCCAAAATTCGTCCGAATTTAAATTCGGTACGAAACGAACTGCACATGTCTATCTGTCACACTCCCTATTCAGAAAATCAGACCTCAACCTCAAGACAGAAAACCTTTTTTTTGTGTACAATTCTTTGGAGGTATGAAGTAGATGAAGTGTATGCTCTGCTTCATAACCTTGGCGCTATATAAATAATAATAATAATAACCTTTGCAATGACAGCATTGCGGCTGTGTAGGGTCCGTGAATGTTAAACCAATATCCACTCCTGCTACTTGGGACTCCTGTCTGGGAGCACTTCCAAAAACAGGAAGCACTTTGTCTAGGACATGGACTGTAACTTCATTGCCAGCAAGAACAGAATGACATCTGATTCAACGTTCTTCTATTCCTCTGTAAAGCATAAAGTGCACTTACCAAAAGAATGCAACTTACTTACAGCTTATGTGCAGTAGTTGCCAGAGCACCCATGTTGGACCCCTGTCTGGGACTAGGGCTCGGCTCTTTGCGGGCCCAACTCTTGCTGGCAGGGAGATCAAAAGATCTGCCTGCATGGCCCTGTGCTTACTCATTTTGTTGAGGGGCATTTGTAATTGTATAGAGCCCAACGTGCCAAGTATGAAACCGAGACATACAGTAACGTTTTACAAATCCTTAGAATGGCCCGGCTTAATGTATGAATAATAAGAGACTGTAAACAGAATAGTAAAAGACAAGCCACTTACAAGGAAAGCCAGGCATGAGGTAAGAGAGAGACTTGTCAGCTCTGAATGCCGACGTCAGCTCCGAATGCGCATGCTAGGCTATTGCTCAATGCTTTCCTATGGATGCCAGTGTGTCTTCAATATGATTTTCGCATTGAGGATTGCGGAAGTGGCCTCTAGTGGCTGTCAGGGAGACAGCCACTGGAGGCTGAATTAACCCTCAATGTAAACATAGCAGTTTCTCTGACACTGCTTTGTTTACAGCTGCAGAGTTAAAACTAGGGGGACCTGCAACCCAGACCTTCATTGAGCTGAAGTGGTCTGAGTGCCTATAGTGGTCCTTTAAAACAAGCCAGGAACCACAACAGGGCAATGAGCTACATATGGACTGGGATATATGTAACAAATTCACCATCATTTTGGAGCACCCAGAATTTGTGCGTACAACATTGCAGGGCGCTCTAAATCCATAGGATAATGCTTGGCTGGATCTCTGTAAAATAATGGACCATCCAGCATCTGTGGACGGGCAACGTCAGAATTTGCAAAAGAATAAAGTACAATCAGAGATGTCTTACATCCACACACAGTTAATCTGGCACCTTGTCTAGGGCTCTGGGCAACCTTAAAATCCTGCTTAGGCAGTTGCTTTAATGAAGAGCAAAAGGTTTGATCCATTCAATTGTGCTTGATTATTGATTACTATGGGGGGTAGTGGGATCTTTTAAAAAAAAAAATCAAAAAAATCTATATATTAAAAAAAAAAAAAACTATACACTTGCAAACACAACGTATATTAGATATGTTACGCTCTTTCATTAGAACAAACATCAAATCAGGTTCACCTTTCACAGAGTAACTGTTGGGCAACGTTCTAAAATTGCAACATTTAGTGTTCCTGCCCTAATTCCACACTCAGAATTCTGTCACACCGTTGGTCTGGATACATAAAATATTAATCTAATTTCCGTTATCCGGCAGACACCGGACAGTAGGGAGCAGGGTGACAGGGATCACACCCCGTGATGTCACCAGCAGGAAGCTCGGCGATCTCCAACATGGCGACCGGAAGCAGGAAGTGAGAGCGGCGAGGGGTGTACACACCAGGAACCGGGGGGGAACGGAAACACCGAAACTATGGAGCTGTGAGACGGTAGAAACCAAGAATAAGGATCGGGACTCCGCGAAAACTACCTGAGACAGCACTTAAAGTAAATATATTCCGTAAAGTGTCCTGGGGTGTAAATAGTGATGTGAGGGCCTGCGGACACGGAAACACCGCCTAGAAAGTGTTGAAATCGGTGACAGCTGGCTCCTGGGTGATAGGACCGGCAAATCACAACGCTAGCCAGGTCCAAGGGAGCTGAGGGGCCCGTGTGAAACCCAAGTTGTGTATAATGGAGGAGAGCAGGAGGGAAGGTGGTCTTTAAAGGTGGGTGAGGGGGAAATGATCCAGGCACTCGGGGGTGAAGGATCAGTGGGGGATTCTCTCATCCCCTTTACTAATCGGTGTTTTTTTTCCTGTATCTAAAACTTTTCACTGATCTAAAATGCCCCCAAGTGTCTGGCATTGTAAAGGAATGATGGGCTACGTCAGTTCGTGTGTTTCATAATGGGCCCTTACCATCTTGTTGTATCTTTTCATAATGGGCCCTTACCATCATGTTGTGCCATTTATACTATTTAGTGCCTGAAAACTGCTAGAAAGCCAGATAACCAACAATATACTTTATATTTGAGCTCAGGTGTCAACAGTCACAGCTGACTTGGGAAGTTGGACCATTTGCAGACCGGTAAATAGTAGCTAGTGGGCCATTGCATTAGTACAGGAAGATCTCCCCTTCTTACATTGATATTTGTAGTATTGGATACAGGAGCAGGCAACCTTGGACACACCAAATGTTGGGGAATACAGCTTAATTAAAGTGACACTATAGACACACAGACCACTTCAGCTCAAGGAAGTGGTCTTGGTGCAGTATTCCTGTTCACCTTAGTCCTGCAATGTAAAACATTGCAGTTTTTGAGAAACTGTACTAAGACAGCCTCTATTGGCTATATTTATTTAATGCTTTCCTATGGGGAGGGCCTAATGTGGGAGGGCTTGTCTCACATGCGCACTACTTCTGATGATGTTAGAGACAGGGTGCCGAATTCTCACTTTAGTAAGAAGCCTTTTGTTGTTCCTGAATACAATAATGGTTTAGTGATATTTTTCTGATTGTACTGATATGAGTGCTCACTCTTATAGTCTATCAACAGGATATTATTATCATTTATATAGCGCCAGCATATTCTGCAGAGCTTTACAATTATACAAAGGGGATATATAGAGGCAAAGAAGACCAAACTCAAATGAGCTACAATCTATGAGGATTTGAGGTAGACGGATATAGAGTAATTGTGTGCTGTAAAAAGAATTGTTATATAGAGCTATACATAGGCAAGTTTCATATTTGCTGATTAACTTTTACATTTTAAAATATCCATCACATTTTATTAGTTTGTGTTGGCCTACAGAGTAAAATGGGGCATGTAGTTTAACAGCATAGGTATAATGATGGACATCCTCTTTATGATTCTTTACATATTTAAAAAAAAATAAAAAATAAATGGACTAGCATAACTTACACTTTTGTTTTTGAAATAAACTGCTCTTTTTAGGGGAAAGAGAAAGTTAAACACAGCTGGTAACCTACATTATGTTAAATAGAAAAAGTGTAATTACACTAAACAGGAAATTGCCATTGTCCCTTGTTTCTTTAATTATGGTGTGTGAAGCCCAGGATGACAATTTTCCCTAAGCTAAAATCTAACAGATAAATAAACACAATTGTTATTGCTTCCAAATGCTAATAAATCCTTGAAAGGATAATGGAAAAATCTGCCATAATGTTTTATTATAACATCAGTAAAACACTAGTAGTATGATATTTAAAGCATCACTCTTCACAGGTGTTCTAATTTTTTTTGGTCCCTCTATTTCCTCATATCTGAAGGGTATACATCGTAACCATATGATTTAACCTCAAAGTCTTAAAGCTAGATCCCTGATTCCTCTGCCCCTGAAACTCTCAGTAGCACTCCATTGAGAAAAGATAGTGAAAAAGATACTTACCGTTTTCACTCTTTCTTAACAATGGGGAGCTACTAATATGCTGAGAATGCTCTCTGCCTATCAGAGGTGTTCAGTCTGAGGATTCCTGATTGAGGCCTCGGACATGGAGCGGAAGTTAAGGGGAAGAGAGATTGGGTGCTGGCTTGAAGATATTGGGATTAAACAGTTTGTTAGTGGTTTAACCCCTTTAAGTAAGGTGACCCCCAGGATCTTCTCGCATCATTACAACTTCATTCTGATGTTATGGTGCCCAGACTGTCCCTTTAAATAATGGGAAGTACCATGAAGAGATAATATATTAAGAGATAAGGAAAGGAAAACTGAAAGAAAAAAAGGGGGACAGTGCTGCTTTATGTTCACATAATTATGTGTTTATTGGCATTAAGATCTCAAAGTTCAGGTTGACAAATTGTTTTAGAACATGTTTTTTTTTTTTTTTCTCAGTGCTAGGAAAGAAGCACACACCTAGAGTTGTAACCGAAATACCTCACAAATTAGTCACTTCTGAGTTTTAACATTTGATAGACACTTATGTGTAATAGTGTCCGCATTAAATGTTGGCTGTTTATTCCTATTTACATGTTGATCTCTGCCCTTAGTGTATTTATGTAATCAACTTCATTGGATTTTGATTCTTTGACAGTCATGCCTAAAAACTGTTTTATTATGTTGGTGCTTTATAAATACCTCTATCAATAATGCATATAATCACACTTGTTTTCATAATGCACAGCTCATTACAGTATTATACTAATATGACTACCGGGTATATAAAGAACTTACCACAAATCAGCATTGATCAAATAATACATCATTTGTTTGTCATACATTTGTGTGTTAAGAAAGAAAAAAAAAGTTTGTTCTTGGTATTTAAGTGGAAATGATCAGAATGTTATCTTATCAGAAGGGTGTGATTAAGCATGTACTAAAATCCTCCTATGTCAGGTCCTGCAAAAAATGTCAGGAATGCTATCAGACAATTTGTCTTGTTCCCCATTGTTGATGTTGGTATTCCTATGTTTGTTGGACAGGTTTCTTATTGTTCTCTTTCTTTCTCAGACTAGAACTGATAAGATTGTCAGAGAAATGGATATAAGGGGTTAAGAAATGTATAACCATTTGTTGTTGCTACATTTACAGGTAGATATAAGCAAAGAAAGGGAAAAGCCCATTCCCATCCCAGACTTTCAGTTCCTGTAGGTGTTGCTTTGTTTGCAGCACCTTTACATACTGTATAATGGAGGGCCCCAGGGCTGGGTGTGAAGCAGCAAACGAACTAGAATAAGAAGACCAGTAGTCTTGAGATTAACGCTGCATAACAGAACTCTTTGACTGTTACTTTCTGTTTCTGTTTTACAGAAATACATCCTAGTGGACAGGCGTAATTAATGTTCACTTTACAAAGTGAGGTGTATAGAAATATAGGTTTTTAAATCTGATTTTTATCACTCCATATAGTTCAGTTTCAATATTTATAGAACTAGGGCATGTGAAGTTCTCAAATTTTTACTGTTGCAATGTGAAAAAATTGTAGCTATAACTACAGTGCTTAAATACTCATGGGTAAATTATGTAAAAATCTATTAAAGGACCACTATAGTGCCAGGAAAACATACTCGTTTTCCTGGCTCTATAGGATCCTTGGGTTCCCCTCACCCTCTGGGCCCCCCTCCCTCCGGGCTCTGGGTGAGGAAAGGGTTAATCCCTTACCTTTTTTCCAGCGTCGGGCTCCCTCGGCGCTGGGGAATATCCTCCTCCTTTCCTGTCATCAGCTGAATGCGCATGCGCGGCACGAGCTGCACGCGCATTCAGCCAGTCTCATAGGAAAGCATTCTCAGTGCTTTCCTTTGGATGCTGGCTTCTTCTCACTGTGAAAATCACAGTGAGAAGCGCGGAAGCACCTCTAGCGGCTGTCAATGAGACCGCCACTAGAGGCTGGATTAACCCTAAAGTAAACATAGCAGTTTCTCTGAAACTGCTATGTTTACAGCAGAAAGGGTTAATCCTAGATGGACCTGGCACCCAGACCACTTCATTAAGCTGAAGTGGTCTAGGTGCCTATAGTGGTCCTTTAATGGTGTAACTGTAATGCTTTTTGTCAGGTTTAAAATAGCTTGTTGAAGTGTGCTAAAAAGAGTAACTTTCCAGCTGCAGAGGAAGTACAGTGCAGTGATACTTAGCACTCATTCAGAAAGTCACTCAAGATGATTGAAAGGAACATCCCAAGCACCATACCCACTACAATGCATTGTAGTAGTTATGGTGTCAGGAGTGTCCTGGTGCACTCCTCATCCTGTTCGCCCCTGTCCTACGTGATGTCCATCCCCAGCCAGCCAGCGGGGGTGCCATCAGCAGAAGAAGACTGGTCTACAGGGAGAACTTGTCCATAGATCTGGAACCGATCTAAGTACTAGCTGCTTTCCCTTGGGATGGCAGGAGAGGTTGAAGTGCTACTCTGACCAAAAACAATGTTTTCTCACAGATTTCCCGCAAAAGGCACCTATGCTTAACAGACATTGACATTACATGTAAATCACATAGTTTACATGATTTAATTACGTCAATAAATTGTAAAGTTTGTGTTACATCTGCACAGATATGAAAAGCATGCAAAATGCGAGAATTGTGTTATGTACAATAGAATATGTAAATCAGACTGGCTCTGCTACTGTCTCACTGTGCGTCACTACAATGACGCAGCCACATATGCAACCACATATGGAACACACTGTGATACACTGTGTGTTCTGGCATCTTTCTATCATGTAAAAGGTAATAGGATCAGCACTAAGTAACCAATAGACAGCTAAAATAAATGAAGAAATGGGCCGCAACCTAAGGGTATGATGTTCCATCAAAACATCAGCAAAAAGTACAAATGTAAAAACAGAATATAGGTTGCGCCAAAGAGTGGTAAAATATAATAAAACAATGCGTACTTACATAAAATTAATACAAAGGAAATAGAGTCCTGATTAAAACGTATAGAAAATAGTCCAAGTTTTGATTGAAGGGATAAATAAATGGTGTGAGACTTGTAGGGTCCAGAATGTATCCAGATGACGTGGAGGCATAGAAGAAAAGAAAATTCCAATAGTGTGAAACTGCGGTGGAAAGATGAAGATAATAGCAATAGGGGTCCTCCTACTCACCTATTGTAGATCTATGGCCAGCTCAGGAGTAAATAGCATTCAGTGGCGTCGATCCCCCACTGGTAGGATATAGGGGCCGGTAGGTGGTACATGTCCTTGGTATGGGGGAAGAGGAAAATAAAAACAAATAGTGCTCTCTGTATGCAGCATTAAAAGGTAAGATTATAAAAGGTATAATACTCACATATAAGTGAGCAGGATGTACTGCTCACTATACTAGCGTAGGTCGTATAATCCCCACCTAAGATTTTTGGGTGAGTTGATAATCCAGAGTATCCAATGACCAGGTAAGAAAAGTAAAATAAAAAGATAAAAATACTATAAAAAAGGTATATGGCACAAATACTATATGAGGGGCCAATATTCCTTTAATAATAGATAATAAAATACATGAAAAAACAGCTGTTTTTAAATACCTTATTTATAGTATTTTTAACTTTTTTTTTTTTATCTTCCTGTAAAGAGAGCCCTATTTAGGCTTTCTTTATTGTAAGTTCTGTTTAATTAAGATTTTCTTATCCCCTTCTATGTTAATAGCTTGCTAGACCCTGCAAGAACCTCCTGTATGTGATTAATGTTCAATTTAGAGATTGAGATACAATTATGTAAGGTAAATTACATCTGTTTGAAAGTGAAACCAGTTTTTTTTTTTTCATGCAGGCTCTGTCAATCATAGCCAGGGGAGGTGTGGCTAGGGCTGCATAAACAGAAACAAAGTGATTTAACTCCTAAATGACAGTGAATTGAGCAGTGAAATTGCAGGGGAATGATCTATACACCAAAACTGCTTTATTTAGCTAAAGTAATTTAGGTGACTATAGTGTTCCTTTCACTTTTCTCTTTGGTTACCACTTGTGGTCTAGTTTAATTGAGCCTCATATGTAAGTTTGTATTAAAATGGTTCTATTGCGAATTTTTTAGATTTTTTGGTTTATTATCTTTTTATATAATGGCCAATTTATGCTATCTGGAATATGATAGCATAAATCAGCCTTTTCCTGTATAACTGACATTGTCGAAATAATTTAGGCAAGTTGTTGTACAGTATTGTTGCTCTTAACAGTGCAATAACCATATGATGTAATAAAAAAAATAAAAAAAAATTCTGTACTGGTTATGAGTACCCTGGCACTATTTCCTTGTAATGAGGCAAACCTTTTAGCCCTGTTATCTAGATTCCCACTGGGTGCCTGCTCTCCTCTGGTGTTGGCTGAACAACATCCATCTGCTGCAGAAGCGTAATGCCAACCCCGATGCTACTCATTGCTTCAGAACATCCACTGGGCTCTCTGAGGCAATGAGTGAGTGTCTGTGCATCAAAGTGTGCACAAAACACAAAAAATTAGCCAGTTGGCTAATGACGCCCCAGTGACCTCAGGCCGGAAAAGGACAAAACTCAGTATATGCAGCATTTCATACCGAAATCCTGCACATACAGACTCCAGGCACCATGATCACATCAAATCAGTGGTCATTGAGTTCCAAGAAAACCTTTAAAGAAACACTATAGTCAGGAATATTCCTGACCCTGTAGTGTTAAACACTATTTTGGTTGCCCTCCATAAATAAGGTTAAATATTACCTTAATTCCAGGGCCACCTGAGGTCTGCGGTTGCTGGCTCCAACTCCTTGGCTGAGATCATCAGAATTGATGATCTCAGCCAATCCAATTCTTCCCTGCTCATTGTGCAACACTGACCCAGGAAGCACCTCTAGTGGCAGTCTAAGGTGTTACACCATATGTGTCAGCATTTACTACCGTGTACTAAACAGCGGGTAGCTGACACTTTGAGCAAAGCATCCTGTGACTTGTTTGGTTGTCCAGTCCTCGATATCCTGTTCACTTTCATAGTTTTCAGCAATCTCGGCTGTAGCAGAGGCTAAGTGATAGAGTAGGATTTAAAAAGGGGTGCCACATTAGACTCTTTTCACAGTTATAGGAGAAACAGTTTTATAGCACTTTTCCCCTTCCTCTACCCCTTTAAAGCTGCCCTATACTGACACTAGGTATTCATTGGAAAAATGATATATTGACAATTATTATTTGTATAATCCTTACTCTCCTAGTGTTGCTATTTCGCTACATTACTACGACTTTAATATACAGATAGGACTGTACTTACATATTATATTTTATACTATTCACATCTGTATATATTTTATTATGATATAATAAAAGTTGTTTTTATTTATTATTTTTCCACTAGTACTATTTAATCTCTCACTAGGAATACATGCTCATTAGTAGATTTATTTTCTTTTTTTTTTTTTTTCTTTAGTTAGGTTTTTGCAATTTTGATAGTCAACCATTTAGGGGTTACCCCCCCATTTTTTTGCTACTAAATGTGTGCCTTTTCCCTATATACTGGTGTGACTTTATTTGACAAAAATGACGGTGTTACTAGGTGATACTAAGCCTGCAGGGACATACTATACACACCAGAACAACTATATTAAGCTGTAGTTGTTCTGGTGACTCTAGTGTCTCTTTAAATTTTTTTTATTACTATGCTATGTAGTGATATGGTAATTCTCAGCAGTAGGAGGAATTGCATGACATCAAATGCTCTAGGGACTTTGATTCAGAATTCCACGTGGGTTTGCAAAGAACCCATGAAATTGTTCTGTTACCACAGACTGCAGTGGCCATGAACACCCCACTAGACACATGCTTCAAGGTTTCATACAGTGGGACCCAGCAGAGCTGCACTACATTCTGTTTATTTTCTCTCTCTCCAATCTTTTCTTGGAGTAGTTTGACAGAGTGGGGGTGCAGGGATGAAGAGGGAGGCATCGAGCACAGGGATGTGGACTTTCTAATCTTTGTTCCGCAGTGGTTTCCCTTCCCAATATCCTCACCGAATTTTGAGTCTCTCTGGCTAATATCAAGCTAAAAGAGGATAAGTCCCAGATCCTCAATGTTTACATCCCACCCAGTGAGTCGGCTGCTTTGAGGGACAGTTTCCCATTTATATGGTGCAAGGATGATATGAAGTATCTGGGAATACCTAGACCCTTCTTGACTTTGTGGACTCATTTTCCCTCCTCTTCTCAGAATCCTTCAGACTGACCCTCATTCCTGGCTCTCACATTTCATATCCTGGTTTGGATGGATGCAGTCAAAATGAACATCCTCCTAATGGTATTCTATCTTTTGCAGACCATAACAATTAAATTGGCACTTTTATAAATGGGACTTTTAAAGTGATACTCTATAGCCATAAAGTTTTTCAGCAAGCACAAGTGCTATATATGTCTGGAGTGGTCCTTTAAAATGAGTGCTACCTCCAGCTCTCTCACTTCCTTAAGTCATTGTCTCTCCACTTAACCTGGCAACACTCTACTTTTCAATCATAGTGCCACTAACATAAGAAACTCTGTAGAAGCATCTATTCTATACCAGTTTTTACTGTCCTTTGTCAGATGCTAAAATTGAAGCATGACTTTAAAACACCAACTCAAATTGTTTGATTTCATTGCTGACTTTGCTGTTCCTCCCAGTTTTTCTCAGATCTGATCCAATGTGTTGGTTCAGTATAAAACTCTCAATTCAGCAAGTTCATATAGGGTGACTAATCCAGTTGAGTTCAGTTTTTAAGTCCAGAAAAAATGTGACAATTTACCCAAATGAATAACCGTAAACTCCGATATTATTTTTAGTGTGTGTAGTATTCATGAAATACCACCAATTTCCAAAGCGCTGTTCAGTGGGCTCAAAAGGAACAATCCAATCTGGATGAAGTGCTCCATGTATTCTTCCTAGCACGTTTAAAAAAAAAAAAAAAAAAAGTTTCAAGACAAATCAGAGCTACGATTATAAATCCCCTTAATATTACTGCTGGACAACCGGGAGGGATTCCTGCCTTGACTCACTTAACATGATTTGTAGTTCAATTGTAGCGGGCTGGAATATTTGTAATTGATAAGAACTGGTTTCAGTGATCCCCCATGGGAAAGATTGTTGGTGGATCTTTGTGATTGCCATGCATGCACCATCTGTCCCTATAACTCTCTATGAGAAACGTCTGATTGGACAAAAGTCATCCGTAAAACCGACTTCATAGGAGGCAGATCAGAGCTACCAAAAGGAGACTTCCAGGCACTGGAAAAAGGTGAGTTTATTGAACTGGGGCAGTCATCTAAGCACAAATAGCAACCCTTACTTTTAAATATAGATTTTTTTTTTTTCCCCTTTAAATTGAGTTTTCAGAACAAAAAATAATTAGACAATCTGGTTCATAACAAAAGGAGAGCCCTACCCGTAAGCTTAACCCCTTAAGGACACATGACGTGTGACATGTCATGATTCCCTTTTATTCCTGAAGTTTGGTCCTTAAGGGGTTGAAGGGCTGCTGCAAATAAAAACGTTAATTTTTTTTAAGAAAACACTGATTTTGGTTAGTTTAACACTTTCTGAAGTGGTCCACCCTCCAAAAAATGGAGAGAAAAACAAACAAACCTCCATTGCCAAGTTATCCCTGCAGCCAAAATGTCATTGCATGATGTCACTTGTCCTCACTAGATGGTGATGGAGGACAGACACAGCATGGCGGGGCTGTGTCAGATTAATTTATTGTTCATTAAAAATGTAGCACCTCCACAATTTGTTGGTCAGTTCTTGGCATAGTATTCTCTATGCCGACTGCTGGCTAAGCCAGGATATGACGGAGAACAGGAAAACCCTTCTTCAAGTGGTTGTCTTGCTCTATCCCATTCCTAACCCCCAATCAAGGGTTTCTCCTGCTTGCAGGGGGGAATATAGACAAAATTATTCCTTAAGTGTTTTTAAAGCCACATGTGTTGGCATCATGGGGGGGGAGGGGGGTAGCATTCCCAAGCAGGACCAATTGTATGTGACAATAGTGTAACACCCACAGACCTCTTAGAATAGCAGGTAAGTAAACTATTATAGCTCCCACAGTAAATGAATTATATATATATATATATATATATATAACATTATGATTGATCCCTTGCTTGCAGAGTATCCACAAAAGCTGTCCCACTCATAACTTAAAATGAGCATAACTTCTCCATACTGTGACTATTTTTTTACACATAGCTTCCCCGTTTAGTAAACCACACTATGTAAAGCTCTCTCACTCCTTCGTCTGGGTCTTCCTTCTTGGATAAGGTCCTTGCACTGTAACTACAACTGAAGTGGGTATGGTGGGTGTTTAGAGTAACCCTTTAACTAAAACTCTCTTCCAGCCAAAAATCACACTGATGATATGTGCAGACTATTTCGCAGGAAATTCTGGATTTCTAGAATCACATGTGCTACAGAAGACCATCCATAAACCATGTCACTAGTGCACTGTGATGTTAAGGAAAACTTGCCTTGTTATTTTTTAGTCTTATTATTATTGATTGACTGGAAGATAAGTTCTAATTATGAGATATTCACTCCACTTTTTGCCCCCTCAGCATATTTATGATTAGGTAATGTGTGATATAAATATAAATACCAATCCTCTTCCTGCATTAACATGTATTTAAGTATGTCTTTTATATGTCGGCATCCTACTCTTTTGTCTCCTTGCACAGGAGGAATTGCATTATTGTTAATGTGTCCCAATTGAAGTAAGATCATGAAGCTGGGACCCTGATGCTCTGCACATTGCCTGGGATGGACAGGGGGGCCAGATACCCACAACCTGAACCACAACACGGAGCCAGTGGGATGTGTTCTACGGCAGCCGTGCAGTACCAGTCAATCCAGCCCGACATTGAGGTAATATAGAACTCTGGGTACAATAACTTGGTGGAAATGCTCGACTTTGGTTTGTGTAATACTTGGGCAGCAAGATCCCTGCGTACAAAAAGCTGCATAGTTTTGTCATGGTGTTTGGCATTCAACAGGAATCAGTGCACAAAAAAAGAGGGGAATAAGAGAAGTATGAGGAGAAAGCAATTTGTGAAACGTGTTACACAAAAAAATATAAGTTAAAATTTTTCCATGGGAAAAAAAATAGTAAAATGTAGGTTACAGGAAAAAATATTCTATTGAGCAGTGAACTTGGTTAGTTATTAGGAAGTAAGCTGGCTGCCAATCAGCAGTATTCATTACATAGAAGAAAAGGCTGAGTGTGGCACAAGGACTTCCTCATTTTCATGTTGGACAAGAGCAAAATATTTCATATCCGGAATGCTTCAGTTAAGGTGCATTTTGATATTGTATCTTATTCTTGTCCAACAAAGGACAGACTGGCTGTAACTTGCAGTAGTGTATTTCTATTTATTAGATATGAAAGATTCTCAAATATAGATTGTGTAATACCGTGGCAAAGTGGAAAATGAAAAAACCCTTTGCAATGCACCATCTACGTGCCTTAGTGCCATAGAACAATGGGAATTACTGTTATATTGCTGTAACATGAGGCAGCTGGCATTTGTTTTAAACTATTAGTTATACTTTTCTATTATATATGCTGTTTTTTTGTCTCCTCTTTTATGTATGTGCTTATATGCAAGTATAAACTTTTTTTGTCCCTGAGATCAGGGCAAGGCATTTTGAAGTCCTGTTTTATATTGGGTTACTTCATTTATTTCCTTCATTAAACGGAACCAGTGTCCATGAGAAAAATCTTACTTGCAGATTTGTGAGTATGAACATGCTTCAAATGCAAACCCAATGCAGGTACCCACATTGAGGCAGTGGAAGCCCATTAGACATGTTAGGTTCCCCACCTCTTTTAAAGGGGTTAGGCTCCTTCGCTACATGACTCATTTATTACTGACATATCCTGTAACAGTTAAAACCAAAATAATGTTTTGCTTCACTCATCAATTGAAGAAAACAATGTTGACCATGCATTAATTAACCTGCACACAATAAATGAAAATTGGTAATAAATGATACTACCCTTCTTGTGTTTAAATTTTTATGTTTATATCAGTATATTGTTATAGTTTACTAAGCATTAATATTTACCGGTAAGTACTAGACATTCTAGATATTTGCTTTAAAATTTGAACCTTTTATTGTTTTCTTGTATGTGATAGCATACGGATAAGTGTCCTTCGTAGGTATTGGTAGAAATATTCTTAGTGTCCTTCCAGTATCTATGGAGAGAAGTTCATGTATAGTGGGCAATGCTTGTTGCTGCTGCCTCCGAGCAGCTGATCCCAATTCTAGAAGAGAACTATATATAGATTTGTGTCCGCAATTAGCTACAATTTGTCAGAATGTATTATAGTCTGAGAAAGCAGTGTATGAAAGTTCAACTATCTATGGGGCTAATGGGTGAGGATGGTGAATTTCTGATGCACATTTGCTGTAATTTCAGAACCCGGCACTGGCTGGCACCCCGTGGAAACATTTCACATTTTCACCTGCTCATTGCTTGCCTCATGCTCCTCTCACCAGCCCAAATCAGTAAGTTCCTCCTACCTCCCTTGCTGTATCTCACTCTTCTGCTTCCATACATTTGTTACTCTATTCCATCACATGCAGTATTAGTATTGGGCAGTATTGTCCATATTATAGACACTGATATTTTTTTTTTTAAATATTTTATTTTCACTTTTTTTTTTTTTGCTTGAAATCGTATCCACTGGTTCCCTATACCACTTGCTTTCCATCTTTTTCACGTGCTGCAGTCTGTCCTTTTTGTGTGTGTACACTCCTGCCTGCTTCATCCTTCTTGTCCACACTCTGGCTTGTAGCAAAATGCTTTCACATCTGTTAGTTCTTAGTCTTGTTTTCCAGTAGGTCTGATACTTGAGGGTATTCCAGTTTCTGATTTTCCTGTCCCAAACCTTGCCTTTCTTACTGTATGTTTTTTACACCGATCTGTCGCTCTTATTTACCATCGCCTTTGCCACTTTTAATGGTGATCATTTGTCACTATTGGATTCCCTCTGTCAGTCTCTTGTGCATGCACATATGTTCTCTGTCTACCATGCTTTTCTTTTGGTCATGACCCTGTCTTGCCTTGCTGCCATCACCCAAGAGTCTCTCTGTCATCATGTCTGTCATCATGGCTCCTCCTATGTGTCTTTCTTAACTGCATGCACTTATGTCACTGATTCCATCCTCCATGTTGTTTTCTTTTTATTGTGACACCAATCTGCTTTTCCTATTTGCCAAAATCTTGCTTGCCTGGTTTCCCTCCCCTCCTCCCCCTTTCATTTTCCTCCCCTCTTCTGTCTTTCTCCAATGCAGCTTCTTATCTGTTCTCTGCTCTGTGTTGCTCTGCCTCATATGTGTGTGTCTCAAGTACTTGTGTTGCACACTTGTAGTCTTATTCACTAAAGTGAGAATTCAAAGTGAATTTAAAAATGATACCAAAGTAGCTGAGCTGGAAACATAAGCTAGAGAATATCCAGTATTTCCAGTTCGGCAATTTACATTTGTAATTAATTTAGTATTTTTACTTAAGTGATGCAATTTTTTCATTGCATGCCTACCTCGAAGTATTACATTTTTAGAATTTCTGTCTGTCCTTGTCCAAATGAATAGTAATGATGTACACTTGAGAGACAACCATGTCCCTATTACTGTGTACGGCAATAAAACTATTCATCTTTGGAAAAGGTGATTCCTTGAAATAGAATAAGCATCAGACCTGGAACTCTTTCTCTCTTGTTTGGGCATTTTTGCACACCTTTCTTTTTTGGTCCCATATTTTATGTATCTCTGTTTCCTTTCTATTGCTATGTTGTGTCCAACACCTTGTATTGCTCCTTTACTTGAGGGCATTTGTCATACTCCCTCTGGTTATATTTTTCTCTCACCTGTTCATACATTTGTTGTATTGATTTATCTGCCCTTGAGTCTAATTGCTAACACTTCTATTTTGTCTTACTCAGATTGTGTCTTGACAGCTCGACAGAATATTACCATGATCCAGTTCAAAACAATTTGCCAACATTCAACAACTACCTACAAGGCTCAAGGGATGACTTTCTGGTAGTACTTCTTTTATTTTTCTCCTTCAATAGTACAAGATTGTGTGTTAACAATGTTTTTTTTTTATTTGTTTGTTTTTTTGTGATCCGTATTATTCATTTGTGTATTCTTAGAGGGTTACTCCACCCAAAACCAGTGTTTCAAGGAAATACAAGTTTTGGTAAGAATAACCTTTCATATCCCACTTCCAATTCTCACACTGCTGCTCTGCCTCTTTGGCCGAGATCATCAGTGTTAATGTTATAGAAGGCTAGTGCAGATGCCCCAATCAAATGCTGCTCTATGAACAGCATTTATTAGGAAGACAGTTATGTGTTAAACCTGCAATGTAAACACTGTCTTTACTACATAAGAGCAGTGTTTTAGATTCCAGTGTTTAAAAGACAGGGGCGCTGTACCCAGACGACTTCATTGAGATGAAGTGGTCTGGGTTCCATTTAAACATTCTTTTCTGTCTTAATAATTTAGGCCACTAATGAGTACACATGTACAATTACATTATATGTACACTTTTCTGTCTCCTTACTCCTATTCTCTTGTAAAACTATGTTTCCTTGATCAATATTTATGGAAATCTGCATTTCATTGTGCTGTCTGCTACCGTTCTGTGGCTTTTCTTACTGTTTCTTTAATTTTTCTTGCCCTCCCCTCCTGCTTTATAGGCATGTCCTCACCATCACTGTCTCTGTGCCCCCTCCCATCCCTTGACCCTCCCCTTTGTCTGGCTGCAGTTCTGTGGTGACCTGTGCTGTATATTGCGTAATGTTGTGCAGGGATATTTCCAGTAATATATGTGTAAGTGATTTGACTGAACTAAAAACAGAGAGAAGTGAAATGCGCTGCAGCCTTGATTAGTGAACTCCTAAATAGTGTATATGTTTTTTTTATGTCCTTTCATGAATACGTGCAAAAAAAACCTATTAAAATTCCAGGTTGTTTGACGTGGAAAACCCCTAAAAGAAGAGACAGAATTTAGATACAGTAACTGTCCTTTGTTAACTTTTGTAGTACATAAAAGCCCCACCCATGTGCATTGAGCATTTTTACAGTAACAGGGTAAAATAAACAAATCCTTTTTTATTTTTTTTTGTGTGTGTATATATATATATATATATATATATATATATATTCATGCTGTTTCTTGTAGATTTATTGGTGTCTAAATAGTTCCTTGTTTTGCATTAATCCGAGAGTATTCTTTTTTTCCCTCCCGTGTCTTACTTGTATACACATGGTTATGGTCATATGGTGGAGTGAGGACCAGATTTGAGGGGTGCCTGTTGTACCGATGCAGTATTGCGGTTCCAAGCTACTTTATATGCTCTTTAGGGTTTCATTGCTTTATGTTGTGAACGAGAGCTGAGCTGTGGGTTAGTCGGTCTGGTAGTGTTGGTGGGGTCTTTCTTCAGTGCTGGTGTGCGCATGCCTTTATGGGGGTAGTCTCTATCTATTTGGTTCCTGGAGATTGTATTAATGATAATGTGGCTGCATTGGTTTCTGTAAATATTAAACTTCCTGGAATCTGCTTCATTCCCCTCAATCCAATTGCTCCCGGGGGGGGTTGGAGGGGGGTGGTGGTGTAGAGGGAGCGCAAATAATCAATTCCTGAGTAGTACATATAGAGATTTGAACAGTATGGGTAATGCAGTGAAAGGGTTAATAAAACAAGGAAAATTGCATTTACAGTGTACTGTAATCAGCAAGTGAGTGTTTGGCTCATTAGTATCTTGGCACACAATACAAAGGGTTAAACAGGTGGTTAAGAAAAAAAAGTCTGATATTTCTTGCAATGCAGAGGTTAAATCTTGTCTGCTGCTGCTTAGGGGTTAAGGTGGAGGCGTTTTCCGCACAGTGATTGGTTGCTAGAGCAGGTACAGGTATGTTGGGGGTGGAGTTTTCTACCAGGCTCAGTAAGTGTTGTGACTGCCAGGAATTCTCGCACAGAATCATTTCCTGAAAGTCAGAACAGCTCTGAGAGGAAGTGGGATCAGGGGCCGGCCGTGCATACCCTGGGGGGGAGGGAGGTAGAAGAGGAGGGGAGTCATAGGGTGGAGAGAAAAAAAGAGAAAAGCAAAAAAAAAAATGAGCCACTGGGGGGTGGCTTTATTTGAGAGCGCAGAGTAAATGAAGGAGGGGGTAGCTCCCAGCTGTTGTGATGTCCTTCTGTCATGTGTAAGGCTGAGTCTCTCCAGCTGCATCTGATACAGCTCCTCTGTTCTGCTGGCATGTCACAGCTGCATTTCTGGCTGAAGGTGTCCTCCGTGAACAAGGTACTACGCTAGATATGTATAACAATAAAAGTAATTTTAGCACCACCACTTTCTATGTTCAGTTTCCATCTGTATAGCTTTGCTTGAATACTATGGTTTGTTGATCTTGTTTATTGAAACATTTCCAAGAGCTACTTGTGTAAAACTCACTTGCCCCTTGTGAGTTAACCCTTATACAGTACTCTTGTTTATCGCTCAGTAGTTGTGTTTTTAGTTTCATTTTCCGTATGCGAAGCCAAAGCTTTCTTTGCCCTGTCATTATCAGTATTGTGCAAGACTTTATAACTCTTGCACAGCGCAGCTGGTTTTAATTGTGATTTTTCTTCCTCCTTTCTATCAGCGTAACCCAGGTTCTAGTCATGGCAGCCAAAGTGAGATGTTCCCTGTCAGGTATATAGAGCTGTAGAGCAAACTGTACAAGTGTACGCTAAGTATGTCGGTTTATATGTACTCTATAGCATGTGAGAATGAGTAAACCCAACATGTGACAGGTGGCATTTCAGTAGGGAGGTAATGAGTTGTGCTGCTGACATGGTAGGTGGCTGAATCCATTTATTAATTATACATTATAGTATTTTTTTCTGTAGCACAAGGAACTGAATTCTCAGAATGTGATTTATTTAATCCATATAGTTTATGTGTTTCACATGATGTGATAGTTTGAGAGGCTTTTTTTTTCCTTTACTTCCTGATACCCCCACTGCTCTTATATCTGTTCCCCAGATCAACGATGTCTGAGCATTCTGAGTAACAAAAGAACACCTTTGTAGGAAACTTCAGAACCTAATTCAGGGCGCAATCCTTTTTATTTTTAAGTTCCTTTTGTTTTATTTTTTTATTAGTTATTTTCAGGGTTCATTAATCCGATTTACAGGTTTCTCTCCAGTGTGTTGATGGTGTTTATTTTTAAACTTCTGCAGTTTTTCGTAATGCAGGACAAATCGTAAAGGCTGTCTGCTACAATAATAGGTTCGGCTTTGTTTGTTTTTTTTAGTTTGTATTATTGTTAGTCTTAAGATAATCAAAATTAGTGGGTATCGTATAATAAACAAAATAGTTGAGGTGGTGTATATTTAATATATATTTAGTTTACAGTAATACCCATAATTTAAATAGTTTTATTAAGATGGTGAGTTCTTTTACAACATGATTTTGGGTGTTGATCTCCCTGCTTTATGTAGATTTCGAATATTCACAAATTTTATTTAAAGGCAGTCTATGGTTTGTCTGTCGGTTGCTGTTCACAACAGAAATTATATATGTAACCATGTAATGTCAGGTGTATCTGGGTTAAGATACCTCACCTCAATGTGTCAGAATACAAGATATATCATGGGATGTGTCCTTATTAGTAATGTTAAAAATGTTTGAGTGGCCTTCCTCGTCTGTAAGAATGCATGTAATCCCTAAAACATTAGGATAAAGGTGACTTGTGGATTTTTATTTATTTATTAATTTGTGCTCCGCAATTGAGCTGTATTTTCACGTATGAACTCACATGATCTTTAACCTAATGAATAGTTTTAGAGAATGTGTTATAATTTGAATAACTTGAGGGATTCAGATATTCAAATAATATTGGAATTCAGGGGGTCCCGTATGATGCACGTTAGTTACATCCATCAATTTACCTATAAATTTGAAGGATTGCGTAATTCAAGAACAAAACCTTCCTTGCCAAGCCTTCTGTCTAAGCCCTGCTTTATTATATTCACATGTAATGTCTTTACACAACTATAGTATAATGGCTGGTAGTGACAGCAAAACAGCAGAGCGTGGGTTAAGCGCTTCCTTAATATCTATACAAAGATTTGGGACCATTCATGTGGTTGGATTCTCTTTGGGAACTGTTGGTGTAGAGTAGTTTTAGAAGTTATCTGCTTTCACCTGGCAAAAACATATTTTTAAAAAAAAGTGAGTCTTCAGTGACTCCCTTTAAATAATAGTATTTGTATAATCTCCAATTGTATGGGTGGGTGTCCATCTCTTGGGGAATCACTCATATCAGGTTGTCAGGCTTCTTGACAATTGTAGGTTTGCTAGCTTTTCAGAAATGTAATAATTAGTTCATATACTTCCAGTAACAGGTCTGAGTGATCCCAATTCCAGGAATTATCATTGCTTAAACATCCTACAGTCATGCTGCTTCCTCATCACAAACACCACGTATCCTTAAGATCACTAAGGAAAAATAGAATTCCATTATACTAGAGAAAAATACCACGCATTGTGATGTATACAGAGACTCCCCAAATTTTCCATTAAACCTGTTGTTTTATTCTCCCTTTTACTGGATTCACAGCTGATAACAGTTTTTGGTGTTACTGCAGCAATATCCGTTAATCTCCAGTACCAGTATTACTGGGATTTTAAACTGTTCTATTTTACAAACAGTTTTACTTGTCTGTCACCCTTACTTGAACCGTTTCAACATTAGAGCACAAAGTTATTGAAAGAAACAATTACATTTAAAATCTAGTTCGAAAGAGAAAGCTTTGTACTACCATACTGTGGGGAGCATCACAATATAAATCTATATGAATGATGTGATTACATCAAGAAAATCCCCCATTTGAAAAATATCAATATTTAGTTAATCATAGTAGCATTAATCTGGTTGTATTCTTACCTTTTTGTATGTGTATATGTATATATGAACATAAGCTTGTCTTATATTGCAGTCATCTAGCTGAGGGCTTAAAGGAATTGTTGATTATCTTTATATTGTGAAAGGGAATGTGTTTTAAATCAATATTTAATATTATTACGAGTCTACATAAGTAGTAGGGCTGTGTTGGATAGTAATAACCTATTGAGTCAAAATGTTCCTAATTTTAAAATTGAGGGGTGGGGGGGTGTTCTGTTAGTATTATATACTGATATCAATAAGAGTAGACCATTCATGGTTATATACTTAATGTCTGATTTAAGTGGATTTTATGTGTTTGTTGAGTTCCTGTTGCTAATGTCATTGTAGATGAATATAACCTCTCAAGTTCTCTGCAAGGAATAGTGACTAAATTGTATTGCTAGCAATCTAGTTGTATCACATGAACAAACCACTTAAGATAAATCTTGCTTCTCTAGATCATGTCTACTTAGTACATCCTTTTCTTGAAACAACAGCAAATTTTTACTTTTGTGTCATACTTCGATTGTAGTACTATCCCACTTTTCTCTCTTTTTTTTTTTTTTTTTTTTTTTTTTTTAGAATACTTCAGAAATGACAGCCTTTCTTTACAGTTTTCAGTTGGTATATGAGAATATTTCTGTAGAGTACTTGGTTGTAAAAAATACGGGAAATATGTCACGCACCAACAGTAAAGTTTTAAGAGGCATGGCTACCTGGCTCCTGGAGTTTGACCAACCTCTTCTTCCAGTAATTTTAGAATGGGAGGGGGGTCTTATTGTTGCAATCCCATCATTGATAGATCGATCTTCCAGTAACATCATTTTATTATTATATGCTATGATCAACTCCCCCACCACCACCACTCCCTCCCACAGTATGTTTACAGATGTTAAAATTGTTTCCTTTTATAACTCTGTACTCTAGTGTTGAAACTATTTAGTTGATAATATTATATATTGTTTGTATGATGTATTTTTTTTAAAAATATTCATTGCTTTGATGATTTTTTGTTGAAGGTTAAGAAATTGTAATATTCTCCAATATTATGATTAAAAAAATGTTTGTGTGTGCTGTAAGTGAAGATAAACTTTTTAAACCTGTCGGAATTTCTATGTATCTGTGGTAGTGCAATTAGGGGGGTTTCTTTCTGGTAGTATCACAACATGGTATTAATAGTCCAATAATATTATGTTGCAGCATCCACAGTAATATGAAAATTTGCGTTAATATAATTCTTCTATCTCCCCATTATTAGAAATAATTTAGCAGATTGAAAGACCATTTTCCAAGTGCTTAGGATAATCGTTGTGGAACTGCAGAGACTTCCTCCATTATGTTGATTTTACGGTTCTTTGAGGTTGTGGAATTTCTATTTTTGTTGTAGTGGACGGGAGTGTATTCACTTCCAACAATACTGAGATTAGGAGCTGTGTACAAGTAGCTGAGTTCTGTCCAATAAGTGGAGTCTTTGTCTAGTTTTCACTGTTGGAACATTACTTATAGCAAAATGCAGCAATTTGGGTGATGTTTCTCTGTGTGTTACATCTGGATGATAATAATCCAATAATGGATTGATATGATGTTCTAGAGCAGGGGTTCTCAACGTTAGTCCTCAGGACCCCCTACCAGTCCAGGGTTTAGGGATTACCTGGGTGTGTCTCAGGTGTTTAGAAAAAGGGAAAAAAACACCTTAGATTTTAAGGTGTTTTTTTTTTTTTTTTAAACACCTTAGACACACCCAGGTAATCCCTAAACCCTGGACTGGTAGGGGGTCCTGAGGACTAACGTTGAGAACCCCTGTTCTAGAGGGATGAATACTTTTCTAGTGTTTCGTAATTTAAACCGACTCCTTGATTCAGTATAATATTGGCTATATGCACAATTAGAGGATTCTTTCATTCATATATAGAGTTATGACATTTTTTCTTTTATTTATAAGAAATTGGTAGATATTTAAAGTAACTTAAATGGCTATGTTCCACAAACAGTACCCCGTATAAAATAGTTTATGCTACATAATGAGTAGGAAAGAAAGCAAGATGTGTATGAGATGTTCCTTGTCTCATAAAACTTAAGAGACTTATTTGCTAAACCTCAAAACCTGACACTTACAGGACACAGTCCCAGCTAAAATCTTGAAGAAATGTGTTTGATCCTATTCTCTGCAGATGGATATAAACCCCCCAGGCACTACTTTATATTTCATGGGATAGTTTGGTACATTGTCAGGATATTATATGCACAATAGCAATAGTATTTATTTACAATAACTAAACCCGTATTATTATTTATGCCAACATAAGTGATTTTATGGAACTTCATGAGCTGTTTAGCTATAGTCAAGTTCTCTGAATAATGACTGTATGCATTTGTGTCTGTAAACATACATATGTAGTTATAGACTTGATACAGGCAGTGGGGTGACAGTGGATAAAAGAAGCTCTGTGGAAGACTACTTTAATTTCTGCATCCTGAAAGTTAACTCCCTTTGCATGATGTCAGACAAGGGCATATGCAGAGTAAACATAACCTCTGCGTTATGCGATACCGGGAAAATATTTAAAATAATGGACTGCAGCAAAAATATGTCCTTTTAAAAAGGGAAAAAAACAATATGTGGCTTATTTTAACTGTGTAATATGTATGCTCACAACGCCAATAATGCAGATATATATTCATAAGTCCCATATTGTTCTATGTGTTTTGTTTTAAATTTTAACTTAAAACATCTCTATCAGGTAGCACATTTTATGACAACAACTTTTTAATGTTGCCACTGTATTAATATACTTCAATTTTAATTCAACCTATCGTTCCTGTAAGTTTTCTTGTATTTGTACTATTTACAGTTAAATCCCCCCACTTAAAATATCGTAAAGCGCTCCGGATGTGTTGACGCTATATAAATGGCAATAATAATAATAATAATAATTGGTCTTAAAAATTTGCTATTGTTTGCCTGAGGCAAAAATCTGCATATTTAGACTTTTTAATGTTCCAGTACTTTATTGATATTACTAATATGCAAGGTGAAGGTTGCTAATCTTGAAAATTTGCCTGAACTAACATACATTATTAGTTGGGCACTTTGTGACCATAACAACGATAAAATACAATATATAAGGGCAGAGTAGGGAACAACTATATCAAGCAGTCTATTTTTTTTATTATTTATGTACAAATCTTAAACTCTCAAGCAGAGCCCACTTTTTGTCTTATGCATTAATCTGTTTTCTTGGCAAATCAAGTTAATAATAATACCATTAAGTACTAAATCAAGCTCTGCGCTATATACACGTTGGTATTTATAGTCATCTCAAACAAATCAAGGTGTGGCATGAAAGCAGCGGAATCTTGTTTGTTTTTTCTTTTATATCTTTCCTTTTTTCTTTTTTATCCATTGGAATGGATTTTTTTTTCTTTTCAAACCACAAATACTGATTCCTTTTGGCTTCACTATTCGGAGTGTGTATGGTGTCTTTCCTTTGGCTTTTGCAATCATAATTCTAGATGAGAATGAGGGATGTGATATGAGGGCAACAATAAATTAATTAGGGTCATTCTCCTCCCCTCTGCCATGGTGTATGTATATGGAAAGCTTTCCCAGAAAATTATGAGATTCATTACAACGAACAGGGCATTATAAGAAAGTGTTTTTAGGAAGATGTTAGCTGTTATTAAACAGAGGAACAAAAAAATGCTCAAGATTGCTGAGTTAAAGAGACACTACAGGTACCCAGACCAATTCATCTCAATGCCTCTAGTAGCTGTCTCTAGTAGCTGTCTACCAGACAGACATTAAAAGATCTTCCTGTAGTTTCATGGAGTTTGCCTCTGTGAAACGACTCTGGACATCCTCATGCTTTGCATGTGGACATCCAGTGTCACGCAAAGCCTTATAGGAAATGACTGATTCAATGGTTTCCTATCGGCAAGTTCTAATGCACGTATTAGGGACCTCATCGGCTGATGCAACGGAGGGAGCCCGATAAGGGATCAGGTAAGTGAAAGAAAGGTTGTTTTTTTTTTTTTTTTTTAACCCTTTCATGGACGGGAAGGCTACAGGGGCAGAGGGGCATTTTAGTGTTAGGAATACATCTGTGTTCCTTTAAGAAAACAGACTGTATACTGTTTGCTCCAATGGCTCAATACCCATTTTATTAATATTGGGCGGCTGCTTATCAATGCAGATGCCTGTTGCAATAGCAAATACAGCTTCTGGGATCCCCTCACTCTCTCAAACTTGCTAGTTGAGAGAAAGTCACTCTCCTCTGTATACAGTTCAGACAAAATTGTTCATTGCCCCTGTACAGCACCATACATTGTAACAAAAAAAAGTTAGGTAGATATTGGAAATTATGAATGACGATAGATTATTAATATAGGTAGTCTTTGACTTTTGTTTTCTCACAATGTCCTTAATTTATACATGATCCCAAGGTACACAAGACAGTCTCTGATTTACAACATGCTGTCTCATTCCTTCCATGCTTTGTCTTCAAAGTAACAGAACCCTATTGTCTCTCCTATTAAATAATGAGGTTGCCTTAAGTTCTTAAGAGCATGTATAATTATGCTCTGTAGAAGTACAATTACAATTCTTTATATAGTGTCAACATATTCCGCTTGGCCGTACAATAGGCAAATAAGACAAACACTATATTTTTAAAGACCATGATTGACATATTGGAACAATAGGTGAAGAGAGCTCTGCCCAAACTACCTAAAAATTTAAAAGGTGTGTGTGTGTATATATATATATATATGTGGTTCCAAAATACCAGAGTATACTTTTTTATTTTATTTTATTTAGATTAACTTAATACTTAAAAGACAAGCTCTCAAAGCTCCAATATATTATACAAGATGATGCACACATGGGGAATATTTCTACTTTTATCAATTCAAAGGTAGAGAAACGTCAACATTTCACTCTCACCAGGAGACATTTATCAAGATATTTGGATTTATAAAGTAAAAATTCTTCACATATTCCCTGTGTAGTAGTTTGGATGCTTGTATGTGGACCCAGTCATGGTCCTGTAATTAATGTAAAGGACTCATGATAGAATAAGCTTCCCTTCTATAGTCCCTTAGTAGTCTTCTCGATTCACACCTGTGAACATTAGAGCATGTTCCATACTTATCTATTATTCATTGGGTTCTTCAACATCGGTGTTATTTCCTGATCCCTAACCCACCAGTTGCTACATGAGTTTTATTCTTGAGTACAAAGAGATTAAAATCACATTCAGTTTGTTTTCTTTTTTTAATAGTATTCTCTTCGCTGGTGTCACAAACATTCCTGTGTCCGGATTCACTTTTGTATTCCAGCACTTCTTTTTTTAATTTTTTAAAAAATTTTTATTATTCATTACTCACCACTATTTGCCGCATGTCCTACCAATCTTCACCCATATTTATATACTTAGTTTTTCAGTAATAATTTGTGTATTTTTTTTTTTAAATTTAAATAAATTCAAAGATCTAGTTATTGAATATGCATACACTTTTCATGATGAAATTTATAGCGTGAACCTCACTAGAGCCACCTCTAGAATCACACTAAAGCACGGAGGCTCCAGTGGAATAAAAAATCGTGTAAATGTAAAGGTGCAAATGTGCACTTTTATTCGAAACTAGTGCATTTTTAAACCTTTACTTCTATTCAGAAAGCAAAAGACTAATAAAAGTGTCTCTTTAGCTTGAAAAAGTAGGGCTTCTGCGTATGATAAATTCTAAACATTTTTTTTATAAATGCTTAATGTTCCGCTGCTATGCACATTCTTAAAGTGCATCAATATTTTATTGTACCTAATAATAATTTTTGATTTTGTTTTAACCTCACACACCTTATACTGGATGAGGAAATTAGTTTTCATCAGCGCTTGCTCTCATTGACTAGACTGCTTGCTGTTATAATCCTATATGATATAACAGTAACACTCTACTTCAACAACCGTAATCCATCCCAAATCCATATATATATCAATGTAAAAGATATAATGGTCTTAAATTCACCAATATTAAACCTTTTTTATGTTAGCAGTCAGAGTTAATAAAACAACCTAGAGAGATGTTTTGCTGTAGATTTTGACAGCTTCACACTGATTATGGATCATTATTGGCACACTTGCTGGCTACCTACATAGAAAACCGTATACTACCCAACGTTGCATAGTTTTTCTAACGATACTAAATGAGATATGGAAGGGAACTGCAAAAGACGCCCAGCTTCCTGAAAGGAATGGCTCCCCTATTTTGCATTTTTTTCATAACCACTCTGTTACAAAACATTTATGCATTTGCGAAATAGTAGCTCCCCATCAAAATATCCTGTCCGCACTGTAATGCTTGTAAAACAATATGGTGTTACCCACACTTGGGGAGCACTATATTTTTAGATATGTAAAAGCCAGATCTACATTTGGAGTCCACTTAGCTGGGCCAGTACAATTATGTTAAATATATGTGTCAGATGATGAAGTTTACTTAGATTTTTTTATCACATTGTCAGATGTAGACTGGTGTTGATTTGTCTCTTGTTTTGTTTGTTTTTTCTTCCTTCTCCCATGTCTTTCTGACGGTATCCACTAATCTATGCATTTATACCTATTACAGTAAAAGAGGAAAAACCTGTAGCAGTTTTGGTAATCTCCCTTTGATAACATTAGGGAGGATAAAAGTCCCAATATTTCCTTTCTCTGTAAATATTGAACCTTTCCGCTAAACCCAAGATTTAGTTTTTCTTCGGGCACTTGTGCAACTCTTTTATGAAGTGTTCTTTAACCATTAATGATTCCTTGGGGAATATCTATCTTGGTAAACAGTTGAAATGGTTATTTTGTTTGAATTTTTAGAGGACTTATTTAACCTATGGCGATTTAATTGTAATAGTACATCAGTTACAGGTAAGAGTACTGAGACTCCATTAAAAAAAAAAAAAAAAAAAAAGCTTAAATGGACAATGACTTGACACTCAGGCAGGTAGAGCAATAAATTTATTTGCAGTAAAAACACAGGCTATTAACACTTGATGACATTGTATTTTCTACTCACGTGACTGCATTTCATGATAGTTGGTCTGTGGAGACTGCAACTGTTGTAGTAATATCCTTTCTGTATCATTGTTACTTCCAAAAGAAATATAAGGGTGTATTTTGCGATTCTGCGAAGGTGGTTTTGTACTTGCATATTATTTGCATCAAGAATTAGGGAAAAAATTTATATTTTTCTCTCGTTTGAAATGTCTCTTGTATAGTACTTCTGTGATGTTTCTTCATTTTTCACCCAGTAATTTCGTTATATTTTACTGACTTGTATTGAACATGATACTGCTTTCTGTACAGGACTCCAGTTATTTGAATGAGCCATCCAATCACTCCATCCTCTGTTCCCCACCGGATTCATTGTCTGATATCACTGACACCCCAGATTTCCTACCAGCTGACAGTCTAAACCATGTATCTACAATATGGGAATTTGGCCTTCCTTCTCAGGACCTCAGCTCCAGCCAGGTGTGTATGGGCAAAAATTCTGTTTGTATCACTCCTTCCATTTGGTTTATTTTTCTGGCTCTGTGCGTTTTATGTTTTTATTTTAAAGTTCAGCATGCATGTTATTTGTGGGGTTTTTTCAGTCTTATCCCTCTCAATTTGTTTCTCTTGATGCAGTCATTTATTTTCTTATCTCCTATCACTAACAGCTCTTTCCATCCAGTCGTCCATTTCTGGGGTTGGACAGTTTGGAAGACCTACAGGCCATAATTAGTACTCCCTCAGTGCAACCACGGGTAAGACACATATGCAATACTTTTTATTTTTTTTAATTTTATTTTTTTTTAAATTCTTTATTTTTGTAGTGCGTACAAATATAACAATTGCTTAGGAGGTACCCCAAAGGCAGTCCTCTAGCGCAGAATGTACAGTGTGAACATAGGGGTTGACAGTAGATATCGCACAGTTTTGTTTTTTGGGTATGGAGATAGATGGTATAGGTTTACATTGCCTAGGTTCAGAAAGCAGCATACCTTTAGTTTATATAAGACAATAAGTATTTACAAGGGTTTCGTTGCAAAGTCTGGCATTTTAAACATTACTAGTTTGTTCAGACCCTGAAAAATACAGGTTATGAGGTTTCAGCAGATGGCAATAAACATGCTAGACTGGATCTCTATGTGACAATTCTGTCTACGCTTAAGTTTATATCATGGTTTTGAGAGAACAAGTTACTAAAATGGTGGTTAACTATGAACGTGGTGCTGCATGTCCCGTAACCTAGTACACAGGGTTTCTGTAAGGTAAGTTTTACACGCTACAACAATCCTGCTTGATCTGGCGTTGTGTTGCCATGAGTCCCACTAAGGTGATAAGTTGCATGTAATTATCTTGGTGTTCCATACCATGTTCTACTCTGATTGGTGTACTATGTTTGCTTATCTCGTGTGAGTAGGTCTTAGCGGAAGCCATGGAGCCACGGGTTCTCACCACACTACTCGCCAATGTATCCCTAGTCCAGGGCATTGTGGCTGGGTGTAACGTGTATAATCTTAGGTCTCCCTATCATGAAATTGGCTCGTGTGCCTCCTGGATAGTTGTACGATGTGTGTGTGTGTGGTCTTTGACCCCTAACCGACGGGGGCCTCGGAGGGGTTGGTGGAGAGGTATTATGAGCAGGCTCCGGCTTAACGGTGGCTGTTGTGGGGATTGCGGTGCCCATCAATTGTGGTGTTGGTATGTGGGTCATCTCCTGTGAGTCGGCCGTTTAGCTTAAGTAAGTGTTATATGGGTGTGTGCCCTGCTAGGTTCCCTATATGGTGCTAAACCCTTGGTATATGTGTTAACTGTGAACAGGTAATAGAAAAACATTATGGTTAACTCTGGTAAATTTTCATCGGCGGGCTGAGTGGTAGTCATGTACGTCAAGTGTCCACTATCGGGATTTCCCGTCTCCTCGGTACAAAAGGAACAGTTCTGGTGGGGTCCCATGTATGGGAGCTGGTGGGCTCGTCAGGTGGATCTGGTCTCGGTGAGAGCTTCAGCGCCTTGAGGAAGGAGTCCGCTTCCTGGGTAAAGGTGAGATGCAGAGTAGTGCCGTTGTGGTCCACGGACAAGGTTTTGGGTGTTGTCCAACGGTAGGTTACTTTGGCTTCTTGGAGGCGACGGGTCACTGGGCGTAGGTTTCGTCTCCATTGAAGTATGGATCGTGTTAAGTCTTGGTAAAAGGTAAGACTTGCGGATTCAAAGTCCAGTGGCGTTTTGCCCTTTAGCGCTGCAAAGATGGCGTTCCTGTCTGCCTGAGTATTGCACCTGACGATTACATCCCTGGTTGCTTGGGGGGGTGCCTGTGGTGATTTGCGGATGCGAAACATCTCTGCGACGGCCAGTTTTTTGACCTGTGCATGTGGCAATATGGTGGCCATCAGTCGCCTGAGATAATGCGGCAACTCTGACTGACTGATATCGTCGGGGACTCCCCTGATTTTTACATTGCATTTGCGGCTCCTCTCTTCAGTTGCCTCAAGTTTGCTGAGCAGAGTTGAGTGAGAGGATTTTAGGTGTAATACCGTTTCTTTAAGGCCTTGTATTTCTTGTTGTATGTCGTTGATATCTTCCTCTGAGGCTTTCACACGGTCCATGACCGCTTGGACCTCCGTTTTCATAATGGCCATGTCTGCCGCTGTCATTTGTTTTAGTTCCCGCAGAAGGTTTTTAATGTCCAGTTTGGTGGCTGGTGTTAAAGCATCTGGGTCCGCTTGTATGTCTTGGGGCAACCGATGGTCTGGTGTATCCCCCTCAGCCTGATCCGAGCATGTGGAGATAGTCTCTGGGTCAGGCGTGGTCGCCATCTTTGAGCCCGCCGGGCGCTGGAGCATGGTGCTAATGTCATGGGTGTCTTTGCACGCACCTGCTGCCGTCCGCTGGGATTTTCTCCCCATGGTGTCCGGGTCGGTGGGTGCTGGCTGTGCAGTTAAGGAGAGTGCTGCGCTGTATAGTGCCGTATCAAGGGCCCTGTAGTCTGGGTAGGCCTTGGCTTTACGGCGGACTCTCCGACCCGTCTGCTGGAATGTAAAGGGCATCAGTCGGGTGTCTGTTTTGCTCTCCCGGTCTGCCCGCAGGGTTCCGGAGGTATGTGGGCTCTTTTGGTTTTATGTTGGTTTTATTTTCTCGTTGATTTTGTCTCGTGGTTGCCGGAGCTCTCCGTGTGTGCGACCGCTCGGTTCCGCGGCTAAGCTCCGCCCCCTACTTTTTATTTTTTATATAGATAGAGGAGCATAAAGATTTGCCACATTTTAATGAGGTATAAAAAATGAGCGAAGCTATCTAGAAAAATTTTTTTTAAAAATCATATCAAACAAATGGTGACTATCGTTGGCAATACATTGCTGAAGATGTTTACTGAATTTCTCCATCGCTCTTCGGCTCGTCTTAGGCGGAATGGCATCAATTTCCTGTCAGATCCTTTCATTCAAATCCTTAAGAGATCGGAGATGATGTTTGAAAACCTTTTCCTTTAGGTATTCCCAAAGGAAAAAGTCACATGGGCTTAAATCTGGTGACCATGCCTGCCACCTCTAGTCTCTCCTTAAAGAGATCAAATGCCCAGGGAACATTTCCCTCAACACTCCGAGCAATGTCGTGCTGTGAGAGCTGTGGCTCCGTCCTGTTGAAACCACAAATGTTCTGTATCTACATCATCCAGTTTGGGGGTCTCCAACATTAGAACATTTCAATGTACCGGTCGGAGGTCACAGTTACTTTTGCACCATGGCTGATCACACCAAACAGTTAAGCGAGAATAGTGGAGCTGTTGTTCGTGGAGTTCACAGGGTTTATGTTAAGCCCAATAGATAAATGAAAGTGAGCCTCATAGCTACTCAGAAGAACAGTTGCAGCTGGAACCTGTTCAAGAATTTCCGCACTTAGGGCTCTGCGGTTGGCATGATCTCTCTCACTTAATTCTTGAGCCAACATCATTTTGTAGGGATGCAGTTTTAAATCGGCATGCAAAATCCTCCTCAAACTGCGACTTGATATCCCCGGTGCCATGGCATGCCTATGAGCGAAACACCTTGGTGATTACTGAATGGATGCTCTTACTGCTTCCTGGTGATTTTCTTTTCCGTGTGGATCCAGTTGCCCGAAGATCAGATATCCATAGCAAAATCATTTTCTGATCTGGTACAGATGCATTTCGACTAGGCATGAAGCGTGTATGGAATGCTCTCTGCATCGTTATCACAGAACGGTAGTTCTCATAATACACTTGAACAATAAAGCCCCGATGTTGACTGGTCAAACTCATGATGGGTACTGAAAATGACAGAGCCAAACCTACCGAATTAAACCTTCAACACCTTTCTACCCCCACTACAGCCCTTACAGTGCCCCCTTGAAATATGGGAGATCTTTATGCCCCACCCTGTATATAAAAGTGTATGTATACAGGCTTTTTAAAATCCGCAATCATCAAATTATTAGTCACTAGATTTCTTTTGTCTAATATTTTAGAATCCGAATGTTGCAGAGGAAGATGATGAAAATGAAGACACAGAGGAGCTGGGACACACGGAAACATATGCTGATTATATTCCATCAAAGTGTGAGTGCATGTTCTTTGCCATATTGGATTCCTGACCAGTATTTAATGTAGGGTATAAATGTGGGCAGGTAGAATATTGTAATCTTTAGAATCTTACTAAATTAACTTACAGATTCAAATAGCTTATTTTGTAAAATTATTTGTAATTGACCTTGTGTCTCATTTCAGCCAAACTTGGCAGGCAGCATCCAGATCGTGTGGTGGAGACCAGCACTCTTTCCAGTGTTCCGCCTCCTGATATTACTTACGCACTCTCTCTGCCCAAATCTATTATTGACAGAGGTCTACTCTCAGCATTGCAGTTGGAAGCCATAGTTTATGCCTGTCAGGTGAGATTGGAATGCTTTTGAAAGGTTGAAACTCATTTTGTTGAGATATAGAAATTAATATATATATTTATTTTTTTCCTCACCACTCCTTTAGCAACACGAGGTTATTCTCCCAAGTGGACAGAGAGCTGGATTCTTGATTGGTGACGGAGCTGGTGTGGGAAAAGGCCGAACTGTTTCAGGGATCATCCTTGAGAACTACATTAAAAGAAGAAAGAAAGCTCTGTGGTAAAATGAAAATGTTTTTCTTTAATTCTCTGTCTATATAAGTCGTTTTCTTCCCCACATCTGATGTTCTGCAGGATGTATTTGGCTATTTGCATGTTTCAAAGGGAGGTTCTCCAAGTCTCATATTTATGTATTTCTCCTCAGGTTCAGTGTATCTAACGATCTGCGCTGTGACGCAGAGCGAGATCTCCGCGACATTGATGCTAGTAGTATACCGGTGCATGCACTTAGCAAGGTGAGGCATCCAGTAATATGAGTATGCAAGTTTTTTATTTTTGATAGATGTATGTGTACCAATTCATCTAGAACACTGTATGTTTTTGCATTCTGAGCAAAAACACTTGAATAATCTATGCTTCTTTCATAGTTTATGTTGCAAGGATCTGCAACGTAAATGTATCTCTGCGTGTTAATTCATTCTTGTTGTACCAATTGTGGCTGGTGATGTCACTCATGGAAACTGATCCACCCTGCCAGTACAAGAACCTGAAAATCATGTGCATGATTGAGAGAGCCTGTGCAATGGTTAGCATTGCACCTTCAGTCATGAATTTTCATGTCTGAACTACATGCCTAATGGACATGTACTGTGCTGATCATGGGTTTATGAGATATCCTTAGCCATCCTCTGGAAAACAACGGGAGGACTTGAATTAGATGACAATACTTTGTCACTTTCTAGTCACTAGAGAAGATGTAGATTTTCACCAGTCTATCTTTTGTTAACTCAAAATAGATTTCTGTAATGTGATCTGTTTTACTAAATTCAATGCGAAAACAGAGTGTTAATTTATAACTGCAAGTCTTGGTTAGATTACCCATTCCATGTTTAATGTGCTATAAGTACTGTGAAAAGATACCAACTGCACGAATGTATGTCTTCTACTACTTTAGTAATCTAAAATTTCTCCTACTTTAGTAATCTAAAATTTCTCCTACTTTAGTAATCTAAAATTTCTCCTACTTTAGTAATCTAAAATGTCTCCTACTTTTGTAATCTAAAACCAAAGTATAGCAAGCAGTGACCTAAATATTAGGAATGCAAGCACATACAAAAAACTATGCTAAGGGGGCCGGGCCGGGTCGACCGGACGCCATTAACATGAGCTCCTGCACTAAGCTGATAAAAAAAGGCACTAAAACAATCGCCCCAGGCGCCTAAATATGCAATATTCCACCATATCCGAACAGAGAACGGCACCAGCTTACCCCAGATACCCGCACGATGCCCACCGCAAGCCAAGCAAGTGGAGAGGGCCCGGGCCCGGCCTACACGAGGCAGAGCGCCAGAACACCAGTGGCCATTACTGGCAGCACATCGCTGTGGAGCAGAGAACCACCGAGGCATCCCGCTATAGACACCTCGACAGGGGGAGATACTCGGCCCGGGGCACAGCCCTAACCCCACCCCCCCACCCCCCTTTTGGCCGGCGGGGGATATCCCGGCTTCCAGGTGGAGGCGCGGTTCGGATGCCGACCGGCAGCATGAAACTCAGCCAGCATGCAATATCGGAGGTGCCCGCGGAGCTGAAACACCCACCCGAGGAGGCACCCAGATCGGAGCAAAAGGGCTTGGACCCACACAGAGATAGCCCCATTAACGGCAAGAGCACTCCTTAAAGGCATCACCACAACATCAGAGGGGTAAATGTGGAGAGCGCTAACTATGGAGGGCCGTACTGGACGGCCTGTGCGGACTTGGACAAAGCTGAGCGCTGGATGGATCCCCTGTGATGGGTGCCCTAGCCCCTGGGTATGTGGGGTCCCCAGAGGGCCATGTCCCTGAAGCCGTGGGGCGGGCCTGCGCGGCCCCTCGGGTGGCCATGGGGGGGAGGGGGTGTGCAGGCTCCAAGAAAGTGGCCGGCATCGGGTGAGACAGCGGGTAACACGCTCCTCTTGAGTCCTGGATCTTGGGTGGTGATGGGGAGGTGCAGGGAGAGGAGGGCCCGTGGACTCTAGGTGTGGGAGTCGTATGGACAGCCCCTGCTCCCGAGTGCCCACAAAGCTACAGAGGACCCTGGAGACGGACTGGGGTTGTTGCGGGGAGGACAGACGGAGACTCGGCGGCCCAAGAACGGCAAGGCAGCTGTGCAATGAGCGGCCCTCAGTGAACTGATCTGAAGGACAGACCAGCCCCGTAACCGTTAAAGTTCTCAATTAACTTTATTTGCTCCCCTTTGGGATTGTGTTCATATATATATATTTTTTTTTAACCTGTACTGCATAACTGCTTGTTTGAGTGCCTCTAGAATGCTATGTACACCCAGTTTATATGATTGCTTGTTTATTCTAACTTGTATGCCTCTGCGCAGGCAACCATATGTTATTTTTACCAATTCACAAAATGCCTGCCTACGCTTTTCTGCGACTCTAATAAATATATTCAAAACAAAAAACTATGCTCTCACCTTGTTTTCACATCTATGTTTTATTTTTTTTTACATCATCATAATGTGTTTAAAAAGGTGGGAAGGTCCATTCCAGACTGGAATTTCCCTTAACATAGATTTACTTATGTTTACTAATTCACTCAGTGGTTATATCTTTGCTTTAGATCAAGTATGGAGATACGTCTGCGTCTGAGGGCATCTTGTTTGCCACTTATTCAGCACTTATCGGTGAAAGCCAAGCAGGAGGACAACACCGGACACGCATTAAACAAATCAGAGATTGGTGTGGGGAGAATTTTGATGGAGTTGTATCCTTATAATGGCTAATTTTCTGACCCTGTGCAATTTAAAATGTACTTGAGTTTGTGTGATTTCCATTTAAAGTGTATTTATGGCCTATTAGGAGATTCAGATTTCCACTTGTCCACTAGCCATTGATGAATAGAAATATTTGCACATGGTGAGTGTACCATGGGCCTACTAGACTTGTAGTGGCAAGTAACTTCGATTCACACCTAGTAGTGTAGGACCTGAAATTTTGGGCCTTAGTAATAATGACATGCATTAGTTGAATGCTACAATGAGCAAATACCAGTAATTAATATGGTTATGTTGGTTGCATACTTTTGGTTTTGTTTTTTGGATCTCTTCCTTGACGTTTCAACCCTCTAGATTGTATTTGATGAATGTCACAAAGCTAAGAATGCATCTTGCACCAAGATGGGCCGTGCTGTTTTGGACTTGCAGAATAACTTGCCTTTGGCACGTGTGGTTTATGCTAGCGCCACAGGTGAGTCTATGAAGACATCTCTTCAAACTCTCAGGCAATCATGCTCATTTCATAACCTAACTGCTCTATCCTCATTGCTTTGCCAAATTTGACTTTTCTTTATCACCTCATTTCAGGCGCCTCTGAACCCAAGAACATGATTTACATGAGCCGTTTGGGAATCTGGGGCGAAGGAACATCTTTCAGTACTTTTGATGATTTCTTGCATGCCATTGAAAAGAGGTAACTATTAGTGGGTATAACTGTCAATACTGCATGGACCAGAAGGCATCTAGTACCTGGGAACTTTGAGTTTATGAACAGAGCAGCACATGCTGTAGTTATTCCAAGTTAAGAAATGCCAAAGAGTTTATATCGAACATTACTTTTGTTCATTCTTTGAGATGTTTCTTCCGTCCAGTCAATTTCTCCTGTCTGTCCCATCTATTACTCCTAGGGGTGTGGGAGCTATGGAGATTGTCGCCATGGATATGAAGGTCAGCGGAATGTACATCGCAAGGCAGCTTAGCTTCTCAGGAGTCACCTTCCGTATCGAAGAGATTCCTCTTGATGAGCAATACAAACAGATGTATAACAGGGCAGCACAACTGGTGAGTCATTATAGAGTGTGCAAAACGATAAAACATGTTAATAAAAGTAAGGTAGGACAGTGTGTTTTGTAGAGAGTTTTTTTTCAATATTTTATTCTAGGATCAGGCCCAGCCAAAAGCATCAATTTTTAATAGTTCCCATTAAATAAAATTGACTTTTCAAATGTATGTAGTGTCATTTAGTTTATATATATGTTTTCTCCATGTGGCATGTATCCTCCTGACAGTTTTCTGTTGTGATGAGGTCACAACCTTATCTACAGAGCATGACAAATGTCTTAGTCTAGTAGTCATGCTTGATTACAATAGTTTAGTAACTATTTTAGAATGTTTTTGGTTGAGAATGCTGTTCTAACCTACTCTCAGCTAATTAATGTCTACTGACTTCAAAAGTGTATTCCATAAGCTGAAAAACTGTATAATGTGTACAAGACATTATGATTTTGTTTCTTTGAGAAATCAGTGAATGGTTTTAAGAGTAAGTGTCTACAACTAGCTGTGACTCTTACCCGTTCCTTTTTATTTGTGGCTCTTTCTTTGCTGTTTCTTTTTATTTATTTATTTGTATCTCTTAGTGGGCAGAAGCATTGACTGTGTTCCAAACAGCAGCAGACTGGCTAGGATTGGAGTCCAGGAAGTCATTATGGGGTCAGTTCTGGTCAGCTCATCAGAGATTTTTCAAGTACTTGTGTATTGCTGCTAAAATAGATCGTCTGGTGACACTGGCAAAGCAGGAGCTGGCTAAAGACAAGGTGAGAGAATTGAGAGAGTAACAATTCACAGGACATTCCAAGAGACTAACAGGGTAAAGTGTAAATTTTAAGTCTTTCAAACTGAATATACATTTTCAGGCCAGAGTAGCTGAATGGAGACATTCTCATAGACAGCTGTATTTCCAGTTCTGCTATTTTGGCTTAAAATTTAAATTCCTTTTGAATTCCTAGTAATTCACAATTTTCTTTGTTGTTTTAAAACCCATATGAGCAGTGCTGTGCACTTGGAGCTCCCTCTAGTGTTTTATACTGATAATAAAATTACACTGAAATTTAGGTTCTGTCCTTACTCATGAAGTGTCAGCATACTGGAATGTACAAAGATTAAGGGAAAATGTTGTTTACAATTGTGATATAGAGTGTTTTTTCCAAAAATGTAATTGAAAATGATTAGATTTTATACTAAAACTCACCGTTGCCTTGCAGTGTGTGGTAATTGGTTTGCAGTCCACTGGTGAAGCTCGCACACGAGAAGTGATGGATGAAAATGATGGCCATCTCGACTGCTTTGTGTCAGCTGCAGAGTAAGTGTGACAAGTGAAACCAGTGTGAAACACTGAAGATTACTATTGACATAGGGATCACAGCTCGACTCTAAATTTGGATGATATGTTGTTGCTGAAGATCGTTGGGTTAGCATTTTAACTTTTTTTTTTTTTTTTTTTTAAACCTTTTCAGGGGTGTCTTCAAGTCTCTGATCACAAAACACTTCCCCTCAACCAAAAGAAAACGGGAGAAAGGCCTTCTGAAGAGAAAACGTATGTGTGCAATTGCCCTTCTCTGTTCTTTGTTCCCCTTAACAATCTGCACCCTTTTTTAGTCGTCTTCTTAATCCACAATTTTTTTTTTTAGCTGCCCCTCAGAAATAATACCAGCATTTCATCTACTCCTAGTAAAGACTTCCTATGTGCCCTTTTTCTTTATTTTTCTTAATTTTTGTTTATCTTTCAGTGAAATATGCTTTGTTTTGTTCAGGTCGTGGAAAACCTCGCAGTGGTAAACTGTCCCGTGTAGATCCCTCTGGAGTAATCCGTATCAGTGAGGAGAGCAGCTCAGATTCTGAAGGTGGCATGGACAGTGACTTCAATTCATCCCCTGAGTCTTTGCAGGACAATGATGATGTCATCTTTGTGGAACACACTGTGAATGGCCTGATTATGCCTGATCGAGGTAAGTAATTAAAGTGAAAAGAATATATTGAATGGAAAAGAAATGACATAGAAAGACATGAAACAAGGGAAAATAAATTCTAGAAGACACCAGATGATTGCTAGGTATGTGGCTGTAAATGGAACTGGGCTATAAATTAAGGCAAGGAATTTGGTGAAGTTGGCAGATTGGCATTTACCAGAATTCTGGTTTATTATCATGTAGCCTAGATACTTTCTTTATGAAAGTAATGTTGTGTTATCATCTCGAGTGCCTGTCACATTAGTCCTATATTTTGAGTGAAGTGGTCGTTAAAGACCAATAACCAATCTCTTGTGTTTGCAGGACTCTCGTCCCCCTCACTGCTGTGTTTATTTATTTATTACTGGCATTTATAAGGCGCCAACAAATTCCGCAGCGCTGTATAATTGGGAAAAAGACAAAACACAATAAGAAGAGACTGATGCAACAGGTAGAGGGTCCTGTTCATGAGCTTACAATCTTAGCAGGATTCATGAGATCTGCAGTTATAGTCAGAAATTACTGACTGGAAAAACAAAGTCAATAGATTCAAAAGAAATGTCAAACCAAGTAAAGTGATCTGCACTGTGCTTGGGGCTTGGTTCTGCAGGTGAAAGGATTAAAAATCACTATTAGTCTAAACTAGAGCAAAAATATTGATGATAAAATCTCTCTTATCATCCACACTTAACTCTATTAAGCAGTCAGGAGACAAAAGCTCCCACCACCAAGGCAAGTTATAATGGAGTACTTTGTGATCCTCAAGCAAATTAGATTATCAACCCTCAAAACACGATTTTGCCGAATATCTTTAAATTTTAAAGGACAAATAAGTTCATGACTTCGGGCAACATGAATCTTTACCAGGCAATGTCAGAACTTTAATATATGAATATTTATTATGAAGAAAATGGTCACAGTAATTTATGTAAGAAAAATTACAAATAATTTTACACCACCAGTTAAAAACAAAAAAAGGAGAAATTAACAGAAATCCTAATGACTTAATTTGCCGTTACATTCATGTTTTGTTTTTCTGTCTTGGGGAGCATCGATAGAAACTGGCACTTACCCATGTTAAATCTGGTTCCTGATGATCACAAGGCTCATTAGCATTGGGTGGATTTATACACCCCCTTTCCCTCAAATCTCATATTTCCATGGTAGAGAGGGAAGGTGTAACTGAAGGAAGTCTAGGTTCCCCTCCCCTCCTCCCTCCTACTTTTGTTTGATTCAAACAGCAATCTATATAGAAATATGTTTTTATTTCTTGTTGTACTCCTGCCACAGAAATGATCTGTGAATTTGTTGCAATTTATCCATTACTTTACACTCCCCATCTACATCCTAGTACAGCAGACTTTACTGTTCCTTCAAAACGGCTTAAGTTACACTAGTTATGTTTTAATTCCGTTATTAGGGTTGGTTGTCGCTGTTATGAATATGTATAACTGGATTATTCACCTAGAGATTAATATTGTTTTTTGATTGTGCCTCTTTGCAGAAAATAGTGTTCTCACTGCTAATGGTCATTTAGCATATCAACTGATACTTAGTCATCCAGTCTTCTAAATCAAGATACGTATCGGCAATGTGTGTGTAATCTTTCGCACCTGCCAGAGGTACATGGTTGGGGGCAAGGCATCAATGGAATAATCCCTTTGCAATCTTTCCCTGGGATCTTCCACATTCCTATGGAACCAAATTAACCTTTCTTATGCTGAAATCAGCCATATAGCCTTTACTAAGTGACCAATTTATGTATTCACTACACAAATCTAACAGCAATACATAGCTAGTGTGACAATGAATTATGCTTGCTGGGCATGGCACCTGCTCTGTGTTTGTGTGGTAAAGCAGAAGGTCATACTTCTGCATTATTGTACCAAACTGGGACATTATTTATTGACTGATGCTCTCTACCAGTGAAGGTCCCAGCTAGTTATGATAATGCAAAAATATGAACCTCTGCTGTATAATTCCATCTGAGACATGAAAACAGGTAAGTGTGAGATTGTTCTTAAAAACAATTTACGATTGTAAAGTGATAGGAAACCACTGTAACAAGAAGTACGACAATGTACTGAAGTGATTATAATGCCTAGAGTGTCCCTTTAAATGCCTTTGTTAGTCATGCATGTGTAATGAACCCACAGCTAAAATATTTCTATTAATTAAAATAAATCACTGAATAACAATTAAAGATAGTGACACAATACTTCATCCATTTAAATAGTTATTATTCATTCGTTCAAGTCAGTGATTGGAATGCATGTGAGCTTTGATCATGCTGCCCTATATATATATATATTTTTAATTGTAATTATTGTATCTTTAACAAATATGTTGCCCACATTTAGTTGTTTTCCTGTTTTCCCTCTGCTCTTAATCTTGGGTTTGATTGATATTAAAGGAACACTATAGGATCAGAAACACAAACATGTGTTCCTGACCCTATAATTTTAAAAACACTATTAAGCATTTATTCTATGCATTTATTTGTAACACTTGTATTCTGGCCCATTTTAGTTTTGGAATATTACCAAATGGGTTAGTCTAGTAATGATTTATTTACAAATTGGTTAAATGGCCTCCTACACTTTTTTTCTTTCATCCAAAATTTCTAAAATCAAATGTTTATATGGTCATTTCAGTAGGCATACTTACAATGCAGTAATAGTGCAGTGATTTTTACGAGGATGCTGTTGTATATATTTTTTTAACATGGTAGAAGTTGGATGGCAAGAAGATCGCTGAAAGTGAAATAAAGAAATTTTGTAAACTTCCTCTAACTTATTCATAGGTCCTGAGCAGGTTGAGCTCATGAAGAAAGATTTGCTAGCCAAGGTCCAGACATTGGGAAAAGACTTGCCACTAAACACACTGGATGAGCTGATAGACAAGTTTGGAGGTCCTGAGAACGTGGCAGAGGTATTGTGTCTAATTAATGGCACTTTTAGTATATCTCTTTGTTGGGAATGTAGATTGTATCCAGTTAATGACAGTTTCTTAATCTCCACAGATGACTGGTAGAAAAGGACGTGTGGTTCGCTGCAGTGACGGATCTGTGCGCTTTGAGTCTCGTGCTGAGCATAACCTGTCTATAGATAATGTCAATTTACGAGAAAAGGAGCGCTTCATGAATGGAGAAAAGGTGAATAATTATGACCTGTGTCATTTAGGGGGGCAGGCAATTTACCACCTCTGATTTACTGTGTAGTCTTAGTTTACAGAAAAACAAGGCAATGTAGATTGATTTCTGTTCATTATCCACAGGAGTAGGGTATAATCCCTCAGTATTTATTATATATTCAGATCTGATTGAGTATTATTTTGTTTAGCATTTGAAACATACAATGATACAATGTATTTTGGTACTCTTTATTCTCGAAAATAATACAGGCCATTTTTCAGTATTTTGGTGTATGAGAGTAATTACATATATGTATCTTAACACGCATTTGTGAATTCTAAATATATTTGCTTTAAAATGGGTTTTTTATTGAGAGATATCCATAAAATTAGGTGAAGTAATTTTAGTAAGTGATGTGTGGGGATTAGATTGAAGAATGTTGTTATTTATACAAAAATACTTATTCCCTGACATATATAGCTTAAGCACTCATATGATTATTTTCCTCCTGATGGACAGGTAACCTATCAACGGCACTAAAAATTATCAGAATTATTAAATTATCAGAATAATATATATCTTCCAAATACCCATCCTAAACCTTAAACGTTGTGTCCTGCCCCTGGAATATCAGTTGTTGCTTGTTCTGCATGCAGATCCAATGATTATTCTTATTCACGGGAAGAAGGTGGGATTGCGTGGGCAGTTATGCAGAGGAATATTAAACTCCTTGGTTGCCCAGGTGCCATCTCAGGAGGTAACATAGTATTTGGTCATGTGCTGGTTTCAGGAGTGCATGATTGAACATCCCAGGTAGCTAGCTTGGAATGCATGCCACAGGACGGCATTCCACTAGCAGAAGCCAAAAATAATCAAGGAGGGTGTAATAGAAAGGATGGTATTTGTGCCTTTGTGTAGCCAATGATTTTTAAGAAGCCATGATAGTTTGTCGCTCCTCCTCCTAACTTTTGCTTCTATTATTAAGACGTTAAGGAAAAGAGAGTAATCTTCCTCAGAATCATCAGAAGAATGCACAGTTACCTAGTCTGGCCATCATCTTCTGTCCATAATTCTGGAAAGAATCTTTGGGATTACCAGAGGAATAATTCAGAGTCATTAAAGATGTTGTTAAGTGATGGCAGAAGCATAACCTGAACACAGGTTGTTGTGAAAAAAAGGGAAATTTCAGAGAAACGTGTTTATTTCCACACATTTCAAGGTTTTCTTTAACTTCCAGGAAAAGGAGATATGCAGGATTGAGACTCCCTCTATAAAGTTGATGTCCCAAAATAGACACCTATTCCCATAGGGTAAGCGGTTTCATAGATCCAATGGACAAAAGAGCTGAATCCTCTTGCAGATGACGTTTTCATACTTTGGCGGACCAAGCAACCCTCCAATAAAAGGACATTTCTTGTTACAGTCTTTGGAGGAATGTTTAGCAGGGAATTTACAGACAATATTTTGTTTGTTCTCTTTAAACAGATTAGAATGGGTAATGAGTGTGTGTGTAATAGCCGATGAAGTTGTCATAAAAAAAAAAAATGGGTCTCTCTTTAAAGGCGAGATGCACCATTTGGTTAAAATCAGGAACCACCTCCTTTCAAAAAAGAAAGCTTTTTCACTCAACGCTGGATGAACTAATAAAAGGATGTCAAAGATCAGGAAGGCTCTTCCACAAGAAATAAATATCCTAGATGGAATAAAAGATTCTTCTCCCATCCACGGGTCTTCATACAACAGGAGAGTAAAAAAAAAAAAAAAGTTTTATGGTCGTTCCTAGACAATCACAAGATAATCGAATCAAGAGACAGAAATCAGTCTTATGAACAAGAAAAGTGTAAGATGCTTTCGTACCAAAGGATAGATCGGAGGAACACTGTAGATGATGAGAAGAAGAAATGCAAGATCCATGGGTGATAAAGAGAATAAAGTTTGGTTATCACTCAGATTTGTGCAAGGACCTATGCCACATTTTTGTCCCAAAAGACATTTCAAGAGGATTCAACAAGCACAGTTCTCAAAAGCACTAAAACTTTCAAAATGTGTGAGTGTTATGAAGTGCAGCCATCTTGGCGATAAGATGGGTCAAATCAAACACAAAACCTTTGTACGCAGATGTTAATACATTAATTGAACGATAAACTTCACTCCCATCATACTTATTTAGATTTGTTGAAAAGATTAATATTTCTCAGAAAAGACCTTGCTTTCCATCAGTTGCAAGGGAAGAATAAGACAGATGCTTAATGTGTAGGTTGGGAATCTCTCTCACAAGGCTTGGTCTTCTATAGTTGACTATTCTCAAAGGTTACCCATCTATCAGGGTAGATAGCCATGTGTGTTCTATTGCTACACTGTCAACATATTCTTAAATCATTGTTCCCCTCTTCTCTCCCTCTTGAAGTTGGTGGCTATAATATCTGAGGCATCAAGTTCAGGGATCTCACTCCAGGCTGATCGCCGAGTACGGAACCAACGTCGCCGGGTCCACATGACGCTAGAGCTGCCATGGAGTGCTGATAGAGCAATTCAGCAATTTGGTGAGTGAACTATTATGAGTTCTAGGATTTCCCTCCCAGCTTGTGTCTTCTAAAATAATGCCTATTTTGTGTCTACTCTTTAAAGGACCACTATAGGCACCCAGACCACTTCAGCTTAATGAAGTGGTCTGGGTGCCAGGTCCAGCTAGGATTAACCCATTTTTTTTATAAACATAGCAGTTTCAGAGAAACTGCTATGTTTACAAATGGGTTAATCCTTCCTCCAATTCCTCTAGCGGCTGTCTCATTGACAGCCGCTAGAGGCGCTTGCGTGATTCTCACTGTGAAAATCACAGTGACAGCACGCAAGCGTCCTATGCGACCAGCTGAATGCGCCCGCATTCAGCCGAATGGGAGGAACAGAGGAGGAGAGCTCCCCGCCCAGCGCTGGAAAAAGGTAAGTTTTTACCCCTTTCCTCTCCCCAGAGCCGGGCGGGAGGGGGACCCCTCAGGGCACTATAGTGCCAGGAAAACGCGTATGTTTTCCTGGCACTATAGTGGTCCTTTAAAGTCCTATTTAGTACGGTTTTCATTCTGCTATGTCTACTGGGAGGACATTTTATGCTCTTAAAGGACCACTAAAGGTATCTGTACCAACATGTTCTTTATGAGCATTTAATAAAGATTTATAAGATATGGTTTTTATTGGAGGGTATGAGGTTTACAGAGCTGCTTTAAAGAATGTTACCTAATACTCCCAGGTGTATTTGTGTCTTGCTACTTTTCAGGCCGCACACACCGCTCTAACCAGGTATCTGCTCCAGAGTACGTCTTCTTGATATCAGAGCTCGCAGGAGAAAGGAGATTTGCTTCTATTGTTGCCAAGAGGCTAGAAAGCTTGGTGAGTGCCAACAAATCCATTGCATTATACGTTTCACCCCACTCTTCTACTTATTACTGCTTTATTACCTTAACGTTTCTTCTGCTTCCATCCAGGGTGCTTTAACACATGGTGATAGGAGAGCAACAGAAACCAGGGATTTAAGCAAGTACAACTTTGAGAACAAGGTTTGTACTCAATTGTATTAATGTGACTGTGTTTGAGTAGAGGTTAACAAATACATGTATGTTTTCAAAAGATAAGAATTCAATCAAAGGGTTTTATTGTGTATGTTCTCATGTATGGTTATGTTCCCTCAGTATGGGACACGTGCTTTGGAGCAGATTCTGTCTGCCATCCTGAACCAAACACAAAGAGATGTGCCTCCTCCACAGAGTTATCCAGGTGGTCCCAATGCTTTTTTCCAAGGTCAGTATTCTTAAATATTTAAACTATTAGAAGTTTTTCCATCCACATCTTCTTATTAAAGTACCAGTTAAAGTGACACTCTAAGCACCAAAACATTAGCTTAACGAAATTATTTTGGCGTATAAATAATGCCCCTGCAGTCTCCCTGCTAAAAAAATTCTTCCCTTTAGGAATTAACAGAGCAAGTAAACACATTGTGCTGTAAGATGTGATTGAAAATTTAAACTTTTGTTTCCCCTCCCGATGAGGATTGTATGAATCACAGCCAGGGGAGGCCACTGCATAAACCAATTTGAACCAATTTAACTCCTATTGAGAATTTGAAATTCTGGCAGTGACACTGCTTCACCAAGCTAAAGTTTTTTGGTTTTTTTTGGTGCTTAGGGGATCCCTTTAATATCTCCCCATCACTGCTCTTCTTTCGATAACGGACTTTCCATTGAATGTGTAATGTGCAGTGACCAGTTTTTTCCATTTTATCTCTTTTTATTTATTAATTTAAACAGAGGCTGTGCTTTTGTATGTATGTTTAAAAATAAATACAATTTAGTATGGACACAGTTAGGAATAAATTTAGACTGGAACTACTGCAAATAGTGAAACAAGCACTTCAATGAAGTACAATTTGGGGAAAAAAGGAATGTCTGTGATTAATTTTTGTACGTGGTGTTTTTTATACTGCTTGGGAAAGATCCTTGAATTTTGTGTTTTCTCTGGAGTAAATAGATTTTACAAATAATATTTATAAGCTATTTTTATGTCCTGCTGGACTCAGGAGAAATTATTCTGCAGCCAGGGGAATAGATCCGCGTCCAAAACATCTCTCTGTACTCTCCCGTGTGCTAACAAGAGAGGTGTTTGTAACATTCCATCTTCAGAAACACTAAACTGTGTTGTCAGCTGTTGAATTTAACCCCCTCATTGATAAAGTGAGTAAAGAATTAAACAATTCTCTAGATGAAGGAATTTTCTTATATAGTCAATGTAATGGACTTTGTCTATTTGGTTAGCTATTTGCTTTGCTCATTGTACCAATTAAGTTGTAGTAGTCAGATGGAGACTATAGCTTCCTAACTGTTCCCATCAATTATCTGTGGGAGTTAGAGATATTTGTTAATGTCCAGAAGTCACACATAACTTGGAGACAAATTATAAGCTCACAGCATTAAAGAAAATTAGGCTTTAGAAACAACACCACAGGAGTGTGCAATAATATATTTAAAAAGTCAGAAAACACAGAAATTCCTTGTTTTCCAAATTGTACTTGATTTCGAAGTGCTCGTTTCACTATTTGCAGTAGTTCCAGTCTAAATTTATTCTTAACCGTGACCATACTAAATTGTATGTCCATTATTCAGTTGTTGCTTCCATCCTTTGCCTCTGTATGTGTGTATCCTTTATTAAACCTTGTGTCTATATTTATTTTTTTTTCTTTAGAGTTAAAACAAGGGCTTCTCTCAGTTGGTATTTGCTGCAAAGAGACCAAATACAATGTTGTTGTTGATAAAGGTAAGAAGCATGTCTCTTGACAAATCTCCGTTCACAACTTTAATTACCACCACTATTCTTATAATTTCCTATGTGTTTTTTTTTCTTTCTTTCAGAATGTTCAGTCACAAAGTTTCTAAATCGCATGCTCGGCCTGGAGGTTCACAAACAGAACAGTCTTTTCCAGTTCTTCTCTGAAACATTTGACTTTCTGATTGAGAAGGACAAGAGAGAGGGGAAATATGATATGGGAATTCTGGGTAAGATTAGTAACCATGTGTGGGAAGAATGGCATAGTAATTTGTAGCAGAATCTTATATTTAATTTCTGCCCACACTTCGTTTATATTGACTGCGCACAATTCTCTTTCCTCATTAGATCTGGCACCTGGAGTGGATGAGATTTACCATGAGAGCAAAGAAAATTTCTTGACACCTGGTCACCCACAGGATGGACAAGTTGTTTTCTACAAGGTAACTTACTACAAACAGCTATCAGATTTCTGCCTACTGCCCAACACATCACTGACTCTAGCTCTTATATATTGTCTCTTGTCTATTTACAGATTAGTGTGGATCGTGGGATGAGTTGGGAAAAGGCTGTAGAGAAATCACTCACTCTCCAAGCTCCAAATGAGGGGTTCTACTTGTCCTACAAGGTAAAGAAGATACTATTTTTGTGTTGCTTTCATGTAGAGGTAAAACTATTGCCTTTAATTATCCTGACATTAGTAGGACTAACCGATTTTACGCTGTCGCCTTTTTTTTTTTCTTTTAGGTCCGTGGTGATATGTATTCTGCTCTTTTGGCCGAACATAGACAGGGAAAGTACTTCAACCTGTATAAACCCAACATTGGAAAACAGAGCCAGGCTGAAACGTTGGAGAGCTTGCTTAGCAAGTACCACCCGGTGTGTAGAAAGTCATTGTGTGTGTGTGTGTTAGTTATTTAATATGTGGTCAATTCAACATTGATAGTGTTGCTTTAAGATGTATTTTAATTAAAAATGTGTGGCAGTGACAATTTTGTTTTTATTTTTGTTTTCAGGTTTCTGCAGAGGATGCGCAACATCACTGGGAAAGCCAATACATCTTCTCCTTCAGCAACTGCAGCCATACTATGTGGTAAGATTTTTATTATGCCTTAAGCTCTGTCTGCTGTATTTGACTAAATTTCCTGTGCACTTTGCAAGACTCAAAATTTCATAATTTATTTCTGGCTTTATATTGTTATTCTTGGCTACCACTGCAATCTTTTGTTGTGTAGCAGCCATCTTGAACTATTACTGGAGAGCCTTAGTGCTTAAGTGTCCGGTAATATCACAGTATGGAGGCGCGTATTGGCTTTAAAGGGAAATTATAGTGCATGGAAAACAACGTTCTTTTCTTAGCACTAAAAAACACTTCTGTCACTTATCCTATTCCAGTGCCGATGTCCCTCTCCTAACTACTCGGAGGTCCCTCTAGTGGGTGTCTGGTATATAACTACTAGAGGTGGAGTTAACCTTGCAAAGATTAAGGGTCCTGACACTGCACCCAGACCACTTGAATGAGCCGAAATGATCTTGGTGCCTATAGTGTCCCTTTAAGGGAGGAAACCATTCTGGTTGTCGGTTTTAGGCATGGTATCAGATGGGATGGCTATCCATTAGTGAAACATCCAAAAATACCAATGTCTCGCCAGTCACTGCAAGATTTTGAGCACACATATATATTCGCTGTACGTCATTGGTTACAACGTAAATGACCACAACATTCATTGTATATAGCTGGTCACAAATGGGTTGAAGTAATATTGTTGTGAAGATCTTGTGCTCTCAAATGTTTTGCATCGACATAATATTGTTAAAGGGACCCTCTGTGCCCCTAAAGCACTTTAGCTGGCTGAAATACTTTCTGTGTAAAGAGTGTGTTCTATTTTTTTACACTTTTATAAATTATACTGCTTACACCCCTCTGGCTTTTTAAACAGACAAAAGCTCCTGTTATTTCCTGGTTTGGTAAGTCTATTTGCACGGAACTCAATAAGCAGCAATTGCCCAGAGCACCTGTCTTGCAAAGAATTCTCATTGAGCTGCATTGGGAAGTTTGTGATTGCAAGACCACATAAAGTTTGTTTTATTTACTATGAATTCATGCTTACAGTACAGACTAATTTAGTGTTACAGTTTGGTGAAAGAGAAATTGTTACTAAAAAACAAAACAAAAAAAAACCTGACTAATAGAATTACTGATTTCAGCCTCCTCTTTCCAGAAACTGCAGCTTGATATTAATTTATGGCATTGATTCTGCAATTTAGGACATTAGTCAATGAGGGACTTTTATCGTCATATTTATGTTCTGGATTGATATCTTAGTTTAAAAATACTTTACAATTATAGAATGCAGATACATTCATATGATATTTTCTCCTTGCTGTTATTATTCCTCTGATATATAAAACACTATAATATTGTCTTGTATATTGTGTATTTCCTGACATATTATTGTGCTCTACATAGGAACGGGAACTGTAAAGGAGTGCAGCAGGGAAGGGAGTGTGTCCAAGGATTACGTCTTAGGCATTACTACATGCTTTGTGGCTCTCTACTGCGAGTGTGGAGTCGTATGGCTTCTGTGATTTCTGACATCACCAACAGTAGCTATCTTCAGATTGTGCGATTAAAAACCAAAGACAAACACAAACAAGTTGGTGAGTACACCGTATCAATAACCAGCATTGATATCCTTTTTTAAACTCAATGTCTTGATGCTTTCCCAAGTGTAATGGGGATGCTTTTGATGCTGAGAAATCCGAATCCCTTTATGGAGCACTATAGTGTCAGGAATACAAACAAAATACAAAATGTATTACTAACACTATTGTGTATAAGTAACTATTTAAGTAATCAGCCCCCCTTATTTAGCTCTAGAAAGGTTATTTTACTCATGTTTTCTCCACCACCATATCGTTCCAGAAGAAGCTTGTCCTGCCTGGCTCTGCCTCCATGGTTGAGATCATCAGTCTTAATTTCAGCCAATCCAATGCTTCCGCATAGAAAGCATTGGGAGGCTATTGATCGAGCGTGGCCAAACACACATAGCTGCGCCAGTCAGCATCATCCTCTTAGAGATGCATTGAACCAATGCATGTCAATGGGGAAAACTCAGCGCCTAAATGAAAATCGTGGAGGCGCTGAACACCAGTGCTACACACTGTGAAGCACTAAGATAGTAAGTGATAGGCACTATAGGTGTTCTTAGGCAGCAATGTAAACACTTTCTCTGAAAATACAGCGTTTACCGTGCTCAGCCTGTTGGAACGGACTATAGACACCAGAACCATTACATTAAGCTGTATTTGTTCTAGTGACTATAGTGTCCCTTTAAATGCAGTTAAAATGTATGTGACAGATAATATAATAATATTATAAAATAGAAACTTCTTTACATTTGAAACATATTAATTTATCTATTGTGACATAAAGAAGCACCTGCCTATGAGCTTTCCTATTTTGTTCAGCTCTCACCTGGTTTGTGTTTCTGGGTCAAATTAAGTTATGCAAATATTTGATTCCTCTCTGTTTTCATGAGTAAATATGTATGTGTTTTGTTGCTGTGTGTTTTTTCTTTTTTTTTAATGTTTTTTTTTTTTTTTCTTGCATTTCATTTTATTTATTTTTTTTCTGCCACATTCAGGCATTAAGATTCCAGAGAGCTGTGTGGCAAAAGTAAAAGAGGAGCTGAAACAAATGGATTTAAATGTGAAGCGCAAACATGAGGAATCACGTCAGAACACAGAACGGCTGTCTCTTATTTATCCAAGCTCCACAGCACTTCCTCTGGACCTTTCCCAATCTATTTATGACAGGACACACAGCCCATTACTGCCCAATGCATATGACTTTTGGAGCAGTTCGCCGAATGATCTAGAAAGCATTTTTTCTTCCACCACTCACCCAAGCCAGCAGCTAAATGTGAGGGAAATTATAGAGGAGATGCTACAAAAATTGAAAAAGCCAGATCCTTCACCCTCTGACAGACACCCTTCATCCTCTGACAGACATGGTTCACCCTCGGACAGACAGAGTGTCATCCAGTATGGGGGAGAACCAAACAACTTCTGGGAGACAGACTAAAGCCTCCTTACTACTCCTGAACTCAGACCAGCAGATCTGGCCCCTGCTACATAAATCCTTATAGGAAGAACCAAGATGACATGCGTAGATCTCATCCACATCATCAGAAATGGGGGGGCCTGCATAATTTCTATTTTATTTTTCATAAACTCTGCATGCTCTGCAGTTTGTAAAAAACTAATATATTTACATCAATTGGATCAAAAACATCCTAACCCTCTAAAGCTACAGTGTGCAACCTGTCTACATCAGGGCCTGGTATAAAAACAGGTCTGACACCTTTTATGTAATAGCACTCAGCACTCCTGAATAACCGACATACCTAGCTCTGGACCCTAAATGATGTCCCTGTTTATTTGGGACCGGCTACTGTATAAAGCATTCTGTGGAGCCATTAACACCTTTCGATGGAAAGGTTTGTGTGCTCCTGTTTTTATTAGCCTTTCTCATGTTTATGAGCTGTTCTATTTTTACTTTTCCCTAGGACGGATTTTAAGGTTTAGGTTTTTTTTTTTTGTAAACACCCCTTTAACAGACATAAGCTCCATTGTGTCCAGGAGCTGACCTCTCACAGCGTTTAGCACTTTATCCTCTTCTCTGCCGAGCATTACATATTGCTGGCCCAGAGTTATACGCAGAGCAATACAGCATGTGTGAGCAGTATAATAATGCACGGATGGGCTGGGAGAGACAGATTTGGCTTTTAACTTTGTATTTGTTATGTCAACCCTTGCTAATCTTTGCACTATTTGCTCCCCTGTGACCTCGTCCTCGTGGATGGAAGGGGCCTGGGTTATCAACTCAGGGTATATGTGTATATATGTTAAATATCCACATCTGTATATCTCAGGCTGAGCACGACATGCCAGACAGAGGCAGATGCTGTTTAAGTTTTATGCCAAAGAATTTTAATTGTTTTTTGTTATTATTTAATAACCCGTCCGTGTGGAAGCTTCTTTACCATTGTAAGGGCAAGAGCATGCTTGTGGTTGAAAACAAATTCTGTAGAAACCTCACTCTATATTCAATATCATTATATGGAGATTGAGTTGCCCCACGTTTTTAAGAACATCTTAAGGAGATTTCAGAACCACCAATTGCATATACTCATTGGAGTGATGATAAATTACTTGCCTCTTCATCACAAGCCAGAGATCCTTTAATTTAGGACCCCTAAAATAATGTATATGAGAGAGCTGCAGTTCCACTCATGATAGAACATATGGAAAGCCTGTTGTCTCTTTCATCTTGCATAGCTTCAGGGCACCAACATAGTAATGGTTCAATAAGTCAACAAGCCTCCATATTACAGTCCTAATATATGTGAGTTGCAATGCCACAGACTAGTTGCTCCATGAGAACTCATACCTCCTTTGGCCTTTGCTCAGTCTTAATTTTGCCATAAAGTAAAGTTATTTGTATTTCTACATGGGAGATTGGGATGACTGTGTGCAATATGAAGCATTAGATAGAGGGTAGTAACTATATGGAGGGACCCTAATCCAACAACTTTGTTAAATATATTCTTCCTTTTGTCACCTAAAACCAGTAGTTTTTATCTATTCTGCATTGGAGAGGCAGCTTTTGTGTTAAGGGACAAGCGGGTGCAGTGTATACAAAACTTTATCTATAACTGACTTTTATTGTACCTGATAAATAGATTGCATTTCTCCATTTGCATTTTGAATCTCAGTTCTGTGGGATTCTCTTGCTCAGCTTGTAAATCTTACTTTTATATCTTGGAGATTTTAATTATAAATTTATTTAGCAGCGCAACATTTTAATAAGGCAGTTACCCAAAGATTAAAGTAAATCCAGAGGGAGTGACTAGAATTACTCATGAGGAAACCATTTACCATCCCTCCACTCTTACTTTATTACCTCTCCGGTTGTATGTCACAGCCCAGTCTTTGTCCAATTACCGTGGTCGGTGCTGTGTTGCAAAGCAATATTGTATCTTGTGCATCTCCATAGCAGTTGATGATTTATGCAATGTTCTCCAATCAGTGCCTTGCACACACATACAGACACATCCACAAACACATATCTATATGTTCCAGTTTTGGATGCTGCACCCATTAATGTATTTCCATGTATTCTTTCAGTATGTTGCCGAACTGTATCTCAGGTATTTAAGCACCCTTTAGTGTTTTGGGGACTTGTATCAGATTTGGGCCTCGATTTTTATATTTTTGGATAAGCTTTTCAAATTATTTATTAAACTTTTAAAATGATTTTTTTGTTTTAAATATTAAAATATCAAAACAAAAATATATATATATAAAAATATTACAATTTTATTTTTCAAAATACTAAATTATTTTAAAAGTTTAGCCAAAAACATTAAATTATTTCAAAAGCATTTCCAAAAAATTTAAATCGAGGCCTTCATCTGAAATCCATTACAAACCCTTCTGGAAAATAAAGGGTTTAAGAGGAACTGCTGCCCCAGTGTATCAGGTTAATTTTAATTTTTACCCAGTGAGATCTCTTCTCAGTGCGTGTGATCTCTTGAACAGATTTCTTTTGCAGTAACTTATTGTGACACGCGTGCGTGCTACTGATCCAAGCAAGCGTCCTCTTCACATATTTATGAATCTGTGATATATATATATATAAAATTATAAATATAAATGTATACAGTTTTATTTAGAATATGTGCCTTCAACTAATTCCTACTTTTCTACTTGTATGTAAAGGGTACAATTTGGAACCCATCCCAGTAAAGTTTTAAATCTGATTGCAGACTTATGAGTTTCATTAATAATGAGGGGGAGGAGGGTCAATAAAATTGCAGGCTAATGTGTTTCAGAATCTGGCAGAGGTAACTGTCGAAGCTAATGCAGAAAATACTCTCAAAACACTGGCCCTTGCATGTACCAAGGAGAGAACGAGACAACTTACAATCTCATAATGCAGTTTAAAGTGCATACATTACTACACAAACCGTAAATGTTTTATTTATTGGAAAAAAAAAAAGTTGAATTTTTATGGCACGGTTGGCTTTGTGAATTATCTGAAAGGACAAATAAAAATGTCTTCTTTCCGGACCGTGAAAAAAATGCAGGGATTTAAACAGCTCATCTGTTCGGTTCTTAATTCTTAAGTTTATCACATGCTCTCAGCAGAGAATTTTCTAAACCCGTTTAGGACGGAAGCAATATCCAAGTTCTGAAACAAAACTTAGAATGTGTATGTTCTACTTTAGTTTAAAGGAAAAAAGAAGAGGGGGGTACCTTCAATATTAGTAGCTTGACATCAATTTCTTATGGTTTAAATAAACTCCAAGGGGCATTAGTGATTACCTCCAATCCATGTAACTAATGGGACAGTCAGTCCATGAATCAATAAAAACAGAAAATATAAAAGTAGTAGTTACCACCGTCATGTCAGCATTGCTTGTTCTTTGCTGTTCAAAATTCCTTTTATTCCAGACAAGAAAAAAAAGAGAAAATATGCATGACATAGTCTTAAAGCTCCCGATAGGGCATCTCACAATCAACGTGTTTCATGTTGTATGACACTTTAACAAGATCTCATCACTTTATCAAGATCTTGATAAAGTGTAATTCGACACGAAACGCGTTGTGAGCCACATTGTCTTGCTTATTTTATTTACATTTTTTTTTTATAGTCTATTAAAATAAATTTTGATTAGCAGTGCTGTGGTAACTATTTTTTCTTTAAGTGCACTCATACATATTATGTATTGTTTTTTTTAATAGACATAAAGGATATATAACAAAAAAGATTTATGGTTACCGAACACAACATTAAAATGGGTGGGGGACACAGTTATTCACGTTTTTGCTTAAAATTATTTTTGCACACCAAGTATAACTATAGAAAAATAATTCAAAATAGATCCACGTATTAGTTCTGATTGTTAAATGCCTGATATGTCTAAGATTTAAATACATTTTTAGTAGTTAACGTTACCCTATACCAACCATATAACTCTATACCACCAACCTTACCCCATGTTTACAGAAACTCTACACACCCTAATCTTAAAGGGTTACTACAACCACTGTAACCAAGCAGTGATTTGAAGTGGTCATGCTGGCAGGAGTCTGGATGTGCAGTTTCAGCTTGAAACACTGCACATCCAGAGATATTGTTATTGCGTGCTGGGGGCCAGTTACACCCCATGTGACTTATCCCGGAACAACATAAATGAGACTCTGTTCCGGGCTTACTAATGTAAATTCTGTGCATATTTTATGTCTGTAGTCTGCACGCTGGCAACAGACTTAAAAATCTTTGCATTGACATAACTCTCTCCTCCCTCAGTGGTCACTCCCTTTAGCCAACCGAATAGGGTTTTTTTTCTTCTTATTAGAACACTGCTCTCTAGCCATGCCAGCTCAGATTGCATGCATACACTTTGAGCTGGCGAAACGGTCCAATCACAGACTTTGCTATGAGAAGCTTGTGATTGGATCACCCAAGGCCCCTGTGACATTGGATGGGACATAGAAGATAAACACTGGAATATTCACCCAGCAATGGATTGCAAGTGAGTAAAAACTTGTTTTTGCAGATTTAATGGGTGGAGGGGACCATAGGGCGTAGTAAATTGAAAACCGGTTAGACTGTGTGGGGGTTGGAGTAACCCTTTGATATGATGCATTTGATAGATTTTGGCATGAATATGCTGCACCATAAGCCTGCCTCCTTAGCCATGCCCCTCATGCCAGAAAGACTTCTTTATCAAAAGTGTGCTAAATAATAGCCCCAACAGCATTGAGTGAGTGGCTCTTAAAATCACTACCTGGCTGCAGACAGATGAACTACAAACAGGTAGCTATAGTCTTGCTATGTCTCCATGGGTTTCCTCTCTTTGTAATGCAGGTTGCTTTGTTGTTTAGATCATTTTGTAATGTCAATGGCTGAGCTGTGTTCATTCTTTTACTAAGGAAGTCTTATTCTGGCGTAAGGGGGCATAGCTAAAGAGGCAGGCTTCTGGTGCAGCATTCTGCAAAACATTTATTTTATGTAAAAACTATAAATATTTGAACATGCAAAAAAAAAAAAAAAAAACCAGCATAGTTTGAGGCAAAAACATCAAATGCATTAAAACAGTATTGGTGTCCAGCATGTCCCTTTAAACTTACACTATCCCTATCCCTAAAACAGCATTAAGTCATGCCTAACACTAACCTTACATTCAACCTCAAACCTACCACTAAGGGATACTCTCTGCTGATATAAACAAGATATCCCAACTGAATAATAAAACTAAAAGACTAATCTGTGACCACCAGCTAGTGGCCATTTACAGCATAAACAGCGAGATCTCCTTGTAGAGCTGTTGTCCAGCATGCTTTCTCTGGCGATGTGATCAGTGCTGGGCAGCTGGCAAAGCCCAGGGCTGATCACAATCAACAGAGGACATGCAGGGAGAACCTGTCGATCTTTTCAGAGTCTCCCTTAGTCTGGCTGGCTACAGACACGGAATCACAGCGGCTGAGCACGATTACGCTCAGCCTCCATGATTTAAAGAGCTATATACAGTGCTCACTTTGAGTGCTGCAAACCTCTTATCTGTCAGTCTGAGTCAGCTAAATAAGGCCCCAGCTGACAGAAGGGAGCCCCAGGTATAAATTGATACTTGGGGCTCCCTGGTGTGAGCACAGATTTACATTTTTAAGGCTACTTAAAATCACTTATCTTCGTAAAGATACATCAGTTACACCATAAGGCCATATTGTATTAAGCGCACTACTTTACAATGGCGCAATATCGGTGGATCCTACACTCATTTTAATATGGAAGATAAATCTGCTAACTGCAATACTTGCTGCTTAAACCATCTACAGAATCTCTACTGAAATTTATAGTTTCCTGTAGTCACCTCTAAAGGAGCACCTATAGTGGATGGGTGCTGTGTGCAATCCAATGGGAATCTTGTCTGGATTGCAAATATAAGAAAAATAATATTGTGAAGTGGAGTGGTCTTTAACTGCAATACACCCCTATCCCACATGCAGCACAGTTATCAAGTTAAAAATATACTTATACTTCTTGCTGAATGGTATCTCAATTGATGTTCAGCGTATAAAAGAAAAAAACAAAAGTGATCATAGAACAGATCTGTTACATTAGCTTGCACTTCTGTGTATAGTGCCAAAGGTCACATATACTTTGTTGAATCAGCTGAATAATAATTGCTATTATAGCTTGCTTTTTAATTTTGATATCTGTTTTATATTTGTAATAAACTCATTAATATTCAGCTGATTCAACAAAGTATACGTGACCTTTAGCACTATCCACAGAAGTGCAAGCTAATGTAACAGATCTGTTCTATGATCAGTATTGAATGTTTTGGATTGCAAATATACACAGAAAAAGGGAATTGGGGGCACAACTGCAACAATTACTTAAAATTTTTACTCTAGTCTAGTGCAACTGTTTATATATTTCTTGCACCCCAGTTCCTGTATCATCATGCATAATTGAGTCACTTGGCCTTGTTTCCATATCAGAGTTATGGCTTCTTAGCAGCAAGTCTTCCATGGAAACCACTGCTCCCAACAGTATATGGGTGTTCTTTGCGTCTCACTGGTTTCTGCCAATTCTAAGCTGATGGCAGGCTGGACATCTTCCAGCTACGAAGGGAAGTAAGCATGTTATGTCTTTTGTCTGCTGCAAAAGTTACTTTGGCTGACCACTGCAGCTCTCAATGTTGTTCATCTCTTCGTATGTGCTTGTGCTGCAATTTACATTTTTTATTTTGTTTACTCACTGTGCATTTTAATTGTTAAATAATAAATTTTAACATTTCCATTTTTGAAAGCATTCCTACTTTATAGCATTTTTAACACCTGCCTAAAGCTTTTGCACAGTAGTGTATTATAATCAATGTAACATAAAATTGTACACTTTACCTACATAAATGCTCAACTAATCCCCCTTCAGCAATTACTCCTAAACAAATTACACACTCACCAAGCTTCTCTATAGGTGTATGTTGGCAGGTATGGTTGAGAATCTACACATAAATTATAATGTTGAAAACAGCTAAACTAATTCAAGGTGTTTCTCTATGTGGAAAGGTAAGCATATATTTCTGTACTTGTGTCCTGAATTACTGTGACTTCTGCGGGCTCTTGTGACTTCTTTCCATTGATTATAAGAGTTTTTTTTTTTGTGTGTGTGTGTGTGTGTGTGTGTGTGTGTGTGTGTGTGTGTGTGTGTGTTTGTCCTGTAGATTTACTCAAACTAACATCCTTTGTACATGCGGGCTAACTTTAAAGATTGCTAGCTAGTGTGGGTTTTGTGCTGTCTTCTATATGGAGGATACGGAGTCAAAAAATTCAATCAAATCTCACATTTCAACATGTTCCTGATTCCTAGTATCTAAATGAAACATACATTTTAATGTGGTATGTAAGTTCTAGTGCCTGAATGCTGTATTTGTAGTGTAACTTAGGTTGAGTACTTCTTGCGCAGGCATTGTAGGCACGTGTTGAGTAATGCAAATTGCATCACTACGCTCCAGCACACCCATTAAGGTAAGTCATTACTACCTCTCAGAGAATCACTGGAGCATGGCCTTGGTGGAAAATCTGGCTGAAATACATGAAGCAAGGAGAAAGTAAAATGGGAAATTAACCTCTTTAGGACGTCATCAGAAATAGCTCCTTGAGGACAGATGACGGTTCTGAACCATCATAACAGAAATTTTTAATTACCCGATTACCCTGGTCTGGAGGGACAGCCTGACAGACAAATTAGAGATGAACGCCCATTATTAATGATGTGGCACGTGGCCTGGTTGACCAAAAAACAGCGAACTAGACAACCCGACCCCAAGCCACAACAGCCGCTACAATAGGGTAAATTTAAAAAAGAGCGGAGGCTGTGGAAAAACCCTTAATGGCCAGGACTTCCGCTGGCCAAGCACCCCAAAGCCGAAAATGGCTGAGAAACCGGTAGTGGCCGCTGTATCCTTCCATATCGTGGGTGATTCTTCTGAAATTTCAGGAAGGAACATACTCTTTCCATTCCAGGAGAGCAAGAACCTTCGCCACATGAGCAGATCCACAGTGCCCTGGTCATCAAGTGTGATCCAGTTATCTTCATGAGGAAGATCGGAAACAGGGATAGTAACCGAGACATAGATACCCCCTGAGGAATAATCCTTGTAGCAAAATTCAAGAACCCCAACAAAGATTGCAATTCCTTTCCGACAGCAGGCTCTGGTTTGTATACAACAATCAATGCATGAGAGTACATGATCTATTTTTTCTTTGGGCAGACTGGCCTGCATGGTAATAGAGTCAAGATGATACCCAGAAAGGTAATGAAGGTATCCGGACCTTCTGTTTTCTCCTCTGTGTTCTACTCAATCATAAGGAAGTCATCCAGATATTGGATGACTGCGGGACATCTATTAACTTAAGGAGCAACCAGCACAGGATCTCTGCGAAAATGTCAGTCAGTTTTGGGCTACTTTTGGAACCAAAGGTAAGCCCTTCCATTTAACACCGTGCAAATGCCAGAGAGTAGGGTGTATCGGTAACAGTTTAAAAGCATTGACAATATCTGTTTTACTAAGCCAAGCACTAACCATGAAAACACCCAGAGATTAAGAAATCAATCAAGTGCCTGGATGGATGAGAAGACAACATAGCTGATAAGGCAGTCACATTAACAGAGGTTAAGTATGGTTTGGGATGCAATTTATTGGGGCACATAGTTTTTGCATGTGCATGGAAACACTTGGATCAAATGCGCAGAAGCCTGCATGCGCTAAAACTGCAGGTACCAGCATTAAAGTTATTACAAACCTGGGACATCCCCAGAGTATGGGGGCAACCCAATTTATCCTTGATGACCTGGTCAGGTTGTGTAGACGGGGAGGGAAGAAGGCCGGGAGAAGCCTCAGGCGTATTGGGTCAAAAATCTGTAGAATGAGTCGTGGAGGAGCAAACAGCACAAGCTGGAGTTCTTTATTTATTACTGGTATTTATAAAACGCCAACAGATTCTGCAGCGCTGTACAATTTGTGGAGAACGTACAATATATACTGACAAACAAGAGGTAGAGAGAGCCCTGTCCATAAACTGATATCTAGCCATTGATGCTCTTTTATACAAAGTGGATGGCCAGTGAGCTTATAATCTAAAAGATACAGTTGGGATTTGAGACAAGAGGTAGCAGGGGAAGTTTGGAGGTAATGGCTAAAAGAGTTAACAGAGAAGCAACTATTGGTAAAATACAAGGGAAGAAGAGGTAATTGAGTGAGAATATCAACAGCTGGGGGAGCATGCTATATATTCAGAAGGAGCCTGGTTGGGCAGGAGAAGGGGAGGAAAATGCAGTGCTTCACTGAGTTTGAGTGTGAAGTGAGGCCTGAGAGTGGTAGGATTTTCTGCAGGATGTAAAATGCAGTGCTTCACTGAGTTTGAAGTGAGGCCTTAGACCCTCAACGTGCCTGCAGAACAGTTCCATGTCCAATTTACTCCAATTCAACCGGACACCAAACTGCGTGGATGCCGCAGACACCTTAGCAGAAAAGGTAAGATGTACATGCATGTAAAGGTCCAACTCCTGCCTCCTACCAGGGTAGACCGAGCACAAAACATCCCTAAATAACCCAAACGCCAGGACAAACTCCGGGACAGAGTTTCCTGTTAAGCCAGGGATCCCGGGCCTTGATCACAACCGACAAATCACCATACGCGTAAGTCTTAATATCTACAATATCTTGAGAGGCAATGAATAGCAAAATCAGGTTCACATCCTTGCCGTCCAAGATATCCTTCCTAATATTAGCCGGGACCATATGTGCTGGATCGAAATCCAATGGAGTATCTATGCTAGACAACAAATTACCCCGGCCAGCCACAGAAGGTTCAGCTGGAACAGGAGCGTTAAAGGGATACTCCAGGCACCCAGACCACGTCTGCCCATTGGAGTGGTCTGGGTGCCAACTCCCTTAACCCTGCAAGAATAATTATTGCAGTTTTCATAAACTGCAATATTTACCTTGAAGGGTTAAGACCTCCCCTAGTGGCTGTCTATCAGTAATCAGACAGCCACTAGAGGGACTTCAGTCTTCATAAACCACGAAAAGTGTCTTAAGTGTCACGCTATGTAAGGACCTCCAGCGTGGCCGAAATCCCCATAGGAAAGCATTGAATAATGATTTCCTATTGGCAGGTCTGTGTGCGCGCCGCCGGCTGAGCCTGACCAATGCTGAGGGACATCAGCGCTGGACTCCGGTAAGTCACTGAAGGGGTTTTAACACCTTCAGCAACTTGGGATGGGGGTGGGAGGGAAAGGGGCACTAAGATTTTAATGTTTTCCTGGCAATGGAAGTTTCCAGCTTCTCCAACCTCTGCTTGATCTGCCCCATAGATGCCACGAGAGAAAACAACATGGAGTGAACATCAAAGTGGTTAGACCAACTCTGGCCCTCTCCTGCATCCGCGTGATCCGTGGAGGTATGCAGTAACTTGAAAACTTCAGCCTTCCAATCGAATGCTGGAAATTAAATTTTACATCTCCGAAGTTCCTCCGTGAGTCAAGGAATAGACCAGGATCTGAAGGAGGTAGGTGTAGACAAATCTGCCCTGCGTGGAGTACTAGACCTAGCTGGCGTGCAGGAACAAGTCTTCGCCACCATTTGGTATTTGAGCCATGCTCAAGAGAAAGAAGCGACAAATTCAATAAAAAAAACAAACAAAAAAAAAAAAACAATGTGAGCTGGCTTGCTATCCAGCCAAAAAGCTGTGAAACATGAAACTAGGTTGGTGACAGGTGAGGCCCTGCTAGATGCCAAGCGGGGAGGGAGGCTCTATCTATGCAAGGGGATAAAGTGGTCACCGAATGTTGTGGCAGGGTGTAGGCCTCTAGGTGACTTGTAACATAAGATAGAATGGGTGTGACAGGTGAGGCCTTCACTATGCCATGCTGCGAGACAACTAAGATTTGGCTTGAGTGGCGTAGTACCTACGACTGAGGATGGGTGTTGGCCTTTCGAGACACCCCACTGTTTTTGACACAGTACATAATCTAGTGTCCTGGGCTTGGTAATGCCTACTTATATTGTTCTCTATAAGATTTTAGATTAGGTTTCTTATGCCACTAGATAAATCACCCAAATGAGAAATTATGGTTGGTGCCAGTCAGCTATTTAACGGACACTATAGGCAACAGAACAACTAGTTTGATGTAGGTGTTCGGTGAGTAAAGGATGTCCCCGCAGGTATTTTAATGTAAACAATGCTCCTAGGGACACCTCCAGTGGCAGTTACTCAGACGGCCGCGAGAGGTGCTTCCTGGGTCAGTGCTGCACGTTAAGTGTCTCCACGCTCCTCATGGAGGCGCTGAACTTTCCTCAGAGATGTAGGGATTCAATGCAGCTCTATGAAGAAATGCTGGTGGCACAGCATAGCATTTTGCTGCGCATGTGCAATAGCCTGCCAATGCTTTCCTATGTGAAAACATTGGATTGGCTGAGCTGGTCAATTCTAATGATCCAACAAGAGGGTGAATCCAGGACAAAGCTGGCACTGAATAAAAGGTAAATTTTTACCTTATTTAAGGGGGCTTAGTAGTGTACAAGGCTGGTGTCTATGTAGAACAAATCTTTATTTCACACAACTGCTGAAACTGTGGAAAGTAGATGGTCATTACGTACGCAAGTGGAAAGTAATCCCACCTCCCGAGACCAACCAAGAACCTTGTCCGGTGAGAAAGAAAGTTAGTTAGTCTACTTGTCTGCTAATTTTTTTTTTTTTTATAAAAAGGTTGTGTGAAATAAAGATTTGTTCTACATATACACCAGCCTCAAGTTCTCTGCCTGCATCTCCTTTGGGATCACTGTTTGGAACCGTTAGTTTGAGCAGACTCATGTGCGCTACACTTGTGGGTGTGTCTCTAATTTTTATTCTTTTCAGTGTTGAAATAATATCACACTATGTATTCTATCCACTCTTCCTTTCTCTAATTATTGCAGTTTCTCAGAAACTTAGCACTGTAAGGTTAAGTGGCATAGGACATTGTACCCAGACCACTTCTATGAGCTGAAGTGGTCTGGGTGCCTACAGTGTTCCTTTAACAACTAGCACCCTCCCATAGTAAGTGATCGAAATATTGATTGCTTTGACAATTTACCTGGAATCCTGTTGCAACATCCTAACTAGCTGGAAGCTGCCTGCAGGGATCAAAGCATGACAGTACAGTGATTAGCTCAGCTAAGCCAATGGAAATTCATTGGGTCCAGAAGATATGACTGGCACACTGAACTAGCTGTGAGGACTTTACATACCAGGTTTAAGTTCACAAAGAACACAAGCAGATAATAGGTTTAAATAGAACTTTATTGTTGATGCTTTTGTCGGTAGAACAGTTTCTGTACAGTGGAGCTCAAGTTTCCCATCCAGGGGTGCACGCCAATACACCATCCGGTCTGCCTCCCCCTGGCGGTTTTGAGGCATACCATCATTATCTGGACTGGAAACCAAAGATCTTTCTGTCAGACACTGGGTACAAGGATCCATCCTAAAGGTAGTCAGGAAGATCCTTCTCGATTACCTGAAAAAAGAATAAAATTCAACCCAGAGTAAATCTATATTTGAAGCAAGAAACATCCCATCTTTGTAAACATCAATATGTAAAGCAGACTAATGCACAGAAGGCAATGAACCACCTCTTAAGTCAGGGGGCAAAACAAGTATTGTGGGAGAAATTAATCTTGAGACCTTTTAAGCCACATAAAAGGGACACTATAGGCACCCAGACCACTTCAGCACACTGAAGGCGAGTGTGTGTACTGTCCAATTCCCCTTAACCCTGCAAAGGTAATTAATTAACTCCACCTCTAGCGGCTGTCTACTTAAATGTTTACAAGTTTTGGTCGCCTGATGCATGAGGACCTCCAACGTCGCCTGAAACCCCATAGGAAAACATGTTTTTTCTGGCACTATATAGTTTCCTTTTAAACTTGGTCTCATGGTTCATTATAAAAAGGTCTCCAGAACCCATCAATGGAATGATTTTCCAATAACACAGTTCAGTATCATGACTACTTCTGTGGCTTGAAGTGGTCTTGGTGTTAAGTCAGCAGGTGCAGCTTTACAATATGAAACTCTGCACATACCGAGATATTTTATATTGCTTTCAGAAATGTAATGCCACCACTAGTACTGTAAATAGCATGTTATTAGTAAGCCTGAAGATGTCTAGGCTAACTAGTGTAAATTCTGTGTATATTCTTTGCACAAAAGGGTCATTCATTGGCTGAGAGCACTTAGCCGACGCTCTCAGCCAGTGAATGACCAGTAGGCTTAACCTGGAGATAATTACTGCAAAATAACCAATTGTATATCAAAATTATTCCAATATCTCGATCTGGTTGCCAATATTTAAGATAACAACCAGCAAGAATTAGTCTGGTCAATATCTGATTTTACTATAAGAAAACCAGAGAAGAGAGGAGAAAAAAAAAAAAGTTACCTGCGCTCTCCTACATCCCTATGTATATTTAAACAAATTGAGGTCATTTAGTTACTCCAATGACCACTGGAGGGAATGCCCGCCTGCCCAGTCGAGGCAAACCCCCTCAGGTGGGTCCTACTCTGACCCTTCTCTTTGCCAGAAGCTCAAGTAAGCAAGGAGATCTCTAATGAGACAGAGGGGTATTTTTTATATACACCCCTATATACTGGTTAACCCTTAATAGGGAACACATGGGATGGGCGGCTGCATTGTAACAAAGCTGTGTGATACAAAAAGTGAATACAAATACAAAAAGAGAAGTCCTGCGCTCACTCCCATCACTCCTGGGCAGCAGCCATGTGTTCCCTATTAAGGGTTAATAAGTATATACACACACCACACACTTTATTTTCCATTATGTACAGAGAATTCAGCCCTGAACATTCCAGATGACACAAGCATAGTTTTCTGCACTATCCCGCAGTGTCACCAGTAGACATCCAAACACTTTTCATAGTCACTTCCTTTTACCACTCAGCTTCATGGATTTATCTTTACCTTGTCATCTATGCCAAGTAGATACTCAAAATACAGTTTCACTGTTTGGTTCTTTCCCCATGGTCGTGAAGCAGTGGGTCATTTAAAACGACTTGACCATTTTTGTTCAAAAGATAAAACTGCTTCCAAACATATAAAATTTTATTTTTTTTAAATTAAATTATGCGATTTACCAACACCAGCCCTTTTTATGTGCATAAAAATAAGTCCTCTCAACTCTAGCTACACCAAAATAACGCTAATATGCACCAGCTCATTAAGACTTTAATGGGACACTATGCACTCAAGGTCACAACAATTACCAAGACAGCATCTCACAACCAACAGTTATTTTCCTACAGCAGACCACCAGCCATCTAGGTACTCACAATAGAAAGTCTTCAGAACTTTAGTCACCTCTATTTCAACTTGGAAATCAATAAACTTAGGGAACAGCCAGTCTAAGAAATTATGGAATTCTTTGTGCAGGTTTGTCATGCTTTTCTATACTGTGTTTTTTTTTGTTTTGTTTTTTAAAACTTAAAATAAATGTTCGTTCTGTCTGTATATTAAGAAAGAAAAGCAAAGGCCAACTTACAACTGGATCATCCATAGGGCTGAATCTCTTCACCACAAGACCCTCACGATTAATGAGAAACTGAGTATGAAAAAGAATATATAAAAATGTAAACATTTTATCTGGCTTTGAAACATATGGACAATACAATGGTAGTAGAACTGACTGACCTTTGTGAAGTTCCATTTGATGGCACTAGGAAAAAAAAAAAAAAAAAGTTGCATTTGAATTCATGCTGTATAACAAATTGTTTTGACAGTAAGACATGATAAAACTTTCTAGCGATTTACTAATGTGTATCAGCTACACATCAAGGCAGACTTTTGAATGATTAATAGGCACATATCGCAAACCAGGGGGCAGAAAAAAAAATAAATAAAATTATATATATATATATATATATATATATATATATATATACACACACACACACACACTTGTTTAAAAAAAATAGTTTTCTTGCTAAAATTCTTTTTTTATTTTAAAATTGGTACCCCCCCACCCCACTCCAATATCAAAGTGGTTCACTCTTAGCACCTGATAACGCCATATGCTCAGTTAATTGGTATTTTCACCATTAGATGAACACTCCAGACCCTTAAAGGTGTATCCTCTTTCATTTTACAAAAAGTGCATATTTTAATAGAAATTTACACTTTTATAAATGTATCTTGTTACACTCCTCTGGCTGTCAGACAACCTGTTCTGATCTGCATTGGAAAGTCTGTAAACAGACAGTTGCAGAAAGTCTGGATTGGGGAAGAATGGGAGGGCTTGCAAAGGTTTCAGATGAGATTTTATTCTTTTGCAAGCATAAATAAAAGATAAATAAAAATAAATTAAAAAAAAGCCTCACCATTTTATTTTTTTTAAATGAATTCATGGTTTCAATATCAACTAAACAGTAATTTTATTTTGGCAATTGAGGGTCCCTTTAAAGCTTGAACTACGTGATCCTAAGACGGGGATTGTACCGTCCACACCTATCACGGTAGAGCTCCCACAGTAGCTCTACCAAATGTGAGTGTATAATACCTCCGTTTTATTTATTATTCTTTTCCAACATTGTTAAAAATACTACACTATTGTATATATTTTCTGTTTTCTTTTTGAGGATAAACTACCTGCAACTACTAAGAGACATCAAGTGTATGTATATATAATTCATATAATGCGCGGTTTCTCCCCTCTTTTCATATTGAACTACGTGATGTCTGTTTTTGTTGAATGTTGAGACTTGCCAGAACAAACTGTGCCAGGTGTCCTGTGGAAGATGAGCCTCTATGGACAGCTTAATCAAATCTTTGTGAACACAGGATTCATAATTTTGAGATACAAGCCTTGTTTAGACTGAACTTTATTTGGCAAGTTAATTTTTCTGTTTAAGCTATTTGCCTGTATGACTATTTTAAGCAACGCACATTATGTGGTATACTTAAAGCAGGAAGACTTCTGTAAGATTTATTGCAATGTATAATCTTTCAACTCACGCTTGGATGGATGACATACCAAGCCTATACAATAGAAATGCTCGTATTTTTCAGTGCTGAAGTTCCACCTCTGCGGATGTCACTACCCTAGCTGGGGTACAGATATCAGGATTGGCATGCAGCCATTGGCTGGGTCGCCAGCATGTTGTCTGACAGCAGGGGGTGAAAGTTAAACTCTTAACGTGCAGCTTTTCGTAGTTAAATGATGAACATACAGACTCCATGACTTCACTTTAATTCACTGAGGTGGCCATGGTGCTTGGAGTAAACCTTTAAAGCAGGGATCTCCAAACTCCCATGATTCTGTGGCTATTTCAATCAAACAAATCATGTAGCTACATCTTAGTTCAGCAACATCTTGAGAGCCAGATTATGGAGAACCCCATTTTAAAGGAACACTATAGGTATTCAGACAAGGGCTACCTTTTTAATATTGGCGGTAGTGGTAGCCTGGTTACCCAATTGGAGACTAGGGCACGATAGTGTTTGGAATACACATTTATATTCTTTACGCTACAGGGTCTCTTTCATGAAAGCTTATACCACAAGAGAAAAAAAAAATGCTTAAGGTTAAATACTGCTGTTTTATAAATTCCTTATAAAGATAAGGTACATACTTCCCAAGAGTACCTCTCCCTTTCGGTTGGTCCTTCAACCACTTCCATAGAGGGTGGGCACCATCTCCGTTTACTTCAATCTTACTGAACATATCAAATTCAACTTTGTAGGATGCAGCAAAGTCTTTTATTTGAGCTTCATCTCCAGGTTCCTGAAGGATAAGCAATGAGGACTGATAAGGGACCAACACCTTGAGTACATTCCAATTCCATATTTAGTGCCATTGAAGAGCCAACCACATTCATACATGCCCGAAAAATACCTGTTTTCCAAACTGGTTGCAGGGAAACCCGAGGATGCGTAAACCTTTCTCAGCATAGTTGGCGTGAAGATTGACAAGCTGAGTGTAGTTTACAGGGGTTTTGCCTCATTTAGAGGCTACGTTGACAATAACACAGACATAGCCCCTGTGAAGAGAGAATGGGTTAAAATAAAATTTAAAAATTTCCACACTCCAGAACTTTATTTTTTGCAGTGCAGTAACTTTTTGGATAAAGTCTAGAAAGATACTTCAGAGGACATTCCAACCTCGATTATTAATCAGACAAAACTACAACTAGATGTTGCAGATGCATTGGAAATGTAACTAACAACATCTGTTTGTTTTAGATGTTTTTAACTCTTAATATGTTAATGTTAGGCATGTTGAAAAGATTACCTCAAGATGATAAACAAGATCAGTTACCTGTATTTCTCGAGGGATACATCGTTGCCATCAATGTCTTTAGCAGAAAACTCATATATCGTCTTAGCGGTCTTCCAGTCTACCTGAGCACTCTGATTGTGCAAGGGAGGGCAAAAAAATAAAAATTAGTGCAAGATTATAGGGTTCTACTGCAGGGCACAATTTTGATACATACAAAAAAAAAAAAAAAGGGATGAATTTAAAATAAAAATAAATCCAGAGACTTTTCTTATGAAGCTGTTGTCCCATCATACAAATTACAAACCTGACATAAACCACCACCAATTACAGTTTTCCAGTAATACGGAGGAAAATGTAACCAGCTTCCAAATATAGAGACTCTGAACAACATTACAAAGAATAAAACCAGAAAGAAAAATGTAAAATGCTATTGCTGTGTGAGCAGTTTTCTTTCATGAACTCAGAGGGGAAGAGGAATGCCAACTGAACAGGTTTAGGTATTGTTAGGTCCTTATGAGCAGAGGGTTTAGTATAAACAAACAACGAGGGAGAGGGAGAAGTCTTTCTAATTTCCTACTGATTTGCAATGTTTGCCCTTGCTTTGTCTCTTCTGAACTTGATTAGGTCATTAGCTAAAGCTAAAAAAATAAAAAAAATATAAAAAACACATCTCATGAAAACATGGTGTAGAATTCAGACGAACAGGCTCATTTAAATGCCAGTTTGGGTAGTTGAAGTCTCCTGTAGGTGGGCAACAGCCTCATAACTGCCTCTGATTGTACACAAGATTCTACCATTTCACAAAACATATACAGAGCTGTCACACAGTAAGTGTGAGAGAGGTCAAGTATTGCATTATGCAAGGAGGTACAAAGATCTGTTTCACAATAACTAGCATTTATTGTACAAGGGGAAGAAGAGACACCCACGTCAAACAGCTTCACTTCAAAAAGGTACACACAAGAACAATACCACACTTAATAAGCAAAGTGTGTTTATCGTGGTGAACAATAACACAACCCAATTATGTATCAACTCGAGCAATGCGTATAAACAAACATGTTATTAATACTCAGACCAGTCTTTACCGGACAAAAGGGCCAACTGCCCTGGGCCCCTAAGCAACTGTCTCTGGCAGCCCTTAGCAGAGATGGGAACAAAAAGATACTGTGGCACATTATTGAGCTAACTGGTAGCCGTTTTGCACTCTTTACATTAACCAGCTGTTCCCCATGCAGCCACAGGTAGCCCTGTGCAGGGAGGAGGTGATTACTCTTCATTTCCTGCTAGTTCATTGAGCAGCCCAAAAAAAAAAGAAAAAGAAAAGAAACAAGAATTCTTAGTTCATGTAAAGTGAATTCGGAAGCTACCAGGTATGGGGAGTTGAGAGATGGGAACATTGACAGCAGTCTGATTAAGGGAAACCTACTTAAAGCAGCACTGTCATGCCGAACTTGCCTTTCCTCAATCTCTTCCTCTTCTCCCCCTCTCTCAGGATCTGTTCTTTTCTTCCTGTCAGTTTTCTTTAAAATCATAAGACAAAGTAGGGACTCTTTGCCTTATGGAGCATTCCTCCACTTGACCAGCTCTGACCAGCAGAGGAGCAAAGTGTGCTTAATTTCCGCTGGTCAGAGCAATTTTTCCATAATTCTCACCTTTCCTCTGTGTTCCCGCGATGCTTCCAGTCATTTTACAAGAAACTGACGAATTGCGTTCTAACTGAATGAGAACAGTATGTTCGTTTCTTTTAGATTGCAATTTGGCACTTTATTCGGATCGGAATTTCATTCGAATGAATGAAACTCCGATCCTATTTGTGCTGTGGCTGCATCTTGCAGCCGCTTAGTAGATAGCTCTCTAATTCCCACAGTATCAGGGAGTTATCTAATAATTGGTCTTTCAGCCACATTTACTAATACTAAGTAAAAATTAGTTAGGATTAGTAAATGCTGCCCCTACTCGCTATACCGCGAGTAGGGGCATGTCTATGATAATGGGGGGGGGGGACCTACTGCCCCCCCCCCCAGGCAATGGCCATAATGATAATGAGGGGGAGAGTGAGAGGGAGAAGTCTTTCTAATTTCCTACTGATTTGCAATGTTTGCCCTTGCTTTGTCTCTTCTGAACTTGATTAGGTCATTAGCTAAAGCTTAAAAAAAAACAAAAACAAAAAAAACCACATCTCATGAAAACATGGTGTAGAATTCAGACAAACAGGCTCATTTAAATGCCAGTTTGAGTAGTTGAAGTCTCCTGTAGGTGGGCAACAGCCTCATAACTGCCTCTGATTGTACACAAGATTCTACCATTTCACAAAACATATACAGAGCTGTCACACAGTAAGTGTGAGAGAGGTCAAGTATTGCACTATGCAAGGAGGTACAAAGATCTGTTTCACAATAACTAGCATTTATTGTACAAGGGGAAGAAGAGACACCCACGTCAAACAGCTTCACTTCAAAAAGGTACACACAAGAACAATACCACACTTAATAAGGTTCCCCCCCCCGGCCCCCACCCCTGGGCGGCAGGTGGGGGCCATAAAGATAATGAGGGGGGGGGACCTACTATCCTCCTCCTCCCCCCGCCCCCACCCCTGGGCAGCGGATGGGGGCCATAAAGATACTGAGGGGGGGGGGACAACACCTACTGTTCTTTTGAATTTTCCCACGCTTTTTTTTTTTTCCGCTCAGGATTTTTATTTTATTTTAAGTTCGACGGTTTTTTATTTGGCCTTTTTTGGGGCTGAAAAATGAAGATTTAAGAAAAAAGACGTTGAATGGTAAGTTTAATTTTATTTTACAGGTTAGTTATTTTATTCCCCCCCTCACTATTTTTTAGGGTGAGGGGGTAGGTAGGGACTTGGGGACCCCTAGTCACCTTGGTGGACAGTAGGTTCCCCCCCCCACCGCGCAGGGGTGGACAATAGGTCTCCCCCTTATTTTACTTTAGGGCCCCCACGCGTTGTTTAGGGGTGGAGGCCAATCGTTTTTTTGGGGTGTTTTTTATTTTATTTTTTACAGTGCGCAGTCACAGGTTGCTCACTGTTTAGTAGACATGCCCCTACTCTCTGTATAGCGAGATGGGGCATTGGGGAGATTTTAATCTCCCTTGTGCTATTATGGGGGTCATATTGACCCATAGAGTGAGAGGGGGGGCTTATGAAGTGGTGGGGAGCACTGCTCCCTGACGCTTCTATCTTTACATATTACAAGGAGGGAGCTGCATGCCGGTAGCTCCCTCCTTGTAATAAACTGAACGAACAAAACGAACACTGATACTCAATGTTAGTTTGTTCGTCTGATTTTTCTATTCACTCATTCGTCTGTCTGATGAATGAATAGATGAAATTCCCGTTCGCACGTCCGGGTGTTTCACTGGGCATGTGCGGGAATCTCAGTGCTATCTAGAGTGGGCTGATGACGTGTCCCACAGGGACTTCATCTACCCACACAAAGAAGGCTGCGCCTGAATAAAGATCGGGCAGAAAATAAGGAATAAAAAATAGGTAACGTGGGGGGCTTAGGGGCATTTGGGGGTGACTAGGGTGTCAGATGTAGTGGAGGCCGGTTAAAAACAAACAACAGGATTCGGCATGACAGTGCCGCTTTAATTACCATTTCACTGCTGCAATATAAGCCTTGCATCTCTGTCAATGAATATAGACAGTTATGTTTTTTCCACCAAATGTGCATCAATATTAAGATATAGGTTTATAACACTAGATAAATCAGAAGTTGATAGCACAGTTGTTGAGCATCTATGCTAAACATGCACTGATTGCGAGAAGGTGCTCTTTGTAGGAAGAGTTACTGTGCGTGTGTGGGTCAGTGTGTGTCTTTATGAGTCAGTCTATGTGTATAGATTTCAGAGAGTGTGGGTATCCATTTCTGAAATAGTTCCTTTAAGGCATATATAAAAGTTAACAAGTTTTAATTCATACATATTTCCTGAGGCATATAGGGACATGTATATTTTAAAAGGTACTGTCACTGTACATACAATGTTTTGAAGAGCATATTTCATCTGTATAGCAAATGCATAGATTGGGAGAAATATTTCTCCCACTTGTCAGGCACAGACTATGCAAAGAATTGACAAGGGAGAAAAGAAAGATCTCCCACATGCTCTCATTCTGCTCCCTACGCTTAAAAAGACACAAATACATGTGTGCAATCGATCCCAAACACAAACCTATGCCATACAAAACCACTACCTTATTCAAACTATCCATTGTGTTACAAAAAAAATAATGCATATTTAAAGGGACACTATAAATCACCAGAACAACAACAGCGTATTGTATTTGTATAGTCAGTCTCTTCAGGCTTTTTGCAGTGTTTATATTACAGCCTAGGGAAATCTCCACCGGCCACTCCTCAGATGGCTTCTAGATGTGCTTCCTGGGGCAGTGCTGTACCCATTCAGTGATTCCACCCTCTGCATGCAGACACTGAACTTTCCTCAGAGATACATTGATTCAATGCATCTCTATGAGGAGATGCTGATTGGCCAGGGCTGTGTTTGGCTTGTGCTGGCCCTACTCTGATCTGCCTCTTTGACAGTCTCAGCCAATCCAATGCTTTACTAGTGAACAACACTTCTGATTAGCTAATGATGGCTGGGTACAGTGTCTACCTTGGCACAGAATGCAGAGATGACATGCGTGCAGAAAACAAGAGTTGCAATGGTTTGTTCTTTACAGATTTTTCTGTCGGTGCAACTCCCATCACCCTCAGTTTGGTATGGTTGGATGATCCCTTATCCAGCAGGAGAGGATAATAAACGCCATGAAATTATGCCAGTGACGGGGGTTCACGTAATTGGCATCAAGCTTGAGATCTGCAACTACTCTTCTCTCACCCACCACAATAAAGCCCTCATCCCTGCCCATACACAAACAGCATCCATTACATCGCCTACCACAGCTCTAAGTGCCCATCCATCTCCTACATGTAACTGGCAGCCTGTACCCCATCACCTCTTGCCTGTTACTGCCAACCAATCCCTTACCTGCAGCAAGGGGCCTATGGCGTTCCTCCTCCCCCAAAAGTCAGCAGAATCTTACCCATGGCCAAATTAATAGTAAAGACGGCCCTGGTAAAGCCAACTAAAATGTGTAAACATTTTAGTAATTACATTTGTTTCCCAACCAATTTTCAATGGGGCTCCTTCGGGAACGCTTAGCATGGAAGTAAATACAGGTCAAAAACCATCTAGGGTGCCAGAGTTGGCCATTACTGTCAAACTGCTTGGAGACATCCATTATCAATGTTTTTCACAGCATCATACAAATTACAGCTATAGAACAAGGGTGTCAGCAATTTTCTCACGCTATACAACTTAGACTAGAGTCATGACACAGCGTTAACAGCTTCTCAGCTCTGAATCCAGCTACCTGATTAACACATTAACTGGCAGATGGGTGGCTGATGCAATGCCAAATCCGCCTGGCATTTAGATGGCTAAAGGGGCAATAGGAGGTCACATTAGGGGCTTGGCTTCACAGGAGAGAGTGGCATCATACCACATTGACACTGTATGGACGAGCTAGACATGTAGTTTAACCCTTTATTTTCCATGTCAGTCTTACAATTCTGGCCCAATTCTATGTTCTACGGTCAGTAACTATTTCACAACTCCGCACCAGGTGGTTTAGTTGTGGGGGTGAACCTTCAATGAAACTGCTTGTTCACGACCCTGCAATCCATCCAGTGAAGGAAGCAGGAGCACATGTAGCAGGTCAGACAGAGGACATTAGTCACATGTATTGATACAGCTACAGGCTGAGGGGGAAGTCACATCATGATGCCAATGGGATATTGTATAGATAGAGGAACATAACGGGGAAACAGAAACTTCGTATAGAAATACAATACATAGTGGCCATTTACTAAACACCAATAGTAAATTCTAGTGCTAAGTGCCATATAAGGAGAAGTCAGCAAGGACTCACTAACGAAATAAAGCTTGTTTAGACTTGCTATATGTCCCCCCCATAAACCGACGAGTCCTTATCTGACGCCACGCACAGACTTTGTACCGACACACGCCATGTCACCCAAGTGACAGCCTGGAGCTCAGCTCACCCAGCCATGGCCAATCACCCAGCCATGGCCAACCACCCTAATCCGCGTCGCGTGCTGCGTTCTCACCATGGTTCTGACGCCGAACACTCCCGTGAAGACAGCCCCGAGCAACACTGACCTCGCAGCACTGCAACGCGTGACTCTAAACATGGCCATACTCGGCCCCTCCTTCCCGAATTTGCAGCTCAGCCAATGAAAGCCCTGCGTTTTTGAGAGGGGGCGGGGCTAGTTCCTTATAGCTCAACGCTTTAACGTTCCATGATTCGTTGAACGTTCTAAATTACGCCTCAACGTTCTTATTGCTTTGCATCCACAACCAAAACAATGTATCCGTTCGCAGTAACCGCCGTATAGTGGGTTTGGCGTCTGCACCTAGTTAATTGTCAATGGAAAAATAGTACGTGGAAATTTTTATGAACACTTCCACAGTACGCAGAATAGAATATTTAGACTTAAGTCCCACAGTAGAAAACTCTAGACGGATGAATGCTCTTTTTAAATACGTCTTTTTTGTTGTGGAGTGACAGTCCTTCTATGGGACTTTTTCCTTGGTGCAACTTTAGCAAAATTTCATGTAATATTTTAACCCCTTAAGGACACATGACGTGTGACATGTCATGATTCCCGTTTATTCCAGAAGTTTGGTCCTTAAGGGGTTGAACGGAGTTCTAGTCATAAAAATGAATACAGCTATTAGTGGAAAATTTGATTACATACAGAATTCAAAACCAGCAGTACATAGAATACAATGACAGTGATTTATAAAAAGTGGTGCGTCTTTTTTTTCCACGCAATTTTTGTCACATTTTCTGAATCCGTCCCTATTTTTCTTGGGCAGGGTTTTTTCCTGAGCCTTTTAAAAAATATTTATATATAGAGGCACCCTTAATGTATAAAAAGATACAAAAAGGTGCTCCCTTCCCCACACACACACTTTTCTGGGACAGGTATGCAGATTTCACGATCTTCGTATTTGTTTAAGGATTAAAAAAAAAACCTTCAGATTACAAATGTACCATTTTTTTTCTTAGTAGTAATAACTATTTGTCGTATTTTGTGAATGTAATCAATGGTAAAATCATCAGGAGGAAAAATGGACTAATACATCTCAGCAAAGAGGAATAAAAAGAGGTGTATACAAATTATTTTAGCACACTACAGAAAAGGTGGAAATAAACACCCCAAACGTATAAAAATGGAATAACTATTTCATACATAAAAAACATAGCAGTCGCGCAAAAGTGGAGTGAAAGTGAATGGTACAATTTTTATGCATAACTTCAATATATAATATTTTTTTTTTCAATAAATAATTTTTTGAGCCCCTGGTATATGAATGTTTTAGGGCCAAATCCTTAGGAGCACTTACCTGCATAATATCCTCCTCCCACTCCCTATGGACAGGTTAAAACCCTCAAATTATAAAAGGTTGCTTCTTTCCTTTAGTTCCCTTACTGTTTTTTTTCCTGTCTATAATTTCCGACTTTGGCCTTGATTTAATATTGTTGGATATGCTTTACAAACAAGTTAAAATTTTAGAATAAAAGTTTAAAATTATTTTAACAATACATTGAAATATTTTTTTAAAATCAGCTATAACAAAATATGTCAATATCAACAAAATATCAAAATATTACAAAACTAAAATATTTTTCATAATATTAAATAGTCTGAAAAGTTTACCCAAACATATCAAAACATTTGGAAAGCTTATCCTACAATATTAAATCAAGGCCTTCATTTCAAATATAGTTCTCTTTTTTGTTTCATTGTGACCTTTTCTTAGCTTCTAGTCCCAGTTGAGTTCCTGCCTCTCCCCCCTGGAAGATGTGGTGTACAACTAGGGCAACCTCCCACAGATTCCCCATTAGAGATCAGGGATTACATTTCCATGATCATAAGGTGGCCATTGCCCAAACATAGTATGCCTTTAAGGCCATTTACCATTATTCATTGGTGTTAGCTAGGCTGGTAAATACAGGGAGCCGGGCAGTAGGGAGAGTCTGTGGTTTTGGTGAGTGCATCTTCCAAATCTAAGATTCTTTCAGTAGCCACTAGATGTGCACTATGTTTGAAAGGCTGGGGGCTGACACCACATCCAAAGCCACCGAGGTGCAATGCCCTTCAAGGGGATGGATATTGTTTAGTGAAAATCTTGACTAATGTTTTAGGAAAGTAGCAGAATAAACTAGTTCCTTTCTTTTCAAGATGCCTGCAATACTGACCAGGAAATAATTTGTATAGGTTCCAATATTGGAGGAACAACCTGTCATCTCATCAAGGAGGAAGATCACACAAAACTCTTCCAAACAAAACCAGAAGTTTTGATGGATTTGTGAACCTATCTTCAAAGGTAGGAGCCAGACTTATCTTTTTTACAGAAGTTTGGGTCTCAACTGTACCAGGTTCCTAGGTAATAGACGACTTCAGAGGGTAACCGCATACATTTCTAAGTTTCAAGAAAATACCCACAAAATACTATTTTTGCTCCAAAGCTCCTTTAGAGAATAGAAAGCTCAAAACCCTGCAAAATTCCATAGCTTCTCTTCTTCAAGAAAATGTTCCAAAAGAAAAGCAATTCAAGGAAATTCTATTCCAGATTATTTCTAGCACCAAAGCCCTAGGGGAAATTGAGGTCTGCTCTGAATGTACACACTCTCAACAAAATATTAATCAGACTGAAAGAGGATCCACTGAAATAGCCTTTGAAATGTCAGAGTTTACATCTCTGAACCTCTTTTGCCTCCTATTGATGACCCTCTTAGCTACTGGAATGTCAAGTAGAGTGCATGGCCTGCACTCCATCTGGTTGCCTAGGAGTTCTTATGGCTGCCAACTACTGTCCAAAGTGAGTGTGTGTTTTCAGTAACAGGGAAAATACTGAATCCTCAGCACTCTTAAATGTCACCTCATCTCAAGGAGCAGATTTCCTTCCTGAAATTCAATCTGCCCAAGTAGGGTATACTGCTTTGCATTTTACCACTCATTGAAGCACTTTAGCTTGATGGAATGCTTTATTTGTAAAGAGTAAGAGTGTATCCTCTTTTTGTTTTTTACAAAAGCACAGATTCCAGTAGAAATTGGCAATTTTGTGAATTTGTACAGGGCCATCTTTAATATTAAATATCGCAAGGGTGACCAAAATGTAGATTCCCATCTGCCGTGCAGCTCCAACAATGCATTGACAGCTGGGGCTCTACCATTTACCCATGTTTGCAGGTTTGTAGTTAGCACTGAGCAGTGTTTGTGTGTTTGGATGTAAACATGTTTTTGTTTAGAGTGTGTTTGGATGTGGTGTTGGGATTTTAATGTAAGCATGTATTTATGTGTAGTGTTGATTTTTGAATGCAGGGGTGTGTTTATAGATAATTATGGTGTTTAACACAGACGTGTGTTTGTATGTAGTGTTGACGTTTCAATGCAGGGGTGTATTTGTGTGTAGTGTTTGGCGCATGAATGCTGAGATGTATGCACATATACACAAATAGATATACACACACAAACACACTGAAACACAGGCAAATATACAGGTATAGAAACAAAAAAGCAAAAATTCACAAACTGAATATAATGCTGACTGGAGATAAAGACGCAGGCACCAAAGCATCTAGTAGTATGGAACAATTTAACCAGAGGGAGACCACTAAATATCTGAAGTAACAGAAATTATCAACACAAAAATAAACTGACTCCAAATAATAATAAATACCGAACTATCCTTATAAGGCTACTCCCATGCCTAAGTAAGTGAGGAGATAAAGTTACTAATCACCTAATTCTGCAGCATACATATAGGCTTTATTAGTCCTGGCCCTTTAATGCATAGGGTGTTAGTAAATCTCCACTTAGTACCTAAGCACCAGAAAAAGTGCCAAAGGGAGAAAGGTCACTGTCTAAAAGATTGGCAGCCTAATAATCAAAAGTAGACAGACGGATAAAGTAAAATAAAATAAAGAAAGCCTCTCTCCTTGTGAGACTTACTAGAAAGGCATAGAAGAAAAAAATGTAAATCATAAATCCTAACAAACTCCCATGCCTAAGTAAGTGAGGAGATGAAGTTGCTAAACACCCAAGTCTGCAATATACATATAGGCTTAATTAGTCCTGGCCTTTTAATGCATAGGGTGTTGGTAGATCTCCCCTTAATTCCTGAGCACTGGTTAAAATGCTAAAGGGAGAAAAGTTACTGTCTAGAGGATCAGCAGCACTAATAGTCAAAGGTAGACAGATAAAGTAAAGTAGAGAAAGCCTCTCTCCCTGTTAAACTTACTAAATAGGCATAGAAGAAAAAAATTGAAAGGAAAAACCTAACCATAACAAAAACGTGTATCACACAGTGCAGTGTCCGTGTGTGTGAAAGTTAAAACTGACGCATAGGATAGAGCCTGACGCGTGTTTCGGTGCAATATATTTCCTCTAGACAGTAACTTTTCTCCCTTTGGCATTTTTACCGGTGCTCAGGAATTAAGGGGAGATCTACTAACACCCTACGCATTAAAAGGCCAGGAATAATTAAGCCTATATGTATATTGCAGACTTGGGTGTTTAGCACTTCATCTCCAAGTCCTCACTTACTTAGGCATGGGAGTTTGTTAGGATTTATGATTTACATGTTTTCTTCTATAGCTATCTAGAAAGTCTCACAAGGAGAGAGGCTTTCTTTATTTTATTTTACTTTATCCGTCTGTCTACTTTTGATTATTAGGGCTGCCAATCTTTTAGACAGTGACCTTTCTCCCTTTGGCACTTTTTCTGGTGCTTAGGTACTAAGTGGAGATTTACTAACACCCTATGCAATAAAGGGCCAGGAGTAATAAAGCCTATATGTATGCTGCAGAATTAGGTGATTAGTAACTTTATCTCCTCACTTACTTAGGCTTGGGACTAGTATTCAGTATTTATTATTATTTGGAGACAGTTTATTTTTGTGTTGATACTTTCTGTTACTTCAGATATTTAGTGGTCTCCCTCTGGTTACATTGTTCCATACCACTGGATGCTTTGGTGCCTACGTCTTTATCTCCAGTCAGCATTATATTCAGTGTGTGAATTATTGCTTTTTTGTTTCTGTTGCTAGTATCTAGGGTTACTGGACATTGCTGGAGTGCCCTCCTGGTGCATGGGATCAGTGTGGAGGTGGTGTGGAGGTGGTATTTATTACCCTCTACACCCATTTTCACACGGATCCCATTTCTTTCTATTTTTTCTAGATACACAGATATGCACATTGATACACAAACAGATTTACAGACACATATACACACACTGACACACAGATACACAACCTGACACATATGAAGATACACAGACACGCACACAGATATGTACACACATATACACATATTGACAACATACATATACATACATTGATAACATATAGACACACATACACATCCTGACACTCATTCACACATGCAGATACACACACAGATACATACAATGACAACATATAGATACACACACAGATACACAGGCACATATAGTGACAGACATACTGACACACACAGACATATGCTGACAGAGTTTCCATTTGATATTCTGTTCTACTTTATGTTCTTACTTGCCTTTTTACAATTTTGAGAACTGCTTTTTATCTTAATTTGTTGTTCTTCTATGCATATGTTTATTATTGACAGTTACCTTTCACTACCTTGGCACCAATTTCCTTGTGATTCTACCCGCCATCCTCCACTCAGGGATCATGAAGTTTTGCTATAAGGCTAACTATATGCATCCAAGCCTGTTGGCTATACATATCTTCTATTTCTCGACAGACTATTTACATGTTGTAGCGGACCCTGGGTAACCCGACTGGATACCTCAGCTATTAATAAATGGACAGACCCATTTCCTACCCAGTAACTGGACGACACACAGTTCCAGGGGTACAACAACTTTATTGGCCACATGCGGCTTTATACTTTCCCCATGCAAGGGGTGGAACACACCCCTCCTAGGGTCGTATAATGGAAACGGAGCTCCAGTTTCTTTGTCCCCTGATCCCGCCACTCAGTGTCCCCTCCCAGGGCACTTTCCCTACCCGGGGTCTTCTTCCCAGAGGTCTCTGTATCTGGGGGTCGTAGCGCAGGAAACTTCCCACCTGTTTACCTCCTAGCGACAAAGAGCCAACCTCTGCCATTGTCCGCACAGGACCCCCAGAATGGTAACCGCCATGTACAGCCACTGTTTGCAAGGCAAGGGAAGCATCTCCTTTCGGGACATGAATGCTCCCCCTTTCTTCTTCAGATATGCTGCATTTTGTACATGATGGCTTGGAAAGGGCCATATTTAAACTATTATTGCATTTACAGGAGTCAAATAAGTACAGGATCTTGATGTCATCCAATTTCAAGACAGCCCTTCTAGTGACATTAGCTTAGGAGAGAGGATTTTATTATTAGATAAATCATGTATCAACTTATTTACAAGGTTGTTTTATGCAAAGTCCTTGAATGCAGACCCAAGGTAGTGTAACTTTTTCACTTCAATGAGGACATTATTCTTCCTGATTTAACTGCTTCTCTGGAGGATCCATCAAATCTGGGTAAAATAGATCTAGTGAGATATCTGTCCATTTTTTTTTACAATGCACTGAACTCTTGCCAGGATCCTGTAGCCTGTTTGCCATTCCATCAGGCCACAAGCAATATCTACTGCCTGCAAGTCAAGAGAGATTCCTATCGCAGAGGCCTCAGAGCTCAATGCACAAGGGCATTATTGTTATCATGGTCAACTGCGACCAGTGTAACTCCTGACCAGATCTGTCGTGTGGGGACTTGAACCTCAAGGATATTACCCATGAATGAATACTGCCATGGTATATTATCGGGCAAGTTAAATATCTGTAAGTATTAATTAATTTTCCTGTTTATGAATGAGATAGGGTCAAGGGAAAAATGGTTGGGAGTGAGGAAATAAAAAAACAACTCTTCCTTAGTAAACAGAGGGAAAAAGCTACAGGACACTAGGTACTATTGCTATTTCATCACAATTAAAGTGCCGGGACTTCTTTGTAGCCATCCACTCTGTTTAGAGTTAAAACATTTTTGAGGTATATTAACTGGCTGCAACTGGAGGTATGGCTAAGGCAGAGGTTACACCAGGGCTCGATAAATCCCAGGCACCTGGATGTTTTTCAGCCCTTTCTAGGTGGCTGGCCAAGAGAGAATGGAGGTGGCAGGATTTGGAATATGACATCACTCCAGCCCCGGCATCACTAAACAGCATGCAAGGAAGCAGAGTAACAACGGCAGGAAGATTACAGCAGCCTCACTGGACCCCAGGGACAGGATCCATTCTAACTCTCCCAAAAGTAGGGAGGCTGGATGAACTTAAATTAAAAAAACACCAATAATTTGTGTCATGAGTGTGTCTGTTAGTGAGTGTGTGTGTGTTTGTGAATATATGTCTCTGTAATTGTGTTTGTTTAGGGAACCTTCGATCGCATGGGATAGGTGTTTTTACTCACCTTGATTTCGCTGTGGCTGTCCCGGCCTCCATGGCTAAGATAATCAATCTTGATGAACCAAGCCATATGAAAGCAGTGGGAGGCTATTGCTCATGCGCCGCAAAACACAGTGCTGCTCCAATTAGCTTTTCCCCGTAGAGATGCATTGATTCATTGCATCTCTATGGGGGAAAGCGAATTTGAGCAGCGCTGTTGGGAACGTTCATTCCCTCCACGAAGGGCATGGAGACGCTGAACGTAGATGCTGTACAATGTGCAGCACTGGACTAAAAATCATCTCTAGTGGACATCTGATTTGACTTCACTAGAGGTGATAATTAAGCAGCAATGTAAACACAGTGACTGTGGTCCTAACTTTTTTAGCTGGCTCGTAGATGACAAGCAATTTTTTCAAGTCCTGGGCTTCAACATTTGTCAGTCATAAAAATTCATACTAGCAATGGGAGGCTGTGATAGGCTGAAAGCAATCAGCTAAAGCTCTCAGCCCGTCACCACCGCTGCTCAGGCTAATGCTTTCTCATAAGCCTGAGTGCTGGGGTCACTTCTGTGTCATTAATAAAATTACAACTTTGCGTAATTTTAAAGGAACTCTATAGAGTCAGGAACACAACCCTTTTGTGTTATAAAACACTATTTGGGTGACTGGCTCCCTTTACCCCCCCTTAATTAGGGTTAAATCTTACCATTATTCCAGCGCTGGCTCCACCCCTAATCCATCTCGTTGGCTAAGATCATGAGAATTAACGCTTCCTATGAGAAAGCATTGGGTTGTCTCAGATTGTCAATTTTGATGATCTCAGGCAAGGAGGTAGGGAATGTTTAGCATCTCCATGCAGAACGTGGAGACACTGAACGTCAGTGCAGCATGTTGTGCATCACTAACCCAAAAAGCATCTCTAGTGGCCATCTGAGTGACTGCCACTGGAGGTAACCATAAGCAGAAATGTAAACATTGCCTTTTCTACGAAAAGGCAGTGTTTATATGAAAAACCTGCAGGGACTGACTATACTCACCAGAACCACTAACCTAAAGGGACACTATAGTCACCAGAACAACTACAGCTTATTGTATTTGTTCTGGTAAGTATAATCCTTCCATTTAGGCTTTCTTGCAGTAAACACGTCTTGTAAGAGAAAATGCAATGTTTACATTAGAGCCTAGGGCAGGCATAGGCAACCTTTGGCACTCCAGATGTTTTGGACTACACCTCCCATGATGCTTTGCCAGCATTATGGGTGAAAGAGCATTATGGGGAATGTAGTCCACAACATCTGGAGTGCCGAAGGTTGCCTAACCCTGGCCTACGAGTACCTCCACTGGCCACTTCTCAGGCTGCTAGAGGTGCTTCCACTGCCATTTAGTGTATCTACCCTCTGCATGGAGACACTGAACTTTCCTCATAGAGATGCATTGATTCAATGTATCTCTATGAGGAGATGATGATTGGCCAGGGCTCTGCTTGGCTTGTACTGGCTCTAACCTCGATCTGCCTCCTTGACAAGCTCAGCGAATCCAATGTGAAAACTCAGAACACAACTTCTGATGATGTCAGCCAAGCAGGCAGATCAGGGGCAGAGCCAGCAGCAGCAGACTGCAATAAAGGTAAGATTTTGCTATGTTTAGGGGGGCAAGATGGTGTTTTTAACACTATAAGGTCAGAAAATACATGTTTGTGTTCCTGATCCTATAGTGTTCCTTTAAGCGGTATTTGTTCTGGTGGCTATAGTGTCTCTTTACTAGTAACATTTGTTAAATTTAAACTGAATTGTATTTGAATGGGCACCTGGCCTTTTATCCCACTGGATTCAATATCATCAAGAAAGGTATGTGGTGTGTAGGAGAGAAGTATTTTTGAGCCAAGGTGGAGAAAGTGAGCTATGAAAGATAGGCTAAAGAACTGGAAGAAACATCAGGAATCTGGGTGGAGACTGGTGGGCAAAGGCTGGCCTAAAGTAGCTCTGTCACCTCAAGCATAGAAGATGCACTATGGCTTGCAAGCTGTAACATATGTAGTTTTGCTTGTTAAGAAAATCTATAGGTCATACTTCATTATGTTAAAAAAAATCCCTGAATGGAAAGGAGGTGTCTAGAAGTGCTTTCATTGTGTAGCATTATAGAATGGACACTGCAAAATAGAAATAATACATGATGTTACATTTTTATGTACATTTTACATATCTGATGTGATAATCCTGGATTCAATTATGAACAAGTTGATTCAGAACAGTTACAATACTTGAACAGCCTTTATCTGGGATTGAAGAAATTTCCTTCTGAGATGATTTGGTTGCACTTTTTAATTACTGTCACTTGAAAAAGATAAAATCACGCAACTGTATTTATATCTGTCTATATCTTGTAATAAATCCAGGAGAACTCCAAAGTAGTCCTTCTTTTCACTGCCTATTGGGTGGTGTCAACTTGCAGTTGTCATGATCAGTTCCATTTTTCCTCTCTAATTGTGTAATTATCGAGCAAAGTTTTGTTATTGTGTGCCTTTGTCTTTGTACTCGCCTTTGTAAAGTTTTTACTCTTCTTCTAAGGTTCATTGTAGAAGGATTCAAGCATGAGCTATGTCTGTCAATTATGTTTTGTACTGCAGAGTATGTATGGTCTACAAATCTATGTGTTTCTTTTTCTGGTATGTCATCCTGCACCACCATGTCAATGCATGATACTGCTTTTTCTATCATCCCATCTTTGACATTTTTCCTTTTTATGTTAAAAATGGAAGGCACTGCATGGGGTCGCAGTCGCGGAATTATGTCTCCAGGACGTCGTACATAATCCTTGTTAGAAAAGTGATCTACACAGATTCTACTTCTAACTGAAGGTTTCCAGTGTCCCCGTTGAATTGCTATAAGCCATTTGGAAAGCTGTTCAGAGTTTTTCATTGGAAACCTGAAAAATATTGAAAAGCAGATTGCCTTCATTAGAAATAAAATATGATTGTAAGCACATTTCATAGATTAAAGGTCAGCTAATTACTGTTGATAAAATCACACACAGTCACATACTTAAAGGGACACCGTAGGCACTGTATCTGCTTCATCTCATTAAACTGGTTATAGTGTCTGAAGTCCCCTGGTACTATCATTTCTTTCAGCATTAAACAGTTTTTTAAGGTGTAATGTTTTAATGCTAAACAAGAGTCCACGGCAGTCTATCCCCTCTGTGCTGCTTTGGCTAATAAGGAAGTATTACCCTGAGAGGCAATGGGCAGCTGTGATTGGCTGAGTGTGTCAGCTGACTGCTTTTAACGTGTCAGAGCTCCAACTGACGGTATGAATGGGTATGACATCAAGGTAGTGTAAAATCTCTGCCTTAGCTACGCATACAGAAGGGGCCGGACTGTGGGTGGCCAGGGACTCTTATTTTGTGGCATACTGCACAAACATGGTGCAACACTGAATGGAGGGACAGTGCCAGGTCACTCCAGGCACTATAACCAATTCAAAGATACAGTGGTTATAGTGACTGCAGTGTCTCTTTAAGTACATATATAAAAATAAACAGAATAACAAACATACACATATACTGTCACATACCTGCATAGACAGGCACATAGTCACATCCATCCATAGGTACGCAATCACAAATACTGACATATTCATTTACACTTTAACACACAGACTCATTCATACATATATAGATACACACACATAGTCAAATACATGCATAAACCCACACACATAGTAACATTTATATAACATATAATGTGTTGCAAAAGTATTCAGACGCTGACCCAAATCTTACTGAAAACAAACTATTTATATAACTTTTGTCTTGTGTGATGCTTTATCTGAAAACATTTAAACTCAAAAATTTTTATTTTAAAGTGTAATTGGTTTAAAATTGAAAAATAATTTGAAGAAATATAAAAAGCTAAAACACGCAGTTTGTAAATATATTCAGCCACCTTTCTCAGGAAGCTTCATGTTTACATGCCTGAACAAATGCCCTAATGGCAATACAATTGCCTGCGAGACATTAGAGTAATGAATAAATGCCCCACTCCAGAAAAGAACAATTAATCTGGCTGCAGATCTGAAGAAAACTGTGACAATTAAGAAGAAAGAATTCTACAGCAGTAAGAGATAGAATACTCAAATTACATCAGTTAGGAAAAGGGCGCCAAGTAAGTTCAAAATGTTTCATATTTCATTAGCAATGCTGCCGTATAGGCCCAAGTTTAGGCCTGACATAAATTTAGACAGTCAGTTGCAACACCTAGCCACATACTTACTAAACAATGAAGGCTCAAAAAGTACATGAATACCCAGGACAGACACAAAACTTTAAAATGTAGAGTAAAACATTACATTGCAGGGTGACTAACTAAAATGCATATGGTAAAAGTCGATATGGCCTATTGTGGGCCAAATACAGTAAGCAGAATGAGGCATCGCTGCCAAATACAGTAAGCAGAATGAGGCATGCTATGTACGATTGAAATAGGCTGAATTTGCTTTATTTGTAAAATTTGCCATATCCGAATGGCTGAACAAACAAACTCACGGTTTTGTTAAAAAAACAACAGTTATAGAAGCCATGGCTGGGCTGGACGCGGCAGTGCCCCATGAGCTTCTAGTTAGGCGGCTGTTTACTAGAGTGAGGTAAAACAAATACTTGCTTGGGCCACACTAGGCCAAGACCAGATTGTTTGGAGTTTAGGCAGTTTGTGTTGATGACCTTTGAACTGGAAGTAGATGGTTCTGTACTGAACCAGACAGTCTCATCAGCCTGCAGCTCGTCAGACCAATCACGGTAGGGTAGGGAAGGGGGAGTCCCTTTTAAAGGTCCATAAACCCCTCCCACAACTTCAGGCCAAGCCTTCCAATATATATATATATATATATATACACATATATATATAAATCCAAATAGGTTATGGTGGGGAAAAATTGTGATTGAAAACCCCTTCCACCTGAAGTCTGTGGATAGTTAATACAATGTTAAACAAAAATCTGCACACCAGTCAAGCCATAAGACTTGCTTTTCCCACAGAAATCCCAAATCTGCAGTGATGTTACAATTTTTCCCCACCATAACCATAAAATATTTGGATTTTGCTTCCCAAGCACTACCAAGCCTCAATAAGCAAACCAGTAACCAACCTCATGCTGATGAGTTGCATTAACAACGAAACAGCTGTCCTTGAGTGGTTCACTGGTAACATAGAAACATAGAATGTGACGGCAGATAAGAACATCTAGTCTGCCCAATTTTCTAAATACTTTCATTAGTCCCTGGCCTTATTTTATAGTTAGGATAGCCTTATACCTATCCCACGCATGCTTAAACTCCTTTACTGTGTTAACCTACACTTCAGCTGGAAAGCTATTCCATGCATCTACTACCCTCTCAGTAAATTAATACTTCCTGATATTATTTTTAAACCTTTGCCCCTCTAATTTAAGACTATGTCCTCTTGTCGTGGTAGTTTTTCTTCTTTTAAATATGGTCTCCTCCTTTATTGTGTTGATTCCCTTTATGTATTTAAATGTTTCTATCATATCCCCCCTGTCTTGTCTTTCCTCCAAGCTATACATGTTAAGATCCTTTAACCTTTCCTGGTAAGTTTTATCCTGCAACCCATGAACCAGTTTAGTAGCCCTTCTCTGAACTCTCTCTAAAGTATCAATATCCTTCTGAAGATACGGTCTCCAGTACTGCGTACAATACTCCAAGTGAGGTCTCACCAGTGTTCTGTACAATGCCATGAGCACTTCCTTCTTTCTACTGCTAATACTTCTCCCTATACAACCAAGCATTCTGCTGGCATTTGGCATGACCCTCTAATGAGTAACCCAGACTAAAACGTGCATGTCAGGGGCTCAGGAAGCCTAGCTTGACATTCCTCTGCTGCTGCACTTATTCAGCCACGGTCTGACTAGCGATCTTGCTTTTACAACTAGGCATTCTTTTTACTCGTCCTATCCTCTGTCTCTTTATTCCTTTTTGGGGGGTTGAGTTATATAGTCTAGGCATTTTTTAAGGGGTGCCCTCGAAGGCACTTAGTTTTTCTATCTTACAAGCGTCAGGATTACCTATATTTCCTACATCTCTATTTATCATTGCATCTAATCCTAGCTTGTTATTGCATCCTATACCTCCCTATTTACAGGTATTCTCTGCCTCTTTTCTATTAACTATTGCAACCACATTGGTATGCTGTTTAACCTCTTCTGTATTAGAGATACTTCATCTATATACAGCAGACCCTGTCCTGCAGGAGGAGTTCAGAGGATACTAATACTCCACCCTCCCATCTTGAACATTGTTTATAGCAAGTGGCTTCACTTTTTACTATTTAAGTATCTCTCTGTATTTATACCTTTTTGGGGGGTTGAGTTATATAGTATAGGCATTTATTAAGGGGTGCCCTCGAAGGCACTTAGATTTTCTATCTTACAAGCATCAGGATTACCTATATTTTCTACATCTCTTTTTATCATTGCATCTAATCCTAGATTGCTACTGCCTCCTATACCTCCCTATTTACAGATATTCTCTGCCTCTTCTTTATTAACTATTGCAACCATATTGGTGTACTGTCTAACCTCTTGTGTATTAGAGGTACTTTATCTATATACAGCAGACCCTGTTTTGCAGGAGGAGTTCAGAGGATACTAATACCCCACCCTCCCATCTTGAATTCAGTGACATTATTTATAGAAAGTGGCTTCACTTTTTACTATTAAAGTATCTCTTTGTATTTACACCTCTCTTGCTAGCAAGTGTCAGGATTACCTATAGTCTCTATATTTCTACTGACCATTATATCTAACCTATTTTGCAGCTGTCTCCTATACCTCTTTATTTTATAGGTATTCCCTGCCTCTTTTCTATTAATCATTGCAACCAACTGTTGTGCTGTTTAACCCCTTGTGCACTAGAGGCATTTCATCTATATTCAACCAACCCTGTTCTGCAGGAGGAGTTTAGCAGATACTAGTATCCCACTTTACTATTTAGAATTCAGTCACATTGTTCATAGCAAGTAGTTTTACTTTACACTAATAATTATTTCTTTGAAGCAACACTTCTCTTGCTATTGGTTCTCTTCGAGATTTTATACCCCAACTAGTTTATAGGACATATTATTTTGTAGCCTTGTGCTTTTTGTTTTGCTTTTATCTTTTCTATTTTTCATTTTAATATATCCATTAAAAGTTATTTCTTATGCTCATTTCATTGTGACTATATTTACCAAAATGTTGAGACACTCTATGGTAGGTTTTTTCTTTTCATTTCTGTATTCATATGGAATGATCTAGTAAGTCTAAAGTTTAACTTCATACCGATATTGTCACAGGACCAGAAATAAACAGTTTATGCTCAAAAATGCAAATTTCATTGAGTTTAACCCCTTAAGGACCAAACTTCTGGAATAAAAGGGAATCATGACATGTCACACATGTCATGTGTCCTTAAGGGGTTAAATAGATTAGTATGAAGACATGGATGAAAATCCCTTCATACTTCTGGTAAAAACTGATTCATCACTAAAGGAATATTTAGATATTGCCCGTAAAGGTATTGTAATCTGTTTTTCAGTCTAAAGGGATGATTACGTTTTCACACGGTGGCATTATATGTGGCTTTTAACAAATAGATTAAATTAAAATGTCCATGTTCATTCATTAAAAATCACTTTTATCAAACTATAGTACTAAACTACACAGGTTGGCAAAGTTTCTTTGGTTAATTATTGCTAGATTAATAGTTGTACTATGATACTTAGCGAATATTATATATAATATTAGAATATTGATTACCTGAAAAAATGTTTGCCACTTCCTTTAATATAAGCATTTTTGCAGCCCTTCACAGCACATATATTTGACATTTGTCTGTTCTTAAGAAAACATGCAATCTAGTAAAGTAAAGACACAGAGAAAGAATTATCAGTAAACAATAGTGCGGTACAGAGTTTCTTACAAGTATTTCAAACTGTGAACAAGGGGTATTGCTGATGATCCCAAGGAATACAATTTACATAGCTGCCATGAAATATAATTTTCTGCTTCAGCAGGACCAAATAAATAAATAAGAGTGCTTAATCACCAGGGGCTTTTAATCTTGCTAGACATTCAATTTTATTTGTGCAGTATTTACAGCAGGATTCCTGAGTTATGTTCTAATTTAATACCCCCAAGCTGATAACAATATATTTGTATATAAGCATGATCAAATATATTCATATCAATCATCATTATGTGGGTTATTTTATTAAACACAGAGGTTTTCTTAATTATATAGGTAGTTTAAACTGGCACATGCTGCTATGACGTAGACCCAACTTGGGTCTGAGAGTATTCCGCAACTTCACTTATCAACAAACAGATCAGAACTTTCACAAAATTGTGCCCTGAGAAGTGGGCACTCTTAACACCATAAGATCCCTAATGCTGTCCAGAAGTATTGTTATATCATTTTTTTTTAATGCTTTGACACTTACCTGGTTACCACAGCCATGATCCTTAGACTTCTGATATCATTAATGCAGAACTTTGCATTCAGCATCAGTTATATCAGTTTTGTCCAACTTTGGACGAATCAATGAATGAGGAGCCCATGAATGATGTATGAAATTGGACAAAACTGATATTGCTAAATTGAAGGGAACTTCCACTTTAGCGATGTCTAAAACCCAGGTAAGTGTGACATCTTTCAAATTTAATTTGACTTCTCACTGTGAGAAGGGGCTAGGGAATTCATGGCACCATAACCACAACAATCAAGCTTTTTAGTGGTTATGGTGCCAGGAATTTAGGAGTTTAAACAGAGATTTAGGAGTTGTGCAATTTGTAATGAATAAATTATATGACAATATTCTGATTAAAAAGCTAGGAATAGTCATTTTGGATGCATTATGGCCACCTCAGACAACCAACACAGAATAAAACTGTGATAGTTAAGTCTCTAACTAGACTCTATGTAAGAAATCGTAGAACAAACTACAATGCTTCATTGTTTACATATAACCTTTTCATCTGCTCTCTTTATACACTGAAGTTTGAGATTGATCTTTTACACAAAACACGAGTGTTGAGCCCCATAGATACTTTAAAAATAGAACTCCTATTAAGGACGATGGTATTTTAGTTTAAAATATCTGGGAGGGTACAGTTTGACAACTTTGCCCTAAACCCTCAGGGTTTCTGTAATTCGGTTGACATGTGTATAGTATTTGAAGGTACATTCAATGCACATTAACCACTACAGCATAATGATGCAAAGAGACTTGATGCAGCTCTCTAGTTCTTGTCAAGCACCATAAAGCACTTGTGTCAGATTGCTCCCAATGAAAAGGCTAATAGGGTATTGGCCACAACGATACTTCAGAACTAGCAGCTTCTGTTTGCACAATCTAAACACTCATGGTACAAACTTCCTCATTATTTCATCACCAACTAAAGGGATGGAACTGGGATCCTAGGGAATCATTTGTTTATTTCAGTCAAACGTTCTGAAAGTTTGACAGAAAATGGAAAGGAAGTTTCCCCTACCCCGTAGCTTCCTTTGACTACAATCTGCTGTAATGGTAATGGTTCTTAGAGTGACCCTTAAAAGATGGGGTGTATAGATATATATCATGATGAGAATATATATGTATCTATGTAAAAAATAACTAACACTACCTGTGTATTGCTTGTTTCTGTTTGTTCCTTTTCTTGCAGCTCTGACCCACAAGGTAGACTTGCCACAAAGGAGCTTGAAGCCTGATCTCCCACAGAGCTAACCTCTCTTTGCTTAGTCTGGTCAGGAAGTGACTGTAAGGGGACCACAATAAGGCTGTTGCTACATATGGTATCAATGTATAACAGTATATTAGCAGTATTAATATTGCCATAACAATTTAGTCATGAAATCACAGGAAAACAGCAGAACGTCTTTCGACATTTCTTTTAAATCTTATTCAAGACCGTTTACAATCCAGTTAATATGTGCAATAAATCCCTTGGATTATGCAATGTTGCAATTTACTGTTGGCCAACGGTCACTTTTATTTATCATCTCACTGAAAACACAACACTTTTCAGAAACATAGCTTTTGAAAACAACAAACCTGCTATACCATTTTTGTATAAACCCCCCATTCACTTTTATAAGTTAAATACACAATCTCCACTTGAAGGGTCATACAAAAAGTGCCTTGTTCACTTACATCACAGGTTGCACATTGAACCTAGAAGGTGGAGATGGGTTTGTGTTTTGTATAGGTTACCTGCTCCTTAAGATTAGTCTGTGTGTCTTCGTTTGTTACTACTGGCTGTTTGCATGATTCCTCCTTTATGTCATATTTCCTTCCAATCTCTTCTTGTAAATGATCAGATGATCTGTCAAAAATAGAGGGAACTGCATCGAGCTGTAGGTGAGGGATTTCAGCACCAGGATGCATGTAATCCTTATCTGTAAAATGATCACTGCAAATTCGACAGGAATCTGAAGGTTTCCAGTTTTTACCATCAATTGCTGTAAGCCACTTAGATAGGAGCTCAGGATCTTTTATGGGAAATCTAAAGAAGTAATTAATAACCACAATGTTTACAAATATAGTCAATAACCTAGAATGAAATTTGCCAATTTATGTGAAGTAGGAATACATTTCACGAATAGGAAATAGGAAGTAAATACTAAGTTAGCTATGAAACATTGAGAGAAAAGAAATATTAGAATGTGTAATTGTACAAGGTTTCTCATACACATTGTGAGAACCTATTCATTTCAGAACCTACTTTGCACTCACACAGTGCAAAGATTAAACAGTTTCACTCATTGTTACATGAATTAAGCATGTGGCTGCTGCACAAGCAATCTCACAAGCTACACGACAGTCTTTGTGAACACAACATGCAAGAGAAGTTACACATATTATTTGACAGGGTGGATAGCTGTAGGCAAAGCAGATTATGGGCTACACTCAGCGATATAACTACTAGATCTTATTGTCATGGTTATGATGTAAGGAGTCTTTGGGTGCAGTCCCTTAGGGCTCTCCAGGAAATCAAAGGCAAACGCAGAGAATCGTGGGAATCTTCTACATAAAAAGATGGATTTATATATGTAAAAAGATTTTGCTTTTTTTTTTTATGATTTGCACAAGCCAATACCTCCTTCTTCTGCAACTATCTGTGGTCGGGTCTCCATCTAACTGACCCCCCTCTGGCTGTTACTGGATTACCCACTCTACAGTTAAAAACTTATGTCTGACATTTTTATTAATTGATTAGCTTTTAGATAATTGGCAATTTACTGATTTCTCTTTTAACTATTATGCTGACAGTTGCTTGGATGTGTTTAATAACTGTGTTCATTATTAAAAGTTCATCGATACCCATCTGGGGGGCCTAAGTGCTGGCCTGTAGTATTGGAGGCTGGGAGGAAGTGACAGCCTATCACTTCCTCCTAGACTTAGAGAGCGCTGGTGGAGCTGCTGCAGATTCCACACACCAGTACTCCAAGCACACCACCATCTTTATGTGCCAGTGTGTGTTCGTGTGTCAGTGTGTATGTATGCCAATGTATATATCTGTGTGTCAGTGTGTGTATCTTTGTGCCAGTGTGTGTGTATTTGAGCATGTGTATGTGCAAGTGTGTGTATCTGTGTGTGTGTGTCAGTGTGTATATGACAGTGTGTATGTGTCAGTGTGTTTCTGTTTGTTAATGTGTATGTATATCTGTGAAAGTACGTATGTGCAGACATCCCAGCAATCCAACAACAACACAACATGTAAACACAACCCTGCAAATACAAACATGACATACATAGACACCCCGGAACTCCAACTCCAAAATTGTATACAAACACTCAAACACAACCTTCACTCAAACACCAATACTACACACAAATGTACATCCACATTTAAAATCCAACACAACATTCAAACACACCACTGCACGCAAATGCAAACATTACATACAAACACACCTCTGTATTAAAATGCTAAAATTATATACAAACATCAACTCTACACACAGAAGCACACCTGATCCTAAGTACTACAATCTGTCTACTATCTATAAAAATGAGTGTATATATACCACAAAAAAAAACACACCAAAATATGCCAAAAAAGAAAACATTGTGCACTGTTAATTAAAAGGTGCTACGGCACAAAATATTTCAGGGGGGTTCCACCATTTTTGTATACTATGTCAAAGGGTTCCATGGTAAAAAATTAATTGGGGACCCCCTGGTTTATTTCATATGACTGCTCTACTTGATTGGGAATAGAGTTGGAAACATTAGGGTCAGGAATCAGGAACTTAGGTTTAGGCAATGAGAATAGTGGTTATGGATTAGGGTTTGGTCTAATACCAGATCTAGACTATGCAATTGCATTTTTTCAGTGCGAGTTCTTGCTTGTTTGGAATTTGCATGCCCCTCTGCGTAAAGTGCGGCTAAAAGGGACATACCTGCCCTGGGTTACAGCTTGCCTCATTCAAATGTACCAGTTTAGAGATTCACTGTCATCAAAGTTCAAGCGTACTGGCTCCATGAACGATCACTCTACTTACAGACAATGTCAAAATGCATGCACAAAACAAAAATGGCAAAGGCCCAATATTTCAGTGAAAATTTGAACAACCTATCAAACCCAAGAAACGTCTGGAAAAAACCTAAATTGCATACAAACCCCCATAATCCACTCCCAACTCTCCACTGTCAAAATGGACAACCAAACACTGCAGGGACATCAGCGGGGTCTCAGGTAAGTGACCTGAAGGGGTTTTCGCCCCTTCAGCTACCTGAGATGGGAGGTGAGAGGGAGAGGATTGTTTTCCTGGCACTGGAGTTTCCATTTAACTGGAGCTATTTTCCTTGATTTTGCCAAGGCCTTTGACACAGTAGACCATGGCATTCTTCTGCAACCTGAGATGGGAGGTGAGAGGGAGAGGATTGTTTTCCTGGCACTGGAGTTTCCATTTAACTGGAGCTATTTTCCTTGATTTTGCCAAGGCCTTTGACACAGTAGACCATGGCATTCTTCTGCAACCTGAGATGGGAGGTGAGAGGGAGAGGATTGTTTTCCTGGCACTGGAGTTTCCATTTAACTGGAGCTATTTTCCTTGATTTTGCCAAGGCCTTTGACACAGTAGACCATGGCATTCTTCTGCAAAAACGTAAAAACTCATCATCCGCTAACCTGGTTTCGATCGTATGTTTCAGACCGATTGCAATACGTGGCCATTTCTGGCAAAGATTGGTTATTACCAGATATTATTTTTGTAGATGTAGCAAATAACTTTAATAATTATTTTGTTGAATGTGCTACCACCCTGGTTGCTAAGATAACAAATTACACTCATTTCCAGACCGCAAATAAAGATCAGGACCTGCCAAATCTTCAAAATCCTCATACAGAGAAATTTTATTTTAGACCTGTGCCTGTTAGTGTCATTAATAAACATCTTAATAATTTTAAAATGAAAAACCAGTGTGGACCAGATCAAATCCCAGCAATATTGCTGAAGCTCAGTGCGCCAGCAATTGCTAAACCTGTCACTACCCTTATCAATAAATCCCTGGTGTCAGGATACATACCCAAACTTTGGAAGAGTGCAAAAGGTATACCTATCCATAAAAGTGGTGACAATACTTTGGTATCTAACTATCGTCCGATATCATTGCTCCCTGTATTGTCAAAAATCTTGGAAAAATGCGTCCACACGCAACTATGTGAATATTATCAACAATCAAATTATCTGACCCCTGATCAATCAGGCTTCTGTCCAAATCACTCAACTTCGACTGCCCTCTTAAAAGTTTGCAATGACATCCAAATTGGCATGGAACAAGGAGACTTAAAGGGACACTCCAGGCACCCAGACCACTTCTGCCCATTGGAGTGGTCTGGGTGCCAACTTCCACTACTCTTAACCTTGCAACTGTAATTATTGCAGTTTTTTATAAACTGCAATAATTACATTGCTGGGTTAACTCCACCTCTAGTGGCTGTCTACTAGACAGCCACTAGAGGGCACTTCCTTATTCATAGCAAAGATTGCTAGAGCGTCGCTGTGTGAGGACCTCCAGCGTCGCTCAATTCCCCATAGGAAAGCATTGAAAATCTTTTTCAATGCTTTCCTATCGGGAGACCTAATGCACGTGCGCGTGATCAGTCTTGCCCACCGGCTGACATAATTACTGGGAGGAGCGTCGCCGACCCGAAACCACCGCCGAGGGACATCAGCGGGGTCTCAGGTAAGTGACCTGAAGGGGTTTTCGCCCCTTCAGCTACCTGAGATGGGAGGTGAGAGGGAGAGGATTGTTTTCCTGGCACTGGAGTTTCCATTTAACTGGAGCTATTTTCCTTGATTTTGCCAAGGCCTTTGACACAGTAGACCATGGCATTCTTCTGCAAAAACGTAAAAACTCATCATCCGCTAACCTGGTTTCGATCGTATGTTTCAGACCGATTGCAATACGTGGCCATTTCTGGCAAAGATTGGTTATTACCAGATATTATTTTTGTTACAATCCTGTCTTATAAGTAAATGTTCTGAACTTGTTTTTAATATTGTATTATACTGCTCTGAACTGTTTAATATTGTATTATGCCCCTCCTCATTTTGTTTTATTACATAACGGATTAAATGTCCTCCCTTATCCAATTAAATGCATACCCAATGCACCCATAGACTATTTAAATGAAGAATTTTAGCAACATGTACTATTACAACAACTGATATACTGTTTACCTGAAAAAGTGTTTGTCTTTTCCCTTGAAAATATGGTTATTGCAATTTGGCACTGAGCAGGTGAATAAGGTTTTCATCTCAGGGATACGATCATCCTAAGAAAGGAGACAAACATTTGTAATAGGCAACACCGATTTAAGCAGTCTATAATGCACTAGTACAGTTTAAGGCCATTAAGCAGGACCTTCCAGCTCTCTGAGGGTTCTAGGGGAGACAGTGAGCGGCACACAGCAAACACCAAGTAAGAAGTCAAACCATTCTAAAACAGTTTGACTACTTACAGTGGAAGTGGTGAAGAGCACCAGGCCACTCCTGGCACAACAATGGCTATGGTGTTTGGAGTGTTCCTTTAAATTTAATTTGGAGTTCCTAGACCAATGAACTGCCTATTACATACCTCTCAACTTCGACAGTCTACAAACTGGGACGGCGGTGGGAGGGGTGTAAAGGAGGCGGGCTAGTGCGGTGATTATGTCACTGGCTCCAACCAATAAGGTGACAGACCCACCTGGAAAGGAGGGCAGGTTTGCCTACATTACTGGCAGGTCAATCTGGTGTAAATACACCAACAACTGACTGACCATCTTGCAAGCTCAGCCATTCAGAGAAGACCCTGCAGGGAGCACTGTTTCAGTGCTTGTGACGGACCACCTGGCACCCCGACCGGGTGCCTCCACCAATCGATGCTCCTAGTGTTCACTGAGGACTTCAAATACTCCACGAGACACCATCAGCACCGTAGTCCCCACTTCCAGTGCTACAGCTTGGCTGGGGTCTCGCCTCCTACACCCACCCTGGACCCAAGACTAGAATCCAAATTCCAGTGGGCAGACCTCTCGTAGCATGAACAGCTCTTAAAAGAGCTAGTGATTATAGAACTCCAAAGAGCAATCCCAAGAGCATGGATTATAACAGGTATAGCTTTCCTCTAGAAGCATGTGAAAAGGCTCTGTGTAAACTGGAACAGATTTTAATGGTGCCACACTTGGCCTTATATGACAATCCCCATGCAAGGGTTACGCCAATATGGACCTTGTTGGGGACTCCAACACAAAGTCACAGACCAATCATAACAGTGTTTAAACGCATGACACTCCCATAACAAACATACAATTCATCCCCTCTGCCTGGGAGATAATGGATTCAGATAGTGTATTAACTCAATTATCTCCAGGAAGAAAAAACATATTTTTATAAAATCCCAAAAGTACCCCAAAACACAAAAAATCCCCACAATTCTGGGTGACCAACATATCCCCCTGATCTGGGTGACCAACATATCCAAAAATCACCCAGATCAGTTCAGGGGTTCATGAATTTTATGGAAGTCACATTTTGACTGACCGCACACATGGTTCCATGCCCAAAACATTTCCAGAGTATTAGGCTGTGCGGTTGGTCTACTTCTGGAATTCGAAGTAACAATAAAATACAGAACGTAGAGAGTTTGTATGGCACTTAGTCTATGTCTCTCCTTTGAGAGTTTGTTCTTACCGAAAGCTGTTCGAATAGCCGAACATCCATGGAAGGTAAGTAGTGAGCGGTGTTCATGCTGTCGAGTGTCCCATTTGAGTTCCATGAACTCAATGACCATACACCGCTCATTGTACTCGTGGCTTAAGATGGCCGCTGCCACATGTTCAAATGCTGCTTTGAACCACTTCAAAGTTCGAAGTGTTCCTTGTATAAGTTCAAAAGGGCACAAACAGTGTTTTTAAACAAAGTCTATTACAGGGGCCAGAGGCTGTCAAACAGGCCCCTCCAAGAACCAGTGTCAAGGTTACTTTTGCCACAGTGCTCTTTACAGGATCATAGCGCGAGTGTGTCTAATGTTGTGCTAGTGCTATGATTGTTTAGACAGTTCCTTGGTGTTCCAAAAAGCAGGAGACCAGGGTGGGACAAACTCCCCTTCCCACGTGAGTTTGCCACAAGCTCCTGGGGGAGCCTGCTTGCCAGCCTCCTGCCCACAGACTATGGGCCCTGTAATATCCACCATCGCCTAAGTTCGGTTCTACAACACTTAGGAGGACACTGGTGGAAACGTTCCCACGAACAACGGGAACAAGCTCCAGGGTAAGACTATTGACTATGTTCGGTTTTAAACTAGCAAACTAGCCCAACCATTAGCCCTGATCTTATGGAACTGTTTTGGGGAGGAGCCTCGTGTGCGCTTGGTCAAATTAGGACTTCCAGGAAATTCCCGAACCCCTGAACCAATCTGGATGATTTTTATATATGTTGGTCACTTTTAACTTTTAGGGGGGGTTTATTTATTTTTAAGGTATTTTTGGAATGTCTGTGAATGGTGTTTTTTTGTGTCTGGAGATAATGTAGTTATTATTATTGCCATTTATATAGCGCCAACAGATTCCGTAGCGCTTTACAATATTATGAAAGGGGGGATTTAACTATAAATAGGACAATTACAAAAAACTTACAGGAACGATAGGTTGAAGAGGACCCTGCTCAAACGAGCTTACATTCTATAGGAGGTGGGGTGTAAAACACAATAGGACAGGAATTTACTATCAGATAAGGTGGGAGTGAGGCAGAGCTGGAGGAGAGAGTAGAGTGCTGCCCTTTAGGAGAGAGCAGGAGACAGGTATGTGAGGTAGAGGTTAGTCTGGGAGGCCATAAGCTTTCCTAAAGAGATGGGTTTTAAGGCACTTCTTAAAAGATGCAAGACTAGGGGAGAGTCTGATAAAGGTAGGCAGGCTATTCCATAGGAAAGGAGCCGCCCGCGAGAAGTCCTGCAAGCGTGAGTTGGCCGTACGCGTGCGAACAACGGACAGGAGGTGGTCACGGGCAGAGCCGAGAGACCGAGAAGGGACATACCTATGGATCTGTGAAGAGATATAAAAGGGGCTATAATTGTTCAGTGCTTTATAGGTGTGAATTAGTACCTTGAATTTACTCCTATAGCATACAGGAAACCAATGTAAGGCCTGACAGAGGGGTGAGGTGTGAGAGAACCGACTAGTTAGTTCAGTTCCTGACTCAATTATCTTAGGCACAGGGGAGGAGTTTGGGACTGGTAACTTGTCCCCTCTCAGGTCCAGGAGAGGGATAATCTTGTTTGTGTGGGAGTGTCAGGGGCAAGCTTAACTGTGTCTAGAATTGTGTCTAGAAAACCAGGCCAACTGGCCAGATTCAAATATTCCCGTTTTTACTCCCAGAACTATGTGTCGTCTGGTTACTGGAAGGGGAAAGGACTATTCTTTAATCACTGTTCCAGTGTGGATGATTCAACAGGGAAAGTCCTTGTAAGGACTAGAGCTCTCAGGACTGAGTGTCGTCCAGTGCCTGGAGGTGGATAGAGTGAGTTCCCCATTTGGCCCCAGGAGGGAGCGGTTCCAAGACACCAGTCAAGCCACGGCCACCCTGGGCAGAAGTGCTATGGTTTGTCCCCTGTTCTAGCTAAGAAGCGGTCCTTGGCGGAGGTACCCAGCCAGGGGTACAGGGAGCTCCGTTACAAGGGAAGTAAGTCAAGGCATCTAGCAACCAGGAAGTGCCTCTAGTGGCTTTCTGGTTTACAGCCACAAGTGGCAGTTTTAGTCCTGCAATGTATTTATTGCAGTTTCTTAAAATGTGCAATGATTTACATTGCAGGACTAAGGGGAATAGGGACATTGCACCTAGACCACTTCAATGAGATCAAGTGATCTGGGTGCCGATAGTGTCCCTTTAACTTTTTAGGCTAATTTATGTTATGTGAATTTTTACTTACAGAAAGATTCATATATATTTCAGCTACAACCTTTTGCTTTATTTTTATTGATTAATAATATTCTTTGAGATGTGCTTTATGGTTTAAATGTAATGACATATAAACAATCTGTTTTTTTCTTATAGGATATATGAAGATTTTCCATATATGGCGACTTTCCCTTACTGCTACCTGCAGTGAGAGAGTCTCAAGTTTAATAAGAATCTGTACAGTTCTCAATGTAACTGCAGTTGACAGGGGCAACATGTGAATCACGGAGAAAATAATAATGATATACATTTTGAAGTGCACACAATATTTGTTTTTTCTTTAACCTTTGTGTCTAATAAAGCCTCAATCACTGCTTTGTGCAGAATAACAGAGGAGTATAATTAAACGGTTTTTAAAAGTACACAAAACTGCAGTTTTCTACGAATTACTTTATTTGATTTCACTGAAATCTGGTGTTTACTGATGTTTTTCATGTGGAAGACAAGCAGTAAAAAAAAAAAAAAAAAATCTAATCTGATTTTTCAAAAATTATTCAAAGCTTGTTGCAGCACCGACAACAGTTATGTAGAAATACATCACAAGCAAGCTCTCCACAATTACGTTAACGTTTTAGATAGGTACATAGTTTGATATGTACTAAGGCCACTTGAATCCTAATTACAGTAAGTTTTAAGAAAAAGGACACTAATTCACCAGCACAGATACCCAACTTGATATTGTGCCGGGAAAAAGCTGTACAACCCTATTAACATATACTTATGATAAAAATTGTATCGTAATTTATTAAAGATAAAAGCCTTAGACTCCTATCCACTAGGTACATAGATGTAGAAGGCAGAAAATATCTATGTAAGAGGCTAAAATAGCAATAGGCAGATAGAACTAAAGGTAGACATAGTCTGTTCTAAATTAGATAGAGAGATCTAGTAAAGACTAATAGTAGGTATCTAGAAGGCATATAGACGCTCCATTCTACACTACATAGTCATAAATCATCTAGAAACTCTCTAAAAATCACAGCTAGATGCTACCTAAATAGAATCCCTAATGCTTCAGCATAACATAGATCTAATGCCAACTAGCATAACTAGTCCTATGGAGGGACTAAAAAAAGGTGTGGAACTCAATTAAGTGCTAACCCCTACATCCCAAGTGCATAGTTAAAAATAATAAAGTAGGAAAAAGCCCGACGCGCGTTTCAGCGTATCAAGACGCCGTCGTCAGGGGCAAATACAAAAGCTACCGGTCTCTCCCGCTTCTTTAAATGTCCAAAACACAATTGGACATTGTTAACAGCTGGTTCGTCAAAGTGGGAAACTCACATCTCATTGGTCCCAATGAAGCCCGCCTCTCAGTCATATGCTCGTGGTCCACTGTAGCCCAGCCTCCTTCACGTGGGTGGGGAAGGAGGCGGACACCACGTCCGCATACCCCATGTGGCCATGATGTCAAACACTGTGTCACACGGGCAGTGAAGGGGCGGGCACCGTCTCCATACCACGCCCCCTCATCAACAGCCCAATGAGTCACAAAAACGTCACTGGATAGGCGGGACCAGTGCCGCCCGACAGTACAGTGCAACAAAGGGATTAACATAATGATCATCCCTGAGGAATACATTTAACGTTGATCAAATCATGATCCAAATTAACCACTTACTGCCTAAATATAAGGCACTTAGGTGTATAGTTATGTAAAACAAGGTAAGTCTCATTGGAAAGAATGGAAACAACCACCTCACACAAGGGTATAATTTTAGAATGGGCACACTGGAATGCATAACACTCCCATTTGTCCCTTAACCATCCATAGTATGAGGAGTACACTCAATGTGAAGTCCTACTACATAGTAGGTATCAGGTATGACCTGAACAACATAGAGTCCTTTGCTCCAAACAATCGCATAAATAGTAATGACCAGTATGGCATCACTAAAATTGTATAGGGAGATATATATAGTAGCTTTAGGATCCCTAAATAATAATGGACACTTAACTAACCAAAACATAAATAAAACTTCAAAATTAATATTAAATACTAATAATTAAGATCATAGTACTCCTCATACTATGTACATATGTTAATAGGGTTGTACAGCTTTTTCCCGGCACAATATCAAGTTGGGTATCTGTGCTGGTGAATTAGTGTCCTTTTTCTTATTTTATATTAGGATTATCCCCTGCATCTGTACAACCTGGTGGCACTTTTTTTGTTTTTTGTTTTCAGGGCTCTAGGAGGGATATGTGCCTTTCTTACCCCTATCGGGGCTGAAAGGAGATCACCAACTGGACTTGGATTCTACCTGTACAGTAAGTTTTAGCCTACATTTAGGTTTTGTATTTGCATTTTTTTTCACAATGTCCTTTAATTGTGGCCATTAAAGGGAACATTAATGATAGAAAATGCAGAAGTTCATGGCCTGGGCATGACAAAAAGGTGACAAATTACCCAATATGTGAAATGTTCCAAAAATATGCAAATGGAAAGCTATAACAGGGAATGGTGTGCAAAATAAGAGTGATATGGGTGGTGAGATGGGGAAAGGATTCAATAATGGTGGAAGGGATATTTGTTCCTGTTAAAGACATTTGTTTTTAATCTCTTCCTAGAAGGATATACTGAAATAGATACGGTTGCTGGGTCAATTAATGGTTTTATGAAGCACTCAAAACACATAACAGTTTGCACAGCGACGCCACTCAGCATTAATACTACACCTTGCTGTAGTGGTTATACTGCCTTGAGATTTACAGTCTCTGGCTAGAAGCAGGACTATGTTTTTATTTGCGTTCACCTGCAACTTGCGGGATAATTATTAGGAGGTGGCAATACAAATGCAAAACAAAAATTGGTGTTTGTTGGTGCTTGTTTCTGCCATAAATAGGGTATAAGGCTGACTAACACCGAAAAAGTTATCAAAACTAATATTGGTCCATAGTAGCCATTAAACCCCTCCCTCGTTTCTATGCACAACCAGAAAAAAAAAAAAAAAACTTTTGAAAGCTCGCAGGATTTGTGGGGACCCAGGATTATTAGCACAATGAACAAAAAAACAAATAAACAAACAAAAAAAACTTGTGGCCATTTGTACTCCCTGGTAGTTACCTAGAGCCCAGCCTGATGAGTGCCCTATCCGTCTAAATCCACCCTATGTACAGAGCGTTGGACAGTAATTATACTAGATAGGAGCACTAAACTAGCCAACAACCCTTTTTTCCAGCTCATGTGCAGTGTGTGGAGGTTAAAGTAAAACGGCCCTTAATTTTTAATCTTTGGTCAAAAGATCACAAATAAGGTCATCGCTCAATGAGTATGAATAGCAAGCTGGCCAAAGAGAAAAGTAAAAATACATATATATGACTTGAAGCCCACTTGGTTACCTTATAACTCAGTAACCAATGACAATTGGGTGGGAGGAGAAGTTCTGACCTAATCTCTAATCTTCCCTTTCACTCAAATGCTTGAAGTGTGGACACACACCACTTTACTAACAGTATGTCTGTGTGTGTTAGTTGAGTAGTTCCTGGCATGCGGTTCAGGAGTAATGACATAGCATCAAGGTCGATATGGACGACTCAGGTCCCACACCCTATTTTCTTTAAACTAGCATTCAGACTTCAAAACCACTTTATGTTACCTGATCACTCTTTTGAGCCTCCGTTTCATTACATTTTATTGGTACTTGTGTTTTGTCTGTCTCAACACTCTTTTTCCTTTTAACTCGCTCTTTTAAATGTTTGGTAGGCTTCTCAAAAACGGAAGGCACTGCATCAAGCCGCAGCCGGGGGATCATAGCTCCTGGGCGTAGCATGTAATCTTTGTCTGTAAAGTGATCACTGCAGATTCGGCTTGAATCTGACGGTTTCCAGTTTTTACGTTTGATTGCTGCAACCCATTCTGACAAGCGCTCAGGATCTTTCATTGGAAACCTACAGAATATTTAGAAACTTAGGTTGTAATGTAAAATACATACATTTTACATTATATAAAAATACCATCTCCACATACATCTCGCAAATTATTACTTGGTCTCATGTTTCTAGACAAAACCAATGGATTCAGTTAGAACAACGTTCACTTGCTATCTTTCTAGCTAACTACCAGAGTTACTCCATGCTTTTCGTAGACATTTAGCAAAATGAAATCCCCTTTTACAATTCACAGCCTCTGGCAATCACATCAATCCACACATTTCCTATCTACACTCTGCACCCTGCTTTTACCCCTTTCCGGGACTTGCTTCGCATTGTTGTTGTGGACTGCAACTGTGACTGGGGTCTGAGTGGTTTGCAAATAGTATAGGCTATCTCAGTAACGGCACATATGAGCTAACGTGCTAAAGTCTTAAGCAGGGACTAACAGAAGGGTAAGTTTGTTGAATTTGTTTTCTGTTTATAAAATATGCCTGTTGACATTAAAAATTATGAATCATATTCCATACTATCTGAAGGCTCTTGTCACCATATATGAAATGTTATTACCTTCAAGTGAACCGGTCATGACATATACAGGTTTTCAGTTTTCTAACCATCTGTTAGACTCATGTTATACAATTAAGTGTCTCTTCCCTTAATACTGTTAAAAGCTCATATTTTCATTTCTTTCCATTACCCCTGTTTCCTGCTGAGAGCACCAATCATGTTTTCAGTGGGTATTACTCAAGCACACATCTCCTGCATACCATTTTTGTGAAGAAAAGAAGAGGTTAAAAGCCCCCAACACTGAATGCTGGCTTTATCTTTATGTAAATAAAACGTATCTGATCTCTCTCTTTTCTCAGATTGCCTGCCCAAACCTTCTGCAATAAATCATTCTAGCTCTTTCTCTTCTGCTGCTGCTGCTCTCACACAGAGCCTGACCCTCTTACCTCCTTCTCTTTGCAGGCATTGCTTTCCCTTACAAAAGTTTTAAAAATACTATAAGTGACAACTTATGTAAAATAGTGGAGCATTTAGAAACATGCAAATAAAATATTCTTACATTTGCCAATATTTGGGTAAGTAGAGATATTCACCAGCATGACAATATCTCTACTTACACAAATATTGGCAAGGGTAAGAATATTTGCATGTTTTTAGGAGCTCTAATATTTTACATAAGTTTTTCACTTATCATATTTTCTTAAATTTGTGTATTTTATTGTTGTGGGAAAGAAGGTATCTCTGCATGAGTGTTTTAGAGCTGCTGTTTGTTAGTATACATTTTAAGTGCTTATTGTTGTCACACTTCCTCTTTTAGAGGTTAATTTGATTGCTTTCCCTTAGGCTGAGAACAATCAGGATAACGTCCCAGAGGAGGGTTTTTCCTAATAACATACATGCAGAGCACAGCCTTATTATTTCTGTCACAATCAACACAGACTGAATTGACTGCAATGAGTGTCCCTTTAATGTGATGTTTGGATTGCTATTAATTTTACATTATAGATTTAGCGAACAAGATCAAAATGCAACTTAGCCCAGGTACAGACTGGGAGGGCACACATTACAAATTAGGTAATGAATAGAAACATCTTTTAATTTCCCCTTTCCTCTATATGCTGAAAACCAGGTGCAAAAGGCTGATCGTAAAATAACCAATGACAGAGAAGCAAGATGGAGCTGTCCAATTTCAGGATAAAGAGGTGATGATTTCTACTTCTCACACTTCACAAATACAGTTGTAATAAAAATTATTAAATCCCCATTGAAAATCAGGTTTATTGTCAAAATCTATAGACTTTCTGCTGTTTGCAATGTACAAATCAAACAAAAGTAATTGAAATACCTCAACACAATGAATGCTTCAAGTGATTTCCCCAAATTCAGCTGAAAAGGCAACTTATATATTTTTATAATTCTTTATTTTTGTAGTTCAAAACATTACAACAATCTCACAATGCTACAAAAGCTAATGTAAGCATTTCGAATTAGACAATGTTAAGGCATTTGATACAACTGCACATTTTTACAATATAATAAACAGGCTAGGTCTACATAGGAAAATATATAATACTAGATAAACATGTTGCTCGTTGTCACAAGATTGCACAAGTCTCTCTTTTTGTTAGAGTAAGTAAAATAACCAGTAGTCGATATCTACACTTAGACAGGAATAGGCTATACATAGCATGGACGTTGTGTTGCAGTTTACTGTGACAAACACTAAGAAGATAATATAGGCATGGTGCCACTGGGTAATGGCAGGTAGAGGAGTGTTAGGCAAATCAACAAACATCAGTGCTGAGCATATCATTAATTAAACTTTTTTCGGCAACAGGTGAACAGGAGCAGATGTTGTTGGCTGAGATCAACCCACACCACTTGTGGGCCATAGCAGAGAGTCTGTCTTCGTCCCAAGGTGTTTTGTCCCCCCTGCTCCACACAGGGCATGTCAGGCAATGCCATATGTGCAGCAGGCGGGTGGTCAGTAGCTCGGAGTGCAGCAGTTCCCGGTAGCTACGGCTCCGGACAGTGGAGGGTGCAAGTGCCCTTAGTCCATTGATCCTCCTGCTTTGAGCGGCTGGATCATGGGCCCGCAGGTTTTCTGGAGTGCAGGCTTCCCCGCGGGAATATGGACTGCAGCTTGGAGAGAATTCCATTTGGGGGCCCAGCCCAGAAGAGGAACAGACACTGCTTCCAGGGTTGTCTGCGGCACAGGAAGGGTAACTGAGGGTTGTCACTTGGCTAGACAGTCCCAAAAGGCCTGACAGAGTGCATCAAATCTTTTGTTGAAGGCTTCTCTCCAATCTTGGCCTGTCAGGCTCTGCTGGTTATGCTGCAGTTTCAATGCGGCGGCCATCTTGGGCAAGCCTCGTGGCTTTCAGGGTTCCTCCATCCAATATTCTCGGAACAGGCTTAGCGGACCCAGTGGGGACCGGGAAAACCCCCACCAGTCTGGAGAGGGGGACCAGCAACAGATTGTGTTGAGGGCCTGGTGTGTAGCAGGTGAGCATTAGAGAAGGGCATTGGCCGTCTGCCCCACTCTCAGCCCGAATAAGTCGCAATTCAGGAGGCCTCGAATTGCCCTCAAAGGAGCCAAAATTCCCAGTCCCGAGTGCAGGAACAACACCAGCAGTTGGTTGGGCCTCAGATTTCTGACACATGAGGAGTGAAAACTGCCCTGTTATTAGTGATAAAAGGCTGCTACCCTCAGGAGCTGATCTAACCTGTGACCTGTCACCATGGCGGTCCGGCCCCACGCCCCTGAAAATGCAACTTATAATGACTTCTCCAGTCTCAAAATGATTCAACCCCCTAAATGGAATCCATCAGAACAGCATATATATGCAATACAGGTGTTGTTATAAGCACACGTGATGCAACTAATCAAGGGCTTCAGGTGTGCTTGAGCTGGAACACTTGAAATACCTGAACTGGCTAGGGGTTTCTTGAGTGTCACGTTGGAGTGCATGTTAGAAATATGGCTAAGTCAATAGAATGGTCCTCAAAGTTAAGAGAAGAGATCATCGCCTTTAACAAACAAGGAACAGGATACAAAAAGATAGTGAACTGAATGTTCTTAGAGACACCGTTGGAGGCATAGTTTGCAAGTTTAAAGTTGAAGGAATTGTAGTTACACTACCTGGATGGGGCAGAATAAGGAAGCTATAAATGGCTACAACCAGATTTCTGAGAAGGCAGGTTGTGAAAATCTCACTGACAGCCACTAGAGGCCGCTTCCGCAATTCTCACTGTGAAAATCACAGTGAGAAGAAACGCTGACGTCCATAGGAAAGCATTGAGTAATGCTTTCCTATGGGCGGTTTGAATGCGCGCGCAGCGTCGGAGGAGGTGGAGAGGGAGCCCGGCGCTGGAGAAAGGTAAGTAGCTGAAGGGATTTTAACCCCTTCAGACCAGTGGGAGGGGGGCCATGAGGGTGAGTTTGTTTTCCTGGCACTATAGTGGTCCTTTAAGCATTTTGGTGGCTCTGTGATGCTCTGAGGCTGCTTTGCATCCTCTGGCATTGGAAACCTGCAACATGTAGTAAGCAAAATGGATTAAGTATTAGGAAATCCTAGGAGAAATCGTCATGCCATCTGCGAGTAAGCTGAATCTTGGGCATCATTGGACCTTCCAACGAGACTATGATGCCAAGCATACCTCAAATTCCACCAAGGCTTGGTTGCAGAAGAAGTCCTCGAAAATTCAAAAGTAACCATTACAGTCACCTGACTTGAACCCCATAAAAAATCTCTGGTGGGATTTGAAGAAGGTGGTTGTAGCACGCAAACTCAAGAATATTAATGAACTGGAAGTCATTGCTCATAAATAATGAGCTAAGGATCCTCAGGAACGCTGCCAGAAGATCATGTCTGGCAATGTATCTTTCCTGGTAAAATATTTTATAAATAAATTTGCAGCACATCATAACAGCAAAAGGGTGCTCTACTAAGTACTAAACGTGCTTGCCGGGAATGGGTTGAATAATTTTGAGACTGGTGAAGTCATTATAAGTTGCATTTTCAGTTGAATTTCGGGACACCACTTGAAGCTTTCTTTGTGTTATTTCAATTACTTTGTTTGATATTTTCATTGCAAACAGCTGAAAGTCTGTACATTTTGACAATAAACTACATTTTCAATGGGGGTTGAATAATTTTGATTACAACTACATGGTTGTTAAAGGGACTTTCCAGTGTCAGGAAGACATTTCTGTTTTCCTAGCACTGCAGGTTCCTGCAGTGCCCCTCTCCCTCCCACCCCCATCCCATGTTGCTGAAGGGGTTAAAACCCCTTCAGTGTTTTACGTGAATCCAGCTCTCCCCCCGCCAACGTCAGCCGGCAGGGGAGACGTAATGTGCATGCTCGGCAATGGCCACGTGCACATTAGACCTCCCCGTAGGAAAGCATTATTCAATGCTTTCCTATGGGATTCCAGCAACGCTTGAGGTCCTCATGCATGCGTGAGGACGTCCAGCGTAGTTTAAAACACATTTTATGT